AAAGATGTTGTTTTCTACGCATCCCCCACATTAACTTCATCCAAAAATGATTTTCCTGCCCTATTTACAGAAATTGATTTATGAACCTATAATAGCTTTTGTAAATCACTTTGATAGTTTTCTGGAAGATAAAATATTATGCTTTCTAACCTTTTAAGCACCTCCATATAATCCAATCTGATCCCTGCAGCACTGGTTTTCAAATTTTCAATTTCTGGTTCATTTTCCAGTTCTTCTGATGTTTTTTATTTCAGTCCCTATTTCTTTCACTGCTGTAAATACACTTCTGTTCTGACCATGCTCCCTACTGTAGTATGGCTCAAACACATTAAAATGATGCACTTGCTGATTCTTCTCTGGACTGGAGTACTTTTTACATAATTCACATCATTGAGTTCAATTTCGATTTGATAAAGTCCAGTGTACCTTATTTTTAATGGTTCCTGAGAGACAGGTAACAATACAAACATGTCTCCAGAGTTAAAATTCTGAGCTTTGGTCTTTTTGTCTGCTCTAGTTTTCAGTGTTCTTTGGGAGATTTTTGCCCACCTGACAAACTGGCTAGTTTTCCTGGGAACATGACAGATAGTTCAGAAATGAAGTCTCTGAAATTTGATTTGTACATTTTTCCTTCATTTATTTAAGGGATTCTCTAACCTCATGACCATATGTCAGTTCAAAAGGGCCGAATCCTATGGACTCGTTAGGGATCCCTAATGGTAAACAACCTCGAGAGAACAGCTTCATCCCAATTATCAGTAAATTCCCAAGAATCAACTCAAATCATGTTTTTTTTTATAGTTGGATGTCATCCTTTCAATGTTCTCTGCGATTATGAATGATAAGCTTTTATTCCCAAACTAGTCATTATTTATTTGAATATTTGTGACATAAAATTTGAATCTTGATCTGATTTTATGTCTTTGGGTAATCTATATTTGGTAAAATAAGTGAATTGATTCTGTTTACAGATTCCATAAATAAAGGCACTGCCTTGGGAATTTTTGTCAAAGCATCCAAAGTTGTTAAAAGATACTGATTCTCACTCCAGGTTTTAGGGAAGGGTATTATGCAATCTTTTAAAATCGTGACGAACAGTTCATCAAAAGCCATTATTGGAATTAAAGACACGGATTTAATTGATGTTTGGGACTTCTGCACTACTTGACTATATGGTATGTCTAGCCACATTTCACCACATCTCTATGTACTACTGGCCAATAAAAAATGTTTTAGTCTTTTAGTAAGTTTTTTTTAATACTTAAGTGATCTGCCTTGGAATTTTGTGAGCCACTTATAAAATCTCATTATGATACTCAAATGGAACTACCAAACTGTGGACTACTTCCCATTCTTCATCTATTGGTATTTGAGGTGATCTCAATTTCCTTATCAACACCGTCTCTCTTAAATAATAACACTCCAGTTTTGATTCTGCCTTAATTTCAGAGTATACTATTTGGTGCATTATTCCTTCAAAACAGGATGCATCTGTTATACATCAAGTAAAGAAAAGAGATAAATACGTCAGCCTTAATCTTGTTACCTTCATTTCTTTATTTGATGTTTGGAAAATAGTGGCAGATAACTGCCCCTTTTTTCATAGATTCCTCCCTTCCTGTCTAATCTATTCAGGAAATACTCAAAGATGTTCCTCATGAAACATTTCAGTTTGTTTTCCCTCCACTGGCTAGTCCACCAATCTCAATGAAGCCAATATTCCTGATCCAGCTCGGTCATTCCCTTAGATAAAATCAATTCGTTCTAGAGTTGTCTGTTGTATTACTCCAAATACACTTCTTCACTTACTTGTGACCCCCCTGCATACCTCCAATTATTATTTTATTTCCTTCATTAAGCCCTCAGGAAGACAAAATATATTGTCAGCAAGTATAAGTGACTTATTTGCTCTAGTGTCAACATTTTTCTTGATTTATTTCCTTAATTAGAAGAAAAATGAAATATCTCTTCCTCTGAAATTAAAATATTCAGAAACTGTGGTGATCTGATTCTCTTTAGCAGTCATTTAGGAAGAATTTTGTTGGCTATCCTTAAACATCTCTCCCTTTCTAGTAGGTTCTGATGGATCCTGCTTCACCTGTAGCATTGCTACAATTTTAATACACATTTCTTGATTGCACCCTTTTCTGAAGATTCCTTAGGCATTCCTATTACTGCAATTGGTCTCCCATTTAACCACAGCAATTGGCTTTATTATGTCCAATGTTATTACAATGGAAGTGTTTTTTTTTACAATTCTTTTATGTTCTAGCCTTTCTCCTTTATTATTTTGACATCCTTCTGTTTTCTCCCTAAAATTAATATCTTTTCCATCCCCAGACTTTTTATTCCTCCAACTTCCTGTGGATTCCAATATGACCATTTCCCACATGGAACTGTCAATGTGAAATATCATTGATAGCTGCCAGAAGCATTGCTTCTCAGATATTTGATACTTGTCGAAATATGCTTTAAGTGTTCCTGGAATACTACTTCTGAATTCTTCCATTATCATGATTTCAATAATTTTCTCAATTTTTCTCTAATTTCAGTAATTTAAATAATTGATTCCATACCATTTAATTTTTCTTTGCAGATTCTAAAAATGTCTGATTAGGTTTCTTTCGCATAGGCCCAAACTTTATTTGATAAGGACCAAATTGAGCATTGAATATTGTTCTCTTAACAGCTTCATAACCTACAGATTGCTCTTCTGACGTCTGGAGTATAGATTAATAGCTGTTAGGACACTCTGCAACATTAAGGTCCTAACATCTTTTAGATATTCAACTTACCAGCTATCTTTTCAAATTAGATGAAATATCTTTCAACTCCATCCTCTGTGACTTTGGATATTAAACGTAGATTTTTAGTAAAATGAATCAGAATTATTCTCTGGCAACTACCTCCTTTTTCTGCCTTTACTCTAAGCTTCTCTCTAAGTCATGTTTTTTGATTTCCCTTTCTTTGGAGTTCACGCTTTTTCCATTTCTATTCTTTCCATTTCTTTTTATTTTTGCCACTCCTTAACTTTCCAATTCAGGCTTTCATACTTTCATGTTTCTTTTCATCCCTCTTGCTTTTGTTTCTCTTTTTTTTTTCTCCCCATTTCTCTTTTCTTCCAATCCTTTTCTATTCATTTTCAACCAAATCAAAGATAGTTCGAGCAGTGACATTTCAATTTCAGGGTTCCTTTCTATTAATCCTCAATGTTGGGTAATCACTTTAAGCATCTTATCCTTAAAAGATCCTGTTTTAGTTCTGCCTCCAAGTTATCCACTAACCCTCTCAGTGTAGCCTGAAAGATTTCAAGTATACTTTCTATTCTTAGAAAAGTCTTACAGTCAAAGCCAGTTTGAAAGTTGAATCATGTACCATAAATTCCTGTATGGTCAGTACCTCCTCGAACACATTTTGAAAGATTCACACATCCCTCTGAAATGCAACGGAATTCTAACCTGCTAGAGCTGGTTATATGATCCCAGCTGACTTTATTAATGGTCAAATCAGATCCCAGAATGAAACCTGGCTTGGAGACACTAAGGACTGCAGATGCTGGAAGTTAGAGTCAATAAATGTGGAGCTGGACAAGCACAGCTGGTCAGACAGGATCCGAGCAGCAGAAAAGTCCACATTTATTAACTGAAACCTGGCTTGATAGACCATAACTTTGATTTTTGCAAGTTATCATGGTGGTCAGCCACAGAACAAATTCTCAAGTGGCTGCCAATGTACCTTTAACAGAAGAACATAAGGTTTGTTGCACTTTTATTGAAAAGCTGTATTATACATACATGACAGTGTTACAGATACTCAGACCCAGTGACTTATCACTCATAGAATCCTTACAGTGTGGAAGCAGACCATTTGGCTCATTGAGTCCACAAAAAGCATCCCACCCAGACCGAACCCCCACCCTTCCAGTGGCTAATCCATCTAGCCTGCACATCCCTTGACTCTCTGGGCAATTTAACATGGCCAATCCACCTATCCTGCACATCTTCAGACTGTGGGTGGAAACAAGAGCACCTTGAGGGAACCTACGCAGTCACGGAGAGAATGTGCAAATTCCACACAGACATTTGCCCAAGAGTGGAAGTGAACCCAGGTCCCTGGCACTATGAGGCAGCTGTGCCAACCAGTGAGCCACTGTGCTGCCCACCTATTATCACTGCATAATTTCTTACTAAGCAGGAGGTTCTCTTTTCTTTCAGAAACTTTCTGCACATTTACCGGGTGTGATTCATTCTTTTACTGTCTCTTCTCAACACCCACAGACACAAGACAACACACTGACATTTCCCACTGAGCTCTAAAGAAAAATACAGGCTCCTTCCATTTAGTTTGCTCACTTACAGGCTGCCAAGCAGCACACCTGATTGGAAATCTTCTGAACTGACCCTGCTGCTAGAATTTTCATAGAAAGTTCATAGAACTTTCATACCATAGAAGTTTCATAGAACTTTCATAGAAGTTCATAGCATGTATATTTATTTTTTTCTTTTTCAGTGTTGTAAATAAACAACTTAATAAATACTTCAGCAATTATCTCATCAGGTGGCTTCTCTCTTCATTTAGCTGAAATTAAACAATTTATTGGAATTGTCATTTTGATCCAATGGTTAAAAATAGGTTTCTGATCCTTTAAAAGAGAAAAGGTATGCGTCCCCTAAAAAAGAGACTAAAAAGATTACCCCAACTTTAGAATGAAGTTCCCAAATTAATATATAATAATAACAAATAACAATATTATAGAAACTTCATCACAACTGACAGATTGAGGGAATGCTGCACCATCAGAGGTCAGAACTGAGGTGTCAGATGGTCAATAGTGAGGAAATACTGCACTAAAGTACTGAGGGAGCACTACACTATTGGGAGCTCAGTGCTGAGGGACGACTGCACTGTCAGAGGGTCACAATTGAGGGAGTGCTGTACCATCAGAAGGTCAGTCCTAAGGGAGTGCCCATTTCTAATATTCTTTTCCTCTTTCTTTGCAGCTGATTATGAAATGAGTGCTGAACAAAATTATCAGAAGTTGAATCACGAAGATCGCATGGACAGTGGTAAGTAGACTGTGATTACAAGGTGTAGAGCTGGATGAACACAGCAGGCCAAGCAGCATCAGAGGAGCAGGAAAGCTGACGTTTCAGGTCCGGACCCTTCTTCAGAAAAAAAAAGTAGACTGTGCTGCTTCTGGTTTTATTTTGGGGGTTACTGTGTAAAACAAATCACATCTGACACTACTTACTGGTAAAACTGAGCGGAAATTTGAATAGTTGAAGCAGAAATACCAACATGTAGGGGTGACATGTTGGATTACATATGGGATTCAGTCCTGACTTGGAGTGTAGCCTGGAAGCAGAGTGACTTCTGGAGTGGACTGAATATGTGTGATTCTCTAATTTAGATATGTTATTCTGATCTGCTGGTAACTCCTGTCTCCAATTCCCTGAACAGGTATCTTTGAAATAGAGAACAGCAGAAACAGGAAGATAGATGGTGGAAGCTACTCAGACAATGGTAAGAAATCACTTGGCAATGAGTGCAATTGAAACATAATGTTGGGAGGACATTATGGACCGCAATGGTGAGTCAGTGGTTGGGCTGTGATGAGCAGAGATTTATAGGAGGCAGAGAGAGTGCGGTGAAACAGCGCAATTTACCCTTTGTTACTATAATTCCCATGCCTGAGTCAGTAACATTCTCTACTTTGTCATGAGATCAGTATCAGATGCACTGACCTGCCTGAGTGATCACTTACTGCTGGTGATACATGTCTGTGTTCCGCTTTCCCCAGTTCACACGCGCTTTGAGTAAATTAAAGAATTACTCAATCAGTGAAAGACGGTCTTGGGCCTGTTGGTCTTCCAGTGCAAAGGGTTATCTTTGACTGAGTGTTGCAGACTGGCACACTCCAAGGTGCAGGACTACATGCTGAGGGACGCATTAAAGCTTGAGGTCAATATTGCCATGGCACAGTTGATAAACACCACCATCTAAAACCTTTCTGCCATGATATTCCAAGGCTCTTTGTTTTTGTTTGCTAACTTAAAGAACATCTTGAATCTTGCATTTGAATTTAAATAATTCATGCCCATATTTTGTAAATGTTCAATTTTTGCTTTTGGATTGAGGCAACTAAGACAGCAATTCTCAAATGAGAATTGGGATATCTTAATTGTATTTTCTGTAATGTCTGGCTTGAATAGTTTTGTACTTTGCTTTTAGATAATATATGATTAAAGTATGTTTTTAAAAATAAAAAAATCACTCAGTCACTGGAGGGGACTGGGTTGATGTCTCCTGACACACAGTGAATTGGATCCTCAAGCAGGCAGCTTTGAGTCCAAAGGTCTCAGGCCTTGGGGCTCCATTTACCATGTGCTGCTATCTGGCTTTATCACGTGGGTTTCTTCAGTGACTGAATATTAATTTTTGGACCTTTGACTATTTCAGTGCACTTTTGGCCAATTTGCCATCTTCCACCCTCTGTAAACTCCAAAACATTCCTGCTGTCTTGTGCTAACATGCTGCTAATCAAACTCATCCATTGCCCCCGTGCTTCCTGACCAGTCTGGCAACATCGCGATTTCAAAATTCTCATCTTTGTTTTCAGATTTCTCCATGGCTTTGCCCTCCATTTCTCAGTAATCGCCTCCAACCCAGAAGTCACACGACGCCAGGTTATAGTCCAACAGGTTTATTTAAAATCATAAACCTTTGGAGCACTGCTCCTGACAATTTTAAATAAACCTGTTGGACTATAACCTGACGTCGTGTGACTTCTGACTTTGTCCACCCAAGTCCAACACTAGGATCTCCATATCATCTCCTCCAACTCCACAACCCTCCAGGATCTCTGCACTCCTCCAATCTAGCCTTGTGCAATCCCAAATTTTAACCATTCCATCACTGGAGGCTGTGTCCTCAGATGCCTGGACCCCTAGTTCTGGATTTCCCTTCCTAAACCTCCCCACCTCTGTGCCCCTTTCTTTTCTTTCAGATACTTTTGAAACCAAGCTTTTTGTTGTTTCTTCAAAAATCTCCTTTTGTGACTTCATGTCATTTTTTAAAAATGTTCCTTTGAAACATATTGCAGTGTTTTACTGTGTTATAATCACTATATAAATTCAAGTTGTTGTTGTTGATCAGCTGTTCATTCTTCTATTGCAGTTGTCACAGAGGTGATAACAACAAAAGTGACCTCACTCCCACCACGTGAGTAACTCTGCAGAAGTTTTGGAATAATGGGATTGGGATATTAAGATTAGATGGCAGGATTTATTGGATAGAAACTCTGGTTCCGCTCCTACATAGAAATGAACAAGAAAATATCTGCTCTGGGGAAGGACACAAGGAATGATTGAGAGTCATACACTAGTTCCTTTTCACATCTCTTCATTTCTCACTTGCTCAAAGCCTACCACTCTGTCTCTCTCAGTCTGTCACTTACTCTGTTGCCCTGATTCCCTGGTTGCCCATCTTGTGCCCATTTTTTCTTTCTCAGTTTCTCATTAAACCTTCATTTGTGTCCAATTGAGATGTTCAAGAGAACATTGGATGATTCATTGAATAGAATCAATGTGCGAGGATGTTGGTTAAAGGCAGCAGAATGGGGCTAAGTCATGATGGTTCATTTAGCCAGAGCCAATAAAATGGGTTGAAGGGTTTCCTTCTGCATAATAACATCCTTATCAGCCCTGATAAGAGTCTGGTGAATTTAAGCTGCATTCATTCCAAGACCAACAAGCCTTGGAGTTTTGCTGCCCAGACCTGTACACAGTTCTCTAGCTTTGATCTAAGCAGCACTCTATGTAGCTGAAGCATGATGTCCTCTCCCTGATCTTCATTTTGTGTGTTTCCCACAGGAGGCACTTACAGCAGCACTGGTTCTTCCTCTCGACGCCAGGTTCTCCTAGGAGGGACTGATACAGAGGGCACCATAACCAGCTACAACAGTACACGTATGTATCACAGTGCAAGAGGGAGGAGAGGGATAGCAGTGAAAGAGAACAGAAAGGGGAAAATGTAGATGGGGAGAAAATAGATGGAGAGTGCCCTAGGAAAGTAAGTGAGAGAATATAGGGGAGATAGATAGAGAATGAGAGTTGGTGGGGGTAAGTTTGAGAGAGAGAGAGACTTGAGGGACACAGAGTGGGATGAGGAGAGTGAGATTGGGCAAGAAAAGGGAGAGAGACAGAAAGAGAGGAGACAGACAGAGGAACAGCGGCCAGGAGAGAGGGGGCGAGTGGGCGTGGGGCACTAGGGGGCAATTGGAGGCACCCCATTCATTGCCCCCCAGATTGAGGCAAATTGAGGTACCACCCACTAAGACAGCAGGCAGAAAGCCTGGTTTTACCAGTTAGAGAGGGTAAACATTTTCTCACTTGTGGAATGTCAAAGGCTGAGGTTGGAGGGGGCCTTTAGGTGGTTGTTAATTGACCAGTTAAGGGTATAGATTGGTTGCAGGTTAAGAAGGTCAAACATGGGCATTCCTGCCCCACAGCTGAATTGCTAGCTGGCAGTTAGGGGATAGGTATTTCCACAGCACTAACCTGGCCAATTATTTTCTCCACCTACCACCTTCCCTACCTCTTGAGAGACGGGTAAGTTCCATTAACACCACCTGGAATGCCTGTTCCAGAGTTTGGCTCTCTGTCCTTGCTGGATTCATTCTGATTAATAAGATGAAATTTGGTGCAAATGTTTATCGCACTAATGCTGTAAGTCTGTTTACTTCCCAACAGAGGGACGAGGCACCTTCAGTGGATATTCAAGAACCAGATTTCCCAGCTCCACGCTTTCCATTTCACCAGATACAACACTGGAACGGAAAACGTTTGTCAGACGGAATGGAGGATACGAGGGTACGTGGAGGAGAGCAATTGGTGACTGACAACACAGAGAGACTGAGAGAGGGACAGACAGGCAGAGGGACAGAGAGAATGTTTCAGAGACAAAAAGATTGGGAGAGGGAGAGAGTGAGACAGAAACGGACTGTCAAAGAGGGAGAGACAGAAAGACAGGGAGAGATAGAGAGACAGGAGAGATAGCGCGAGGCTAAGGGAGACGCTGAAAGAGAGAGACTTTGAGGGGAGAGACAGAAAAGAGAAAGAGGAACAGAGAGCAGGAGGAACAAAGGGAGAGGCAGAAATGAAGGGAGAAATAGAGTTGGCAAAGAAGAGACAGATAGGATGGCGGGGTGAGAGACAGAGAATAAGAAAGGAAAAAGAGAGTGGGACAGAGAAACCGAGACAAAGAAAGGGCAAAACAAAGAGACTGACAGAAAATGAGATCAAGGGAGTCAGCAAAAGGGAGACAATTGCAGAGAGAAAGAGTAATGAAGAAAATGAAATGAAGAACAAGAGGCAGATTCGGGCTGGTAATGTTGAATGAAAACAGCTCAGGAGCTGACTTGAAATAAATATTTTCTTTTTTTTTCCAGGAAGTTCCAGTGGCAATTCCTCCCCAGAATTCTCACGAAAAGAATTCAGTAAGAAGATTCAATTTACATTTCCTTCTGATTATCCAAAAAAAGAGCATGCAAGGTCCCAAATACTTCTCCAGTCTCCAACATTGGAGGGTTTTATGGGACAATGCAGAGGGAGCATTAACCTGTGTCCAGCCTGTGATACGGTACCCAGATTCACAGAATTGTTGTAGCAAAGAAAGAGGCTATTCAGCCTTTTATGTCTATGCTGGCCCTCAGAAGCAGCAACACACAGATTACCACACCCCAACCCACCAACACACCCTGCACATTCTTACTTTATAGATAATATTCCAATTCCCTTTTGAATTTTTTTAGTTGACCCTACCTCCACCATACTCTCAGGCAGTGAATTCCATACCCTAACCACTCACTATGTGAAAAGTTTACATGTCGCCATTGTTTCTTTTTCCAATTACCATAAATCTATGTCCCTCTGATGTTTGATCCTTCCACCAATGGGGACTGTTTCTCCTTAGCTATTCTGTCTGAACCCTTCAGGATTTTGAATCTCTCAATGAAGTATCCTTTGAACCTTCTCTTCTCCAAGGCAAAGAGTCCAAACTTCTTCAGTCTTTCTGTTTCTGGCATTCCTCATTCCTAGAACCATTCTTCTGAATCTTTCCTGAAGTGTGTTGCCCAGAACTGGACATAGTACTCCAGGTGACATTGATCCAGTGTTTTATCTACATTTAGCACAACTTCCTTGCTCTTGTACTCTATGTCCCAATTAATAAAGCTCAGGTTACTGATTGGTTTAACAACTGCTCTCTTAGCCTGTCCTTCTCTTTCATTTGATTTAGATAGATATACCCCAGTCCCCCTGCTTCTGCACCCACTTTAGAATTGTATCCTTTATTTTATATTACCTGTCAATGAACTTCCTAACAAAGAGTACCACTTCATATTGAACTTCATCTGCCATCTACCAGCCCCGTCCACCAACTATCTATGTCCTTTTGAAGTTCTACACTATCCTTCTGACAGTTTATGTTGCTTCCAAGTCTTGTATCATCTGAAAATGTTGAAATTGTGCCCTGTACACTAAGGTTTAGGTCATTAATATACATCAGGAAGAATATGGTGCCTAACATTGACCACGGGGAATTTCACTACAAACTTATCTGACCCAAAAAGTATCTATTAACCATTACTATCTATATTCTGTCATTCAGCCAATTTTGTATCCATGTTCCTACTGGTCCTTTTATTCCACAAGCTCTGACTATGCTCATAAGTCCATTGTGTAGCACTGTATCAAGTATCTTCTGTAGTCCATGTACGCCACATCGACGCCATTGCCCTTATCAACCCTTTCTGTTACCTCATCTAAAACCTCAAGCAAGTTAGTTAAACACAATTTGCACTGAACACATCCATGCTATTGTTTCTCCTTAATAACCTGCAAACGTCTATGTAACTATTAATTTGTCTTGAATAATTCTTCCTACGATATTCTCCACAAATGACGTTAAACTGACTATACTTAAGAGAGAAATCAAGAGGGCAAGAAGACATGAGATAGCTTTGGCAAATAGAGTTAGGGAGAATCCAAAGAGATTCTACAAGTGCATTAGGCAAAACAGTAACTTGGGAGAGAATTGGGTACTTTAAAGATCAATGTGGCTTTTAAGTCTGGAACCACAGGAAATGGGTGAGACACTATACGAATGTTTTGCGTCAGTATTTACTGTGGAGAAGGACATGGAAGCTAGGGGATTGGGGAAAGAAATAGCGATGTCTTGAAAAAAGTTCATATTGCAGAGGAAGAGGTGCTAGAGGTCTTAAAATGCATAAACATAGATAAATCGCCTGGACCTGATCAGGTATTTCCCAGAACTTTGTGTGAAGCTGGGGAAGTGATTGCTGAGCCCCTTGCTGAGATATTTGTATCATTGACAGCCACGGGTGAGGTGCTGGAAGACCAGAGGTTGGTTAATGTGGTGCTATTATTTAAGAAAGGCTGTCACAAAAAGCTAGGGAACTATAGACCGGTGAACTTACGCCAATGGTGGGTAAGTTGTTGCAGGGGATCCTGAGGGACAGGATTTACATGCACTTGGAAAGGCAAGGACTGCTTAGTAATAGTCAACATGGCGTTGTGCATGGGAGATTGTGTCTCACTAACTTAATTGAGTGTTTTGAAGAGGTGAAAAAATTGATGAAGGCAGAGCAGTAGACATTATCTACATGGACTTAAGCAAAGTATTTGACAAGGTTCTGCATGGTAGACTGGTTACATCACATGGGATTCAGGGGAACTATCTATTTGGATACAAAATTGGCTTGAAGGTAGGAGACAGATAGTGGTGCTAGGGGGTTGCTTTTTGGACTGGAGGCCCAAGACCAGTGATGTGCCACAAGGATCGGTGTTGGGTCCATTGCTTTTCATCATTTATACATTTGGTTTGGATGTGAATATAGGAGGTATGGTTAGTAAGTTTGCAGATGACACCAAAATAGGTCATGTTGTGCACCGTGAAGAAGATTATCTCAGAGTACAATGAGACCTTGATCAGATGGACCAATGGGCCAAGGAGTGGCAGATGGAGTTTAATTTAAATAAAATGTGAAGTATTGCATTTTGGTAAGGCAACCTGGGGCTTATACAGTTAATGCTAGGGCCCTAGAGAATGTTGCCAAACAAAGAGACCTAGGGGTGAAGGTGCATAGTTCCTTGCAAGTGGAGACACAGGTAGACAGGGTGGTGAAAAAGGCATTTGGCCTGCTTGCCTTCATTAGTCAGAACATTGAGTATAGGAGTTGGGACGTCATGTTGCGGCTGTACAGGACATTGGTGAGGCCATATTTAGAATACTGCGTACAATTCCAGTTGCCCTTCTGAAGGAAGGATGTTGTTAAACTTCAGAGGGTGCAGAAAAGATTTACAAGGATGTTGCCAGGACTGGAGGATTTGAGCGATAGGGAGAGGCTGAATAAGCTGGGCTATTTTCCCTGGAGCGCCGGAGGCTGAGGGGTGACCTTATAGAGGTTTATAAAATCATGAGGGGCAGGGACAGGGTGAATAGCCAAGGTCTTTTCCCTGGGGTGGGGGAGTCCAAAACTAGAGGGCATAGGTTTAAGGTGAGAGGGAAAAGATTTAAAAGGGACGTGAGGGGTAACATTTTCATGCAGAGGGTGGTCCTTGTATGGAATGAGCTGCTAAAGGAAGTGGTGGAATCTGGTACAGTTACAATATTTAAAAGTATCTGGATGGGTACATGAATAGGAAGGGTTTAGAGGGATATGGGCCAAATGCTGGCAAATGAGACGAGGTCAGATTGGGATATCTGGTCAGCGCAGATAAGTTGGACCAAAAGATCTGTTTCCGTGCTGTATAACTCTACGACTCTAGGTCTACAGCACTTTCTTTCTTATTAGACTAGACACATTCTGCTGAAGGAAATTCTCCTGAACAGTCTCTAGAAACTCTTGCCTTTTTCTACCCCTTATTATTCACTCATAAAATTTGGATAATAAATTCCCCCATTGTAATCACTTTATAAATTTTGCACCTCAGTAGTTTCCTTGCATATTTGTTTCTCTACATCCTTCCCAATAGTTAGTGGTGTATATTCAATACAAACCAAATTAGTTGTACCTTTTTGTTCCTTAGCTTTAGCCAAATTGATTCAGTCCTTGTCCTTTCTGGGAAATCCTCTTTCCAAGGCATCTGTTCTGATCTGCAATGCTCAATACTAACTGATGCCTTATTGCTTGTTCTCAGGTACCTCAAATACTAGAGGGAGGAGTCAGAGTCGAGGTAAGATAGCATCTGCCCTGTTTGATACTGTGTCCATTGTGTTCTTTAGCCTACAAAGGCATCATTGTGGTTCTCGCAGCAGCAGTTTGTCTATGTCTCTGACACAGGTTTCAGGTGTGAATGCTAACTGCAGCTTGACTGCACTCAGCATCTCTGACTTGCTCAGTGGATCACCCTCTTAACTCAAACTAGATGGTTTGGGATTAAGCTTCACTTCTGAGATATGAGTCCAAACACAGGCTAACACTTATGGTTCAGTTCTGAAGGAGCCCAGCATAGTCAAGGGTTCAGCACTGAGGGAGTGCTGCACTCTCAGAGGATCAGTACTGAGGGAGTGCCGCACTGTCAGAGCGTCAGTACTGAGGGAGTGCCGCACTGTCAGAGGGTCAGTACTGAGGGAGTGCCGCACTGTCAGAGGATCAGTACTGAGGGAGTGCCGCACTGTCAGGGGATCAGTACTGAGGGAATGCTGCACTGTCAGAGGATCAGCAATGAGGGAGTGCCACACTGTCAGAGGGTCAGTACTGAGGGAGTGCTACACTGTCAGAGGGCCAGTTCTGAGGGAGTGCTACACTGTCAGAGGGCCAGTTCTGAGGGAGTGCTACACTGTCAGAGGATCAGTACTGAGGGAGTGCTACACTGTCAGAGGGCCAGTACTGAGGAAGTGCCGCACTGTCAGAGAGTCAATACTGGGGAGGTGCTGCACTGTCAGAGAGTCATATTAGAAGGTCAGTACTGAGGAAGTGGTGCGCAGTCTCCCTGTTCAGCTGATTTTTTTATCTTGTGGCATTATTTCAGAGCAGACTGTGATGTTATACCTGAGATAGGAAACGAAGGCTACTGCTGGAGTCTCGTGATTACACATTTACAAACTTTTATCAACAAAGACACACATTGCATATCTACAACTCCAATCCAACCTTGATAGTTTTGACCAGTTAACACCCATCTGAATTAATGTGGAATAATAAAATAAAACTTATTACTAGAATACAAAAATCACACAATTAATGTGCAGAGTCTCTTGGGAATAATTCTCCCACTGATTGTGTTCCTTGTTAAAAGTAGTGTATAAATGTAAAGTGCTGCTGATTGTGGAAACACCAAGATGTAAGAATTGAAACTGCCCTATCTGTAACGATGGATGCTGTGTAGGGTGAGTGAGGGGCAATATAAACAGCTGAGACCATACTATCTGCTTCCACTGAGTAATTGGAGCTTCTTGTGTTTCAGAGAGTGCAATCCGGGCCCGGCTGCAGAGTGCTTCACCATCCGGACGATGTAAGTACCACTTCCATCTGTTGGTGAAGACTGGGGCGTGTGGGGTGTGGGGTGACAGTGCGTGGACCCAACCTCCCAGCCTTTATTGTATTGATTCTGGCTTCTCCATTACTGTGTGTGAACCCCATCCCTGGGAGTAGGTGAACTGGGGTTCACACTGGGAGGGTAGGAAACTGGAGGATTGTGGGACTTGCAGAGTTATAAACTCAGGATGGTTTTATAGATCAGGCTTGTATTCACCTGACTAAGCAAGGTATATGTGACAATTAAAGCAATTTAATAGGGTCAGTGGAATTTCTCTGCTGGGTGGGGTGTTCCAGAACAAGGGGGTCAGATCCTTAAAACCCGAGCCAGGCCATTCAGGAAGAGGATGTCAGGAAGCTCTTCCTCACATAGCGGGGAGTTGAAATCTGGAAATCTCTGCCCTCAAAAGACAGTGAGGCTGGGGTTCACTGCGAATATCAAATCTCACATGGACAGATCTCTGTGGTGTAAGGGAGGGTTAAGAGTTACTGAAACAACATGGGCTGATGGAGGTAAAGTACAGATCACAATCTAATTAGAAGCTGCAATAGACTGAAGGGATCTGAATGTTTCCTCCTGGTTCTGTGTTCTGAGGATGAAACATGTGGTGAGAAAATACCCCCTCCCTCACTACATTCCCTCCCCCAACCCTCTAAACTGGCACTGCCAACAACCTGCTGCCTTATTTACAGAATGTGGGACCCAGCTAAAGGGAGATGGAATGGTCAAAGCACGCTGTGTCTGCAAGTTTTTTTTTCCCCTTTATTCATTCACGGGATGAGGGCATCACTTATTGCCCATCCCTAATTGCCCAGAGGGTAGTTAACAGTCAACCACATTGCTGTGAGCCTGGAGTCACATGTAGGCCATACCAGGTAAGGATGGCAGTTTCCTTCCCTAAACGACGTTAGTGAGCCAGATGGGTTTTCCTGACAATTGACAATTGACAATTGACAATGGATTCATGGTCATCATTAGATTGTTAATTCCAGATATTTATTGAATTCAAATTCCACCATCTGCCATGGCAGGATTTGAACCCAGGTTCCCAGAACATTATCTGGGTCTCTGGATTAACAGTCCAGCGATAATACCACTAGGCCATCGCCTCCCCTATGTCTATGTGTTTATCTGTGTGTGCTTGTCCATTTGTGTCCATGCGCACTCTGTGTTCACAATGGGTGTATGTGTTTGTCTGTCACCATGTCCGTATGCATGTGCTTGTCTGTGTGTGCGTGTGTGTATGCGTGTGTGTGTGCATGTCTGCCTGTGTGCATCTTTAGTGAGTGCATGCATGTTTGTACATATATTTTGGTGTGTGTGTGTGTGTAAGTCTGCAACTCTCAGATACTGAACAGGCTCCCTTTGATACTTTTCCTGCCACCCCCCTCCAATTCCAGGATAAATATTAGTCTGCTCCTCACATTCTGATTTGTCACATTATTGTAGAGAATGGCTTTTTACTAGTTCATGTGTCAGGAGATGATGAGCTCTCACCTCTAACATGGGTGGATTCCCTCTAGATCAGGATGTTGTACCCAGGGTGGTTCCCAGGCTCTGACCTTGTCCTGTTTTGTTGCTGTACCCAGGGACAGAGTTGGATGATGTGAAACGGTTATTGAAAGGCAGCCGATCGGCCAGCATCAGTCCACCTCGCACGACTACTAGCACCCTGCCATATCCCAAAAAGGCTGTTGTGGAAACTAAGATGGTGAGCGCAAGTTCACAGTCAGGTAAGGGAGTGTCTCGACTGAGATTGATGCATGTTTACTCTAACTTTCCTGTTTTTAATCCCAAAATGAGCCTGAGCTGTTTTGATTGTTTCAATGAAGTCTATGATCTCTTTTTATTTCTTGCCAAATGTACAACTCCGTACTTATCTATATTGAGAAAATGTGGACACAAACACAAAAATGACTGAATCTCTCAATCTCCATTTCTTTCTCACTTCCTTCCTTTCCCAGTCAATCTCTTTCCATCTCTCCCTTTTTCCCTGTCTCTCTTTCTCTCTGCTTCTCTGTTCCTTCGCTTGTTTCCCCTTTCTATCCATTCTTGAGAGCTTCTACCTCTCCTTCTGACTAGCGCATTTATAAAACACAGACCGTGTGATGATTGTTCCTTTCCATTTTCCCAGTGTCTGGGAGATATGATACTGCTATCCTGAGTGCTGCTTTACCTGCCTACATCTGGACTACGCCTGTACCGGCCGGTGGCTCCAGTATCGGAGTGACGGAGTATCGTAACAACCTCTCCTCGGCTGGGACACAAATGTTCAATACAGCAGGATCCACTTCTCTAATAGGTAAGTACCAAACCTCAACAGCACAGAATCAGCACCTCTCACTGTCCAGGGCCCCTGCTCAGGAACTGTATCGACAGGAATCTTATACCCAGCAATACACTGTATGTTGTTGTAAAATATACTGTTATACCCAGTATCACACTGCTGTTATATAATGTACAGTTCATACCCAATAGCACACAGTGTGTTACTGTAGAATATAGACTATTATTCCCAATTAAACACTTAGAATACTATATAAATATATATTCACACAGTTATACCCAGTAACAGTGTTATTCCATAATACAGACCGTATTATACCCAGTAACAGTATGTTACTAGATAATATTTACTGTGTTATACACAGTGACATGCAGTGTATTGTTATATAATGCCAATAACACACTGTACCATATAATATATAACACTACTGAAGGAACTGTTGGAGATCAGAAACAAAAACAGAAATTGCCGGAAAAGCTCAGTATCTGTGTGGCAGCATCTGTAGAGAGAAATCAGAGTTAACGTTTAGATCCAGACACCCTTTCTCAGACCTGCTGAGCACTGGGTCACTGGATCTGAAACATTAGCTCTGATTTCTCCCCACTGGTGCTGCCAGGCCTGCTGAGCTTTTCCAGAAAATTCTGTTCTTGATATATATACATCACTGTTTGGTGTTTAGAAGTTGCCCAGTTTCTGGTAGTTACATTGCAGCTGCAGCTCTGAGCATTTCAAGGTCTCAGTGTGCTACGCTCTCTGGGTTAACCAATGCCACCACACTGAGAGAGAGAGTTCTCTCAGTGACAGAATATAATGAATTTAAACAGAAACTGATTTTGGAATTCTTGGTGATTCTGTAGACTGCTGTATGAGTGGATTTCAGTGGCTTGGTTCTAAATGCTGTCTCTCTGAGACTAGTTTGACTTAATCTCTATTGATCTCAAATTCAAATTATTTCATTTTTCACAGTAAATGAAATCCAGAATAACAAAGCTACAAGCCCAGTGACAGGGACTGTGGGAATGACCACTTCAACAGGTCAGTTGATTGACTAACTGATTTAACACAGATGAATCAATACCCCGACCTTTGGATAAATATCATATAAAGTTCTGGAAATCTCTGGTTAGACTCCACCTGCAGTCCAGCATTCTGTTCTGCGCTCCTCACATTTGTTAAGAATTTAGTGGAATGGCCAAGCAAAAATTCACCAAAATGATATTTAGACTTAAAGGGTTAAATTATGAGGAAAAACTAGCTCTGCGTACCCTTGAATACCAAAGGATTAACAGGTGATCTAACTGAGCTGTTTAAGGTGATTTTTGAGATGATACAGTTTAGATACATAGAGAAATAATGGTTTCTGGTGGGAATGGGGTTGGCTGTGTTGCCCGAAAGGAATACTCAAACCTTTTAGTCAGGTATTCTTTCTTTGTGTGACGGACAAAAGACAGTTCACATCTACTCATAAAATCAGAACCCAAAATATGCTGCACTGTTTGGGGAACTTGTACTAAAATGGCTGGGTGATAACAAACCACATTAGAGCCAGGCCATTGAAGGGTGACATTAAGGGGCACTCCTTCCTGCGACTCCCATTTAAAATGAAAATGAGGAGAAATCTTATCTCTGAGAGAGTTGTTAGTCTGTTGGACCCTATTCCCCAGAGAGGATTGAAGATTGGGTCATTGCATGGTTTTAAGATGAAAAGGTTTCTTCTCCTGAAATGATGCAGGATGAGCAGAAATTTTCAGCAAATAATTTTTGGGGAGACTGAAGCCATTGTCTACCATCCCTATCACAAAGTCTTTTGCCTTGTTACTGACTCAAACACTCTCCCATGCTGGGTCAGAATCGGACAGTTTATAAGTTGTATATTCTATTGGGCCCTGAGCCAAGTTCTGATCACATGTCCACTCCACAATCCAAGACTGCATAGCTCCCTTTCCATCATATTTCCTGTCTCTGTCCCTGCGTCAATTCATCTGCTCCTGAAACCTCATCTTCGTTACCCTTTGTCACTTTTAGACTAGCTATTGCACTGCTGTCCTCCTGTCAGTCACGCTCTGTAAACTTCAGCAGATCCTGAACTCTACCCCCTATGTCATAACTTACCAAAATCCAGTTCCTTTATGACTGCCTGTGTTTATGGACATACGTTGACTCCCCATCTGACAACACCTCTATTTTAAAATTCTCTCCTTGTCTGCCAATTTCTCCGTGGTCTCACTATTTAAGTTCGCCCACATCAACAACCCTGTCAGCTCTCTGCGCTCTTGCAATTCTGGCCTATTCTGCAATCTGCTTCATTCCCATTGGCAGCCACAGTCTGAAATTCCCTCCCTAGACCTCTCTGCCTTTCTAATCATGTTTCTGAAAACTGACCACTTTGACCAAGCTTTTGGGCTCCTGTCTCAATATTTGCGAATGTATCTCAGTTTAAAATCCTGTCTGACTGCACCCCTATGAACAACCTTCTGTTAAAGGCTCTTGCTTTATTTGGGGAAGAGGGGGTCAGGGAGGCTGTGGGAGAGGGGGTCAGGGAGGCTGGAGAGAAAGGGTCAGGCAGGCTGTGGAAGAGAGTGTCAGGAAAGCTGGGAGTGAGGGTCAGGGAATTAGGCAGAGATCTTCCTCCCTGGCAGAGTACTCCCATCCACTTGGCTGCCCAGCCATCATTCCTCACAGTAGAGGACAGTGCACAGGCACAGACACAGGAGTGTTTGCAGCATGTGCAGTTGAGTGCTGGCTATGGACATACATAGAACAGTAGAACAGTACAGTGCAGTACAGCACACTTGGTTGTCAGCTTCATACTCACTGAGCTTTTTGACCAGGCAGCTCCAGAAATATGTGTCAGGCCTCAAATCCTTTAATATAACTTTAAAAAAAAACAAAGATAATGTTTCTGGTAGCGGCAATGATATGGCACTGCAAGCTTGTGTTCCTGCAAATGTGTGGGCATTGTGCTACTGATGGTCATCTTCACAATAAGTGCAGCTATCTCCAATCACTGCTAACTCTATTCCCATCCTGCTCTCACCCTGCGTGTTATCTTCTGTATTGTTAACAGTTCAAGGGGTTCAGAACAATCTAACAGCCGCATCCAGTTTGGTCACTAGTCCAACACAGACCCAGACTAACTCCAACTCAGGTGAGTAAAGCACCAGTTACCAGCAACAGTGTCCTCTTCATATTTCAGTGTAATGTTAACAGGATTAGAGTCCAGCAGAGAAATCGGTGAACCAGAAATTAGGGCAAATGGGGTAAAAAGGGATAATTAGGAACCGGGGTAAGTGGGTAACAGCACAGCCCAGGAAGCTTTAAAGAAGAACATAATTATGTTGGAAGGAGTTCAGAGGAGATTCACTAGACTAATACCTGGAAGGTGTGTGTTGTCAAATGAGAGAAAGTTGGACAGTCTAGGCTTATACCAACCTAAGTTTAGTACAGAAAGACGTAACTTGATTGAAACATATTAGACCGTGAAGAGTATTGACCAGTTAGATAGAGAGTCAGCACCCTCAGGAACTGTATCCCAGTGAGAGTCAGCCCCTTCAGGGAACTGTATCCCAGTGAGAGTCAGCACCTTCAGGAACTGTATCCCAGTGAGAGTCAGCACCTTCCGGAAGTGTACCCCAGTGAGAGTCAGCCCCTTCAGGAGCCGTATCCCAGTGAGAATCAGCACCTTCAAAAACTGTATCCCAGTGAGAGTCAGCGCCGTCAGGAACTGTATCCCAGTGAGAGTCAGCGCCTTCAGGAACTGTATCCCAGTGAGACTCAGCATCTTTGGGAATTGAGATATGTGGCACTTAGAGGAGGAATTTAGTTGGTGAATAAATGTGCTATTAGTTCTGAGTTTTGATATATTCATTTGTTCTGATTGTGTTTATTTCATTCTCTCCTCGGTTCCCTAATGGATGTCTCTGCTCCTTCCGCTGTCCCTCCAGCACTGGCGGTGCAGAAAAACCTTGCTTTGAATTCCAGTGGTGTTACTGGCCAGACTAGCTCCACAGGTCAGTGAGTGACATCGTTACCCTGGCAAATCCAGCAGACTGATATCCCCAAAAATCCCATCACACTGATACCTTGGCAATCCAGGCATTTCCAGCATGCCGCTCCTCTGAGCGCAATTTAAAGGGAATGTTACATGGTCATTTCTCCTCTCATTTATTCATTCTAACCTCATTCATTCTGGTTTCCACCCTTTAATCAAAATGACATTTGCTGATTTCCATGTTGAGATTTTTGGAATCAGATTGTTTGGGATTTTGGGAATGAGATGTGTTGAGGATTTTGGGATCAAGATGTATTTGGGATTTCGGTGATGGGATATGTTGGGGATTTTGGGATCAGAATTTTGAGGATTTTGGAATTGGGAATGTATTGGGTTTGGGATCGGTATGTGTTAGGGATTTCAGGATCAGGAATGTGCTGGGGATTTTGGGACTGGGGTTTATCAGGAGTTTCAGGGCCGAAGTTGGAGTAGGGAGTCACTCTTTGTAATGTTTCTCTTCACAGTGGGGACCACAGGCACTGACGACATTTTACAGAAAGACTACAAGTTTTTGCTGCTGGAGAAGGAAAACACTCCTCCTAAAAAGGACACAGAGCTTCTGATCATGACCAAGGACAGCGGCAAACTCTTCACTGCGTCTCCTGCCAGCTTTACTGGTAACATTCAAAACTGCTCACTAAACAAGAGACTGGTGCGTGCGTGGAATGCACTGTCGGCAGTGGTAGTGTAGTCAGATACATTAGGGACATTTAAGCGACTCTTGGATAGGCACATGGATGATAGTAAAATGTAGGTTATGCAGGGTAGTTTGTTCTTAGAGTAGGATAATAGGTCGGCACAACATTGTGGGCCTAAGGGCCTGTACTGTGCTGTACTGTTCTATGTTCTAATTCCTGAAGTGACCTAGCTAGACACAGCTCCCAACTCATGTCCAGCTCAACACCCAACTCTAACCTGACTCAAATCTGAATTCACACCAACCTTGCACCCATCCCCAGGCACAACCCAGCTGTGGGACTACATTGCCACAGTCTTCAGTCTTGCCAAAACTGACCCTATAGTGTGTCCCCAACCTGGATGTGCTGCTGTCACATTCAAACAGCACTTGACAGCCCTCCCAGTAAAATAATTAGGTAGTGCTATTTGTATCCAGGCTCAAGAACAATCTTATGGCTAGAGGGATCTTGGAGCTCTTATCTCTGGGTACTAAATGCTAAACAAGGCAGCAATGGGAAAGCTTCAAAGGAGCTTAATGCCCTGTACAAGGAAGGGGTAACAAACAGTGAGGGTTCCTGTAGCTGACCAACCATCTGGCAAAGATCCTACCCTTTGGAGGTTCTGGGAACCTGAGCAAGTATCAGGAGAGGAGAGAATGATTTATTAAACTGGCCAAATTCACAGTGACCATCCCACACAGGATTGAGAAGTGACAAATTCCAAACCATGTCACCACTTAATATTCACACTGGATGAAAATCCTTATAATTCCAACTGGATTGAATTGTTTCCATTGGAATACTAAGGAATAGAGATGAACTAATTGGGCAGAATATTAGGAAGAGGAAATTAGGTTTTAGACGCAGAAAAATATCAGCGGAACTAAAAATAGACGAGGAAGTGGGAAGTGCAGTTTCCTATCAAAGCAATCACCACAATTATGTGGCCTAAAGGTGCATCCCTTTGCATATTACCCCCTTCACTCTCTTTACCCATTACCTCCATCACTCCCTTTACCTTCACAGCAGCCCCTGTCCTCCCATCATTACTTGTATCACCTTCACCCAGTACCTCCATCGACACTATACCTCCTCCATGCCATTGTCCCCTCCACCACCCTCACTATGTATCCCTATGTCTCCTGCACTCTCCAACTCCTCATCAAATACCTCCATCACTCATAGTACCTCCATCGCACCAAACACCATTTCCCCCTCTATCTCTTCTCTCAGAATCCACAATAAACCCCTCACACCCTTACATCTCCATCATCCTGCTGACCTCAGCTTCTCTTTCCTCTTTAACACCTTCACCCCTACAACCTCCCCTCCCCCAGCACCTCAGCACCCTTCAGTCTCTTGTTCCCTTGGCTGTTCTCTCCTGAACACTTTTCAATCTTGGACACTGCCTCATCCCCGCCCCTCCACGACCTTCACCTGCTGCATATCTCTCTCACCATAACTCTCACGTCCCTTGTGCCCCTCACACCTTCTGTGCCCCACACAGCATCTCCACCCCTTGTTCATTCTGTGGGCAGAGGGAAATTGTGCCACTTGTGGACTGGGTAACGTTAATGTAAAGGGTGGGGGGTAGATCTGGTGCGAAGCTTGGCCGGTTAATTTGATTCCAGTTTGTGTCTCACAGCGTCAACCACAGATGATGGTTTGAAGAAAGAACAGATAGTGATGAGCAGTGCTGCATCGGGGCTCAAGGCTCATACAAACGGTGAGCAGTGGATAAGACAGACTGTACAAGGTCACACAATTCCTCCCAGAGTTTCACTGGAGCAATGCCTGAGATCCCATGTTTCCATGGCTTCACTTCATATAGCAATAACGTTTTGGAATTTAATCATAGCTTAACTCGGAGTGTCAATTAAATCTTTGTTGTTTTTTGCTGTGGCTGTCTGATACTCACACTGTCTCTCTATCTAGCTATGTAATGCTCTATCTTTCCATCTGACTTTGTCTCTCCACCTGATGTCTCTGACACTCTCTATCTGATTCTCCGTCACGCCTGTCTTTCTTTCTCTATCTTATACTGTTGTCTGTTCACTGATGAATAAGTGTTTCTATTTGTCCAGGAGGTCTGAAGATGGCAACTAAGGACAAGGTAACGTATGCAGGTCAGTGAAAACACCCAGTTGTTCTATGTCCACATTGCCTGACAAGCCCAAACATTGAGCTGAGATTCAGCAATCATTCAAAGCACGGAAGTTGTGAATGTAAAGAACTCTAAGGTTCTCGAACATTGAACATAGATGTTCTGTTCATGATTAAAACACAAGAGGGGGCAATTCAGGTCATCAGGCATGTCTTATCTCTTTAAAAGAGCTTCTCATTGAGTTCTATGCCCAGCTGCTCTCTCCTCATCACCCTGCATGTATTTCTTTAGAACATAAGAAATAGGAGTAGGAGTAGGAGTAGGCCATCTGGCCTGTTGACCCTGCTCTGCCATTCAATAAGATCATATTGACCTTTTTGTGGACTCAGCTTTACTTGCCCTCCCACTCACCATAACCCTCAATTCCTTTACTGTTCAAAAATCTATCTATCTTTACCTTAATACATTCAACAAGGCAGCCTCAACTGCTTCACTGGGCAGGGAATTCCAAAGATTCACAACCCTTCTCCAATTCTCTTTGGAAAGTTTCTATTGAATCTGTTTCCACAGATCTTTTTAGACAATACAATCCTCATCACAACAACTTGTGTAGAAAAAAATCTCATTTTGCCCTTTGGTTCCTGTGCCAATCACTTTAAGTCTGTGCCTGCCTTTTACCGATGCTCCTGCCACAGGCAACAGTTATATTCCATTCAAACTATTCCTGATTTTGAATGCCTCAATTAAATCTCCATTTAATCTTCTCTAGTCCAAGGAGAACAATCCCAGCTTCTCCAGTCCCTCCACATGAACTGAAGTCTCTCATTCCTGGTGCCAATCTGTCCCCAAGGCCTTCACATCCTTTCTAAAGTGTGAAGTTTTATTTATTTTCACTGCAATGTCTTCACAGTTGCATTAGGCCACCATTGAGTTGGGTGATTGATCATGATCTACGATGGTGAAGCAAGTTTGAAAGGCTGCATGGCCTCTTCAAGTCCCTGTGTTCCAATTTATTCAGTGCCTCCTCTTTATAAAGCCCAGAATCACCCTGTACATCAGACACAACCCTAAACCCCAGTAAACTGCTTGCCTGCCTGCCAGCTAGCTGGCAGTATTGATAATTGCTCATGTTTTCTGTGCCTTTCTTTGCAGAGATCCGGTCGAGTGAGGAGAATGTGGGCTCCTTGCCTTCCTGGTGCTCCTGCTGTCGTTGCTGCACCTGGTGGAAGTGGCTGCTGGGACTGCTCTTGGCCTGGTTACTGCTCCTTGGCCTCCTACTCGGCCTCATTGCACTGGGTAAGAATTGGGGGAAAGGGAGAGAGGGATGCTGCAGGGACCAAGAAAGGCTGGGGCAGGGTCAGAGAGCAGGGGTCTGAGGGAAGGGCAGAGAGCATAGGGCTGGGGGAGGGAGCAGGGAGTGGGGGCTGGAGAAATTTCGTCACCCAGAGAGTGGCGAGCTTGAGGAAGTTTCTCCACACAGAAAGTCACTTAGGCCAAAGCATAGTTTTCAAGCAGGAGTTAGATATACTTTATAGGGCTAAAGAATCTGAACCAGGGGCAGGCTGCTGAGTTGGATCATCAGCCCTGATCATAATTCAGATCAGAATCGAAGGGCCGAATAGCCTGCACCTGTTCCTATTTCCTATGATTCTAAGGCGGCTCATCCTAGGGAACTATGGTCGGGCACAAAATGATAGCTTTGGCATTGATGACCACTTCCATAGGATAAGACGCAAAACAGAGGATTGAAGAATTTGGGCTGGACCTTTTTCTGATTAGTTAGGTGTGGGTGAAGGCAGTACCTACGTTGGTGTGACCCTGACGGGGTTTAGGGTTAATGATAAGCTCCTGACTGAAGCAACCATCAATAGGGATCTGGCTGCAGTAAGTGAAAGCAGCTGAGGTGGCCATTTGTGGAAGGTCAGGGAAATCCTGAATCAAAGTTTCGTGCCTATAGGGACCTTGAAAGTTTTCTATCCTTGCCCTTCTTTAGTTGGTCCCTGGGCCTGCAGTTGTCCGAGTGGAAATAACAGGGTGTAGGGGAAGGGAAAATGTGAGTTAATTCTCCTGCACAGATCTAATTAGAATGCAGGGGAGAATTCAATGTTTGTGTACTGATTTTGAGAGAATGGATGATGGCCTGGAGGAGGGTGGGGGGGTGCGTGGGGTTGGGGGGTGTGGTGCAGGGGAAGAGCCCACTTTGTTTCGAGTGTGAGCTGGTCACCAGCTTACCAACTCCAGTTGAATGCAACGCTAGGCTTTCATCGCGTGTTCTTTTCACTCCAATCGCCACAGCCTGGTGAAATAGACCCTGTTCTCTAACTCCTTATAATTATTGGAGAGAAGTGTTGAAGACAAGCACAGTTACCCCACAGATTTTACTCCTTGTCCTTCATGCTGAAATGCTCTGGGGATTGATCTCCAATTCTTGGAGAATCCAGGCCAATCCTGGAGGCATGGGAACACGTCCCACCCCAATCTGGTTTTCTAATCATTTTTGTCTTAGCTCTAAATGTTCCGTTTGAGTCCTGATTGACAGTATGATTGCCATAGAGACCGTTGACCCATGTGACTCTATTTCTGCAGCGGAAGAGGTAAAGAAGCTGAAAAGCCGTGTCAGCGAACTGGAATCAAGACCAACATTTGGGAAGCTTCATTCTGACCCTGTTAATATCCCGAAGGAAGAATGGGATAGACAGCTGGGCGCGGCAGCTGGTGGCTCAGAAACAAACATTGAACGTAACATATGGACCCGGATAAAAAACAAATTAGAGACCCCAGAATATCAAGGTGAGAGCACAGAGTCCAGGGAAAATGGCCAAAGCATTTTGTGTTGGGAACATTGTTAAATGCAATGAGATTTTCCCATGACTGATGTTTAAAAACAAGATTATTCCATCTGAAATCAGCAGAAAATTTCTATTTCTGACTCACCTCCTCCCCATATGCTTCCACCCCACCTCCATATTCCTCAATTCCACCTTTTCCCCAAATCCTTCAATCCCTCCTCCTCCCCATTTCCCTCAATCCCATCAAACCTGTTGTGAAAAGGACAAGGATGGATCTGAAATCAAAGTTCTAAATTGGGAGTAAGCCAGTTTTTTTTATAAGATCAGGTATGATTTGGCCAGAGTACACTGGGAGCAGATATGTTTAGCTAAATCTGTGTCAGAGCAGTGGGACACATTCAAGAAGGAAATAGGAAGAGTACAGGACCAATATGTTCCAATAAAGATAAAGGGTGGACTAACAATTCCATTGAGCTCTGGATATCAAGAGATAATGATTGGCTAAAGAGCAAAGGGGAGGCTTGTGCCACATAGCAAGGACTCAAAACAGCAGAAGACCTAGAGGGGTAGAGAATGTGCAAGGGGAGCTTAAAAAGCAAATTAGGAGAGCAAATGGGGGACATGAAAGGTAAAATAAAGGAAAATCCTGAGTTATTTTACAAGTACATTAAGGGAAAGAGTAGGGCCCATTAAGGACCACAGTAGCAATTTGTGCATGGATGCAAAGACCATATGTGTGGTTTTAAATGAATACTTTGTGATGATGTGGGTATAGAAGTCAAGGAGGAGGACTGATATATGTAAGGAAATGAGCATAGACACAGAGTAGGTTCTGAGTGGTCTGCAGTCTAGAAACCAAATAAATCTTCAGGGCTGGATGAACTGTATCTTAGTTTTTGAGTGAGGCAAGGGACGAAATAGCAGGGGCACTGGCAATAATTTTCAATTCCCCTCCAGCCACAGGGGAGGTGCCAGAGGACTGGAAGACAACAATTTGGTACCATGATTCAAGAAAGGAAGACGGGATAAACTGGGAAACTGCAGCCCTGTCAGTCTAACACAGTGGTGGGAAAACTATTGGAAACAATTCTGAGGATTAATCTGCACTTGGAGAGGCAGGAGTTAGTCAAGAACAGTCAGCGTGGTTTTGTTAGGGGCAAGTCATGTCTGATCAACTCAATTGAAATTTTTGATCAAGTGTCCAAATATGTAGGTCAGAGCAAAGCATTTGATGTGGTCTTTTTGGACTTATGCAAAATTTATTATAAGGTCCGGCATGGGATACAGACAGCAAAGGTAAGAGCCAATGGGATCCAAGGAAATTTGGGGCAAATTGGATCCAGAATTGGATGGGTGGCAGGAGGCAGAGGGTGATGGCCAAGGAGCGTTTGTGTGTCTTGAAGCCAATGTCCAGTGGGTTTCCACAGGGAACAGTGTTGGGGTTGTTGCTTTTTATGGTATATACAAATTATTTAGATTTGTATGTAGGAGGGTTAAGCAGTAAATTTGCAGATGATATGAAATGCAGTGTAAATAGTGAAGAGGATGGCCTTAGATTACAAGAGAATACAGACGGGTTGATCAGTGGCAAATGGAATTCAATCCGGATAAGTGTGAGATAATGCACTTGGGCAGGACAAACAAGACCAGGGAATAGATAATGATCAGTACCACTAAGGACCAGAGAGACCTCAGCGCGCACGTCCACCAGTCCTTTAAGATAGCAGCACAGGTTGATAAAGTGTTTGAGAAGGTATATCAGATACTTGCCTTTATTACCTGACACATAGAGTTTAAGAGCAGGGAGGTTTATGCTGGAACTGTGTAAAATTCTGGTTAGGACACAACTGGAGTATTGTATGCAGTTGTGGTCACCACATCATAAGAAGGCTATGGTTGCACTGGAGAGGGTGCATGGAGATTCACCAAAATGTCACCTGGGCTAGAGAGTATTAGTTATGAAGAGAGATTGAATAGACTGGCGTCGTTTTCCTTGGGGCAGAGGTGACTGACAGAGGGGACATGATTGAAATGAATAAAATTATGAAGGGCATAGACAGAGTAGACAGGAAGGAACTTTTCCCCTTAGTGGAGGGATCAGTGACCGGAGGGCATAGAGTTAGGGTAAGGGGCAGGAGGTTTAGAGGGATGGGTGGAAAATGTTTTTCATCCAGAGGGTGATGAGAATCTGGAACTCGGTGACTGTAAGGGTGATAAAAACAGAAACCATCATAACATTTAAGAAGTATTTAGATGTGCATTTGTGGTGCCAAGACATACAAAACTAGGGTCCAAGTGCTGGAACATGGGATTGGAATAGTTAGTTGTTTTTGACTGGCATAGACTTGATGGGCTGAAGAGCCTTTTCCGTGCTGTTGACCTCTATGACTTCCTCCTATCCCTCAATCCCATTTCCCTCATATCCCCCAATCCCACCTCCTTCATATCCCCAATCCCACCTCCTCCATTTCCCATGGGAGACAGAGATGTACTGATAACGTATGTGGATTAGCCAAAGCCCATGTTAATGCTCTGAAGAGGTGGCTTCAAATCTCACCTCTGCAGTTGGTTAATTAGTAAATCTAGAGTATAAAAACTAGTCTCTGCAATGATGATCAAGCAATTGCCATTGATTGTTATAAAAGCCCATCTGGTTCACCAATATCCCTCAGTGTAGGAAATCTGCCATCCTTACCTGGCTTGGCCTCCATGGGACTCCAAACCCTCTGCAAAATAATTGGCTCTGAAACTGCCCTCTGAAATGGTTGGGTAAGCCACACAATTCAAAGGCAATTAGGTAAGGGTGGAAAATGCTGGCCTCACCAGCAACACCCGCATCTCATGAAAGAATAAGAGAGAAATAATCTTCAACACTCAGTGATTTGTTAAATGTTACTGAAGACTCTGGTTTAGAAATTATTTTTAAGTAGCAGTTACTAGCTGGGAAGTAGTAATATTAATTTACCTCCATGTTTCCGGCCAACGCTGATTCTCATTATCTCTCGTTACAGATTCGGTGAGAGGACGACAGGGTGAGTACCTGGTACAACAGAGCTCTGACTGTATTTGGAGTGAATCTTTCCAGCCCCATGCTGATTTGCTGGGAGATGGATTTGGGAAGAGGGTGGTAGTACTGGGAAAATAAGGGAAGCAGCATTGGACGGTTCTCTGATGCACCCCTCTGTTGAGGACATTTTCCGCGGATGGTCAGGGATCTGGATCAGGTCCCTGCACCGTGGAGTTGGGAAGTCGAGGTATAAAATTGCAGACTAAATTAGGTTGTCTTATTTTGGCAAGGTCAACATTCTGTGACCAGCAGCAGAGGCCCGATCATATAAGAGACGGTCATTGCCGTGGAGGCAGCTCCTTTAGGCAGTCCAAGAGGCGATTGAAGCATAAGGCTCTGTATTCCAAAGAAGAGGCTAAGGTCAAGAGAGTCCTTGTTTGCACCTCAAACAATTCCCCAGAGGATTCCCCCTCCTTGGTTGGACCAAGTGGCTGTGGTCCTGATTATTTCACCTTTAAAAGAATCTTCTCCAGGTGGAGCCCCATGTTGGAGTACCTACACGGTCCCAATGAGTGTCAGCATTGGCCACCTCTACTCATGGAGCTGGTGAGGCTTCAGAACTGACTGGTCTGGTACCATTAAGAGACAGCCCACCTCTTTAATAGGACAGAGTAGAGGTGACTAGTTAGGAGACACGTTATCAGCAAGTGCGAACCTGAAACCTGCATTCTCTCCCCATTTTGGTTCTCTGAAGCTTGTCAGGATGTGAACTCCTAAGTCACAGATACCTCTGTCAGAGAGCCAGCACAAGTATTTGGGCCGAATGGCCTCCTCTGTGTAATGTAAGTCTATGTAATGTCAATGTGTTCCTTTAGCTCTCTCTGCCCAAAGTATAACAGCAATTCTGTGTTCTGTTCCCTGACCCCATTCCTTTTTGTTGGTGATTCTAACAAATATTCTTTATTTTCTATTGCCTTTTGAACAGGTCCTCCAGGGGTTAAAGGTAAGCCAGAAAGCTTCCTTCAAATTTACTTTTTAATTTTTTACTCTATTACCCATTTATCACCTTGTCACTTTGGCTACTCTCATCTCCCTTCTTCCATTTCTCTCTCCCTGTATCCAACTCTCTCTCTCGGCCCCACTTTGATCTCTCTGTCTGTGTCTCACGCTGCTTTTATCTCTCTCTCTCTGTTTCTGAGTCTCTCCCTTGCTCTGTCTCTCTTGTTCTCTCTTTCTGCCTTTCTGTCTCTCTCTCTCTGTCTCTCTGTTTCACATTTGAGTCTGTCTTCCTCATCTCTTCCACTTTCTTCCTTTCTGTGGTCTGTCCAGTCTCTGAAATTTTGTTAACACTTCCGTTAACCTGTTCCTGTTATATTATTTACAGGTGATCAAGGATTTCCTGGAATGCCAGGTAACTTTAATTTGTGTCACAGTGATGTATATTCTTTGCATTATTCTATCAGATTGAGGTGTGTTCATAAGAACAGAGAAGTCTCAGGAATATTAAATGACCAATTGGCCCCATTCTTTTCAGAAATTAACTCCACTCAGCTCCTTCCCTTATCTCTCAATCGTACCACTCACCTTCTCTGAAACCACAAATCTCAAACTTCTCACTTTGAGGCAGCGCCCTCAGATTTTGCCTCTGGTTATTTTGCTAATCATTATCACATCTGTGTCCTCTCTCACTGACCCTCCTGTCAGTGGAATAAGTTTGTCCTTGTCTATTCCATCTGGGCCCCTCATGATTTTGAACATTCCGATGAAATCTCCTTTCTCTGCCCTAAGGAGAACAAGCTCAGTCTCTCCACATGAGTTGAACTCCCTCATCCCTGGTACCATTCTAGTAAATCTCCTCTTCACCTTTTCCCAGCCCTTGACATTGTTCCTGTCTGCACACAATCCTTCAGCCAGGGCTGAAGCAGGTTCAGCATCACACCCTCATTTTTGTACTGTATGCTGTTTTAGAAAGTTAAGAATCATAGAGTTTCAGTATCGTGGTAACAGATTCTCTAATTCCTTTTCTCTTTGTGGGATAAGATCGGTATAAACATGGTTTGTTGATAGAAATATCAGGGTAAGGCTGAAAAATGGTAAAACACAAAATCCAAGAGGCGTTTGTTGCAGAATTTTCATCTCCTGTGACTCCAGCTCCTATTGGTCAGTGAGCCTTTCTGCCCCCAACTCCTATTTGCTCAGTGGGCTCAGGGACGTAGCTTTTTACAATCTCTATTAATAACTGAGGCCAAGAAACAGAGTAACGTATCCAGGGTTTCTGACCAAATATACAGCTAAGTGGGAATGTAAGCCGTGTGGAGGACACAGAGGCTGCAAGGAGATACAGACAGACTACGCAAACGGGTAACAAGGTGGTAGATGGAACATAATGTGAAGAAGTTCAAAGTTTTTCATTTTGATAGGAAAAATTTTAAAAAAGCAAAATGCAGTGGGTGTGTTCGTCCGAGGAACACTAAAAGCCAATATGCAGGTACTGCAAGCAATTAGAAAAGCAGATGACTTGTTAAACTCTATGTAGGGGATTGGGATACAGGAATAAAAAAAGTCTTACTGCAATTATGTAGGGGTTTAGTGAGACCACATCTGAATACAGTGTGTAGGTTTAGCCTACACACTTAAGGAAAGATATCCTTTTCTTTGAGGCAGTGAAGCAAAGTTGCCTGGAATGACGGTTTGTCCTGTGATGGGATGACAGCTTTGTCCTGTGATGAGATGCTGAATAAATTGAGTCAATATTCTCTGGAGTTCAGAAGAATGATCAGTGATCCCACTGAAACATATAAGATTCTGAAGGGCTTTCACAGAGTCAACACTGAAATGTTGTCTCCCTTGGATAATCTAAAAGAAGGGCACAAGCCTCAGTCCCAAAATGATCGGTTCCTTATCCTCAGATGGGGAGAATATCTTCACTCAAAGCTTGTGAGCCTTTGGGAGTCGTTATCCAGAGGCTGTGGATGCTCCATCATCAAATAGATTTAAGGCTGGAATAGACAGATTTTTGGTCTCTCAGGAAATATGGGAAATTGGGAGCGAGTGGCAAAGTGGAATTGAAGCCCAAGATGAGTCATGATCGTATTAAATGATCAAGAAGGCTCAAGGAGCCAATTGGTCTAATTCTGGTCCTATTTGTAATGTTGTAGAGTTATAGATTCATACAGCACAAAAACAGACCCTTTGGTCCAACCAGTCCATGCCATTCATAATCCCAAACAAAACTAGTCCCACCTGTCTGCACTTGACCCATATCCCTCCAAATATTCCCTTATCTAAATGACTTATAAACATTGTAACTGTAGCCACATCCAGACATCCAGCACTTCTCCTGGAAGTTCATTCCACACACTTTCTGTGTAAAAAAAAATTGCCTGTCATGTCTTTTTTAAATCTTTCTCTTCTCATCTTAAAAATATGCCTCCTAGTCTTAAAATCCCCCACCCTAGGGAAAAGGCACCTGCCATTCACCTTATCTATACCCCACGTGATTTTGTAAACCTCTATAAGGTCACCTCTCAATCTCCTATGCTCCACTGAAAAAAGTCCCAGCCTATCCTGCCTCTCCTTATAACTCAAACTGTCTTTTCTTATGACCCCATTATAGGCCAGTAATAAGAAACTTTAACAAATATTCTGTGTATGGATTGTAAAATAATGGAAGACTCATGTGTCTATTAATTTTAATATTTCTGTACAGGTCCAATGGGTCCTCATGGAGCCCCTGGACATGACGGTCAAAGAGGACCGAAAGGAGACGCGGGTAAGAGCCAGTTATTGATTACAGCATCATAGGGATGGAGGAGTTATTGACAATGAGGAAACAGGGGATATTTATTGATGAATGACAAACAGGGGGCATTACTGACAAATGTTAGGACAGGATCAATGATCATTGATTTGTTTCTTGTTCAATTTCAGGTGAACGTGGAGAGAAAGGGGCGAAGGGAGCTTCAGGTGATTCTGGGTCATTTACGAAAGGAGAGCGAGGTAGGAAGATATTTCGGCTGATGTTGAATAATAATTTGCTTTGCTCCTAAATACTTTGAGTCTATGGCTAAGAATACAGTTCAGTTTGTTACCGGGTCACAGGAGGGTGTCAGGTTTCAGACTGTCAGACTGAACTGTGTTGTTTCAGCCAGGTCACTACAGTTAGAGGAACAGGAAATAGGCTCCCCATGCCTAAATCATACTATCGCTGTCAGAGCTGGCAATCCTCTCTACTGTCTTCTATTTGTTGGCACAGAGCCAGAATGCTATAGGGAATGGTTTTGCAAGTGTGTGACTATGGCCTCTGTCATTGACCCTGCCAGGGGTTGTGCAGTCATTGGGCAATTCCTTGATTCACACCTTTGCCATGTTTCATGAGGTAACTAGCCCTAATGTGTCAAGAACTCTGCAGCAACCTGACAGTTTCTGGTGACTTACTGTCTTACTGACAGTACTACACATGAAGGATGTGGAGCAGAAAATTTGTATTTTGAGAATGAGCCAAGAAAGGAACATGCATTTCCTGCCTTCCATTAATCCATTCCTTTGGAATTCCCAAACCTCCTGATCCACTGGATTCCAATGACCTTGACTTTTTCCTTTGTTGTTGAAGGTCAAAACTTAGGATGTCATGTGATTCTATTCTGTATCGTTATTTGTGCTCAGCATAAAAAGAAATGTTGTTTTGCTTTTCAGGTGAACCAGGTCTACCTGGCCTCCCAGGACTACCAGGAACGAAAGGTAAATGTGAAGGTTTAATTGATCACTCAGTCCAGGTGATGCATCTCTGAGAGAGGTTGGAACCCTATGCAACTGAACCCACCATTTGTATTGGAAATCTTGTTTGATACAGAAACAATTATGCAAGGGATAACAAAAAGGAGTACAAAAAGGAGTCAGGAAAGAAGTTGCAGACAAATTAAGAAGGTAAAAAGAAAAACACATTATCAAGAATATAAAAATAAATAGTGAAATATTCTACAGACACAAAGCCAATAACCAATTAACCATCACAACAGACCAGAGCTACTGAGAGATCATGATAAACTTAATGGTAACAACTGTGAAATGCAGAAATATCAAATAATTATCTCACCTCAGTATTTACCAGTTTACGTGAACAGTTTGCTCTCTGTATTATACAAAAAGATTCTTGAGAAGGTACAAAACTAGTTGACAAAAATAATACTGGAATTGAGTGAGGTAAGATTTAACAGTTTGGGACACTTTTCTGAGAGAAGGGAAGACTGGGAATGGGGAAGGGTTGAGAGGCCTTTACTTTTATTCAAGCATTTAGTTCAGCAAATGTAGGGAAGACGTTTTCAACTGTGGGCGAGACCAAAACTAGGATTCATAAATGTTGAATAGTCACAAAAAAATCCAGGAGGGATTCAGGAGAAACTTCTTTACCCTGACAGAGCTTGAATGTGGAACTGGTTGACACAAGAAGTGATTGAGGTGAAGAGTGTCAATGTGGGAAGCTGGACAAACATGTGATGGATAAAGGGATTGAGGAATATGTTGTGCTTTCTGAATAACTTAATTGTCATTCAAATAGAAACATACTCCACTCTAGTGGTTACTTCACAGCACCAGGGACCCAGGCTCAACGCCAGCCTCGGGTGACTATCTGTGTGGAGTTGGAAGGTTTTCCCCATATCTACGTGGGCTTCCTCCCACAGTCCAAAGATATGCAGGTTAGGTGGATTGGCCATGCTAAATTGCAGTGTAGTGTCCAGGGATGTACAGGCTAGGTAGAATGGCCATGGGAAATGTGGGGTCATGGGGATAGGGTTAGGAGGGTGGATCTGGGTGGGATACTCTTCAGAGGATTGGTGAAGACTCAGTAGGCCGATTGGACTCTTTCTGTACTGTAGGGATTCTGTGATTCACTCAATTGCAGCATACTCTAGTTAGGATCATCCAGTGAGATTGCAAATTTCCGGTCATGTTGAAGTCTCAAGGTTAATTTCCACCAATCAGCAATTTCTTCAATCTGCCAGTTTCAGACGCAGTGTGAGCTATCTCAACCTCTCTCTTTCCCACAGGTGCCACTGGAATGCCTGGTTCTCAAGGTAACTAGATTTTCTCATTTTCTGGTGAGACATTTTAGTGTTGACCTTTTTTATCAGTAAGAATCTTTCAATGTGGTACAGAGTGAAGGTGGAACCATGCACAGCAGAGTGTCTGCCACCATTGGTAGTGTCCCACAGTGGCTATGAATTGTGGAACAGATTCTAAACTTGCCAGTGCTTTTAATTCATTGTGTATTTACAAAGATAGACAAACACTCTAACAGTTCTGAATATTCTCTCTCCGATGGTCAGTGGCAATGTTTGAAGACCAGCATTGGAACTTGGAATTCTCCAAGTCTTTGCCAATGTTCCCCCGGAAACAGATTATTGATTATGGTTTGTGGAGATTTCCAATACAACAGTCATTGTAGCACTAGTCATTCATTAGCTGTAATGAACTTTAGGTCATTTTGAGAATGTGGAAGATCCATCGTAAATGCAAGTTCCTCTTTCTTCTGTGAGAAAGTTTGGTTTAATGACAACAACACCTGCAACATTTCATGTTGCCTCTCAAATGGACCATCCCTTTTAGCCAGGAGCTACCTAAGTAGGTGTGGGTCAAGGAAGTACCTGTCTACCATGATCCATAAACTTTCAATGAGAAATCTGTGTCTCTACCATAGACACATGTCTCCAGTTTCTTACTGTGTAGTGTCTGAGCATGAGGCCAACTCTGTACCGTTGCACAGATCTGTCACTTCACAGAAACTGATGAATTTGAGAAGTAAGAATCTGGCAGGAGAAGAATGTGAATGGGATTATTTGTAATTTGTGATAATTAATCCAAGATTATTCTGTCTCTGTAGGTCATCCAGGATCACAAGGGTTCAAAGGTGACTCTGGACTTCCAGGCCCTAAAGGTAAGCTCTCAGGAACGTCCAATCGTTGATTTGTCAATGAGATGGGAATTGTTTATTTATGAATGGACAAGGAAGACTCTAAAGGTAAGATTTCACCTGTAAGAAAATAAGTACAAAGTCAGTAAATGACCACTTGCAAATGTTTCTACCACAATTCCTCCAAATTTTTTCATTGTCAAGATCCATTCATCATCTGAAAAACCATGTGAACAAACTATTGCCACAACTTTAACTGGGCCAAATGCACGAATTAATTTTTTAGTATTTTACAGACTTGTTTTTGAATTTGTAGCATGCCTGTCTAAATTCCATTCAAAACCAAGAAATGCAGAATTGTTGGAAAGTTGGATGCCTGGAAGGTGGAAACAGATTTCAAAAGGAAATTGGATAAATGTTTGAAGGAAGAAAAATTTGCATGGCTAAGGGGAATAGATTGGGAAAATGGATAGTTTGTTCGATGAACGGCCTCCTCCTGTGCTGTAACATTTGCTGATCACACAGGTCAATGCATCACATCGCCATTATGTTTTCCTCAGTTTGTGGCTTGTAATAGCAACCCCAGTCACAGGGAGACAGGCTTGTTTCCCTCATGCTCATTTTCTGATGTCAAAAATGCAGCCTTTCTTGAATGTCCCCTGTTTCTATGATACCTGTGTCATTCTGTCCATTACATAGTGACACTTATTCTATTGATGTGTTTCTAGCCATTCCCCGACATTTTCAACATAGCTTTTGCCTTTCCTTCCAGGTGAAAGAGGATTGAGTGGCCTTCCTGGACCTAAAGGTAATGTTACAGTAAAGAATGCCTTTCACTGCTTGCACTGATTGCATTCCAATATCGAGCCTCAATCTCAAGCCTATATTCTTGATGATTTTTGTTTTTATGTTTTATGATTATTCCCTTGTGTTTGTTTCAGGTGATGCAGGAGAGAGAGGTGCTCGTGGTTTACAGGGTAAGTAGCTGTTTTTTTAACAGGGAAACTTTCATTATGAAATACACAGAGTCTAATGAACTCAGTAACAAAAATAGAAATTACTAGAGAAACTCATCAGGTCAAGCAGCATCAGTGGAGAGAAAGCAAAGTTAATGTTTCAAGTCTAGTATGTCTCTTCTTCTGCCATAGCGTTAACTCTATTTTCCCTGCACAAATGCTGCCAGACCTGCTGAATGCTCCAGCAATTTCTGTTTTGTTTCAGATTTCTAACATTCACAGTTCTTTCTTTTATTCGAATGAACTCAGTGATGTGGCTTTGTCCACAGTATTTCCAAGCACTAATGAAACTTTCCTAAGTTGAACTGCTCCTGAGTCATAAATATGATGATGTCAGATTCCATTTACAGGCAATGCTTTGAGCTGGTGTAAAAAACAGGACAGAGGTTGGAATGTTTCAACAGAAATCCAAATCCCACAGTTAGAAAGTGTAACAGCAACACAATTGTGCAGTGACCTCCCCTCCTTTAATGACCTTGTGGTTAGTGGGTGAGGGATCCGCTGTGAACAAGGGCGGCAGCACTAACTGGACATATTCATCATATCCAATCTTGTCACTGGTTAACTGGCACCTTGCCCTCCTGTGTATTACTTACACAGCAAATTAGAAAATAAATAGACTCAGTAGACCCAAGTGAATGATTCCCAACTGTAAGAAATCTAAGAACTTTGGCAATAATTTAATAGCCAATAGCAGAACAATTACAATGGAGACGGTAATGACAATTTATTTCTGAGTGGCCAGTGGGCTGTCCCATCAACATTCATTCTCTGTGCTGTGAGTGAGGTGATAACTGAAAGGGGACAGCCTCAGTGGCTGGAACCCCTCTCTCTCTCCTGGTCCAAAGTGATCCCAACAATAGAGCACGGCTTCTTACAATCAGAGCAAGAACAAAGTCAGATGATTTTCATCCACATTAATTGCCTTTCCTGGGCTCCCTGCAGGTGAACAAGGTCCTCGAGGGCTGCCTGGTGTCGCAGGAGAACCAGGACAGAAGGGATCAACTGGTGAGTAATCAGGCCACACTCCACGCACTTAAACTCTCATTCCTTCCTTCCTTTACCCTCTGCCAGTCTCTCTCTGTTATTCACAACCTAGCTGCTATGAAAGCCCCCTGTAATCATGACCCCTTCATTTACCTCAGCTTCCCTCCTCCCCTTCCTCTTTTTCATCCTCTTGTCTGATGCCCTGACCTCTTAGCTGCCATCCTGAATAGAAGAAAAAGCACAGGGTCTGTGCTAATTCTTCCTGACCAGGAAGAGAATTCATTGATCTATGTCATGGACCCATGATCTATACTAAAATAAAATATCCTGCCTGTCTGACTGTGACAGCATTGGGGTGTCTGAGTTAGACACTGTCAGAGTCTACAGGAAGTGTCTGTGTGACCCCCTACCCCCTCAGGTTGTTGCTGGGGTTAGTGACCCAATACCAGGGAACAGTATGTACTAAGCATACAATTGGGGATACAATGGGGTTTCTGGCGTGTGGGGATTATTGGGTGATTTTAGTGGGGGATTTTTGGAATTTTGGGTTTAAGGGGATTTGAGGAGGATCAGGGGGTGCTGCAAGGTGTTTCATGGCATCTTGGTGTGGGGTGCTGGGAATGGCAGGCGGTGCTGCAGTGGGATGGGCTTCTCAATTGTCCTCTGCTCCTTTCTCAGGTTCTCAAGGAGCTGATGGTCGCCGTGGCCTCCGAGGTAAATGTCCCTGATGGGTAGAGCGGGCTTCAGTGAGGGAGAGGGAATGAGGACGAGTGGGGGAGGGCTGAGGGAGAATGGGGGAGGGGTATTGAGGCAAGTGGGGGAAGGATATTGGAATGAGTGAGGTAGGGGGTTTGAGGTGAGTGAGGGAAGGGAATTAGGATGAGTGGAAGGGAGATTGGGGTATGTGAGTGAGCGGGAGTTGGGTGAGTGAGGTAGGGGGAATTGGGATGAGTGTCAGGGAGATTGGGGTGAGTGAGGAAGGGGATTGGGATGAGTGAAGTAGGGGGAATTGGGATGAGTGGAAGGAAGATTGGGGTGAGGGAGGGGGATTGTGATGAGTGGGGAGGGGTATTGAGGAGAGTAGGAGGGTTATTGAGGTAAACAGGAGGGGGATTGAGGTGAGTGGGATTTGAATGAGGGAAGAAATCGTAGAGAGATGGAGTGGAGGACAGGTATTGGAATGAGGGAAGGGGTGATGGGGAGGAGAGGTGAACCTGTCGGAAAGGTGTAAATCGCAGGAGGGGCAATAGGGGAAGGGCAATTTGGGGGATGGATGAATAATTAGATAATCTCTTGTTTTTTGCCATCAGGTGAACCAGGAGCTCGAGGTTTACCAGGACTACCAGGAATTGCAGGCCCCCCTGGTGAGTAACAGAGGCTGCATCGTAGAGTACCTAGTTAGGAGCTCCTTCCCAAATATGATGTTTCAATACACTGTCTGATCAGCTGAATGAATGCCGGCAAGGCAACTGGACCTTGTCACCCAGCATCCTGCTTAGAGCTATTCAGCTGCTAAGGGAAATGGAAACTTGGCTTCCAGTGTGAGGTGTGAGGTAACAAAGTAAAATAAAGCTTGCCATTTCTGTAGTACCAATACGATCTCAGGATGTCCAAAAGTGCTTTACAACAAATGAAGCACCTTAAACAGTACTCACTATTATAGAGACAAAATCAGCACTCATCTTTGAGCACAACAAATCCAATAGTAGCAAGGTAATTGAGATAACAAGGTGCAGAGCTGGATGAACACAGCAGGCCAAGCAGCATCAGAGGAGCAGGAAGGCTGACGTTTCAGGCCTAGACCCTTCATCAGAAATGAGGGAGGGGAAGGGGGTTCTGAAATAAATAGGGAGAGAGTGGGAGGCAGATAGAACATGGATAGAGGAGAGGAAAGGTGGAGAGGAAACAGACAGGTCAAAGAGGCGGGGATGGAGCCAGTAAAGGTGAGTGTAGGTGGGGAGGTCGGGAAGAGATAGGTCAGTCCATTGAGGACGGACAGGTCAAGGGGGCGGGATGAGGTTAGTAGGTAGGAAATGGGGGTGCGGTTTGAGGTGGGAGGAGGGAATAGGTGGGAGGAAGAACAGGTTAGGGAGGCGGGGATGAGCTGGGCTGGTTTTGGGATGCGGTAGGGGGAGGGGAGATTTTGAAGCTTGTGAAGTCCACATTGATACCATTGGGCTGCAGGGTTCCCAAGCGGAATATGAATTGCTGTTCCTGCAACCTTCGGGTGGCATCGTTGTGGCACTGCGGGAGGCCCAGGATGGACATGTCATCTGAGGAATGGGAGGGGGAGTTGAAATGGTTCGCAACTGGGAGGTGCAGTTGTTTATTGCGAACTGAGCGTAGGAGTTCTGCAAAGTGGTCCCCAAGCCTCCGCTTGGTTTCCCCGATGTAGAGGAGGCCACAACGGGTACAGCGGATGCAGTATACCACATTGGCAGATGTGCAGGTGAACATCTGCTTGATGTGGAAAGTCTTCTTGGGGCCTGGGATGGGGGTGCGGGAGGAGGTGTGGGGGCAGGTGTAGCACTTCCTGCGGTTGCAGGGAAAAGTGCCAGGTGTGGTGGGGCTGGAGGGGAGTGTGGAGCGGACAAGGGAATCGTGGAGAGAGTGGTCCCTCCAGAAAGCAGATAAGGGTAGGGAGGGAAAAATGTCTTTGGTGGTGGGGTCGGATTGCAGAAGGCGGAAGTGTCGGAGGATGATGCGTTGGATCCGGATGTTGGTGGGGTGGTACGTGAGGACGAGGGGGATTCTTTTTTGGTTGTTATTGCGGGGACGGGGTGTGAGGGATGAGTTGCGGGAAATGTGGGAGACACAGTGGAGGACGTTCTTGACCACTGAGGTGGGGATGTTGCGGTCCTTGAAAAACGAGGACATCTGAGATGAACGGGAGTGGAATGCCTCATCCTGGGAGCAGATGCGGCGGAAGCGAAGGAACTGGGAATAGGGGATGGCATTTTTACAGGAAGGTGGGTGGGAGGAGGTGTATTCTAGGTAGCTGTGGGAGTCGGTGGCCGTGAAATGGATATCGGTTTCTAGGTGGTTGCCCGAGATGGAGACAGAGAGGTCCAGGAAGGTGAGAGAGGTGTTAGAGATGGTCCAGGTGAACTTAAGGTTGGGGTGGAAGGTGTTGGTGAAGTGGATGAACTGTTCGAGCTCCTCGTGGGCGCACGAGGAGGCACCAATACAGTCATCAATGTAACAGAGGAAGAGGTGGGGTTTAGGTCCAGTGTAGGTACGGAAGAGGGATTGTTCCACGTAATCTACAAAGAGGCAGGCATAGCTTGGGCCCATGCGGGTACTCCACGTAACCTACAAAGAGGCAGGCATAGCTTGGGCCCATGCGGGATTTCACACGTTTCAAAATCTCCCCTCCCCCTACCGCATCCCAAAACCAGCCCAGCTCGTCCCCGCCTCCCTAACCTGTTCTTCCTCCCACCTATTCCCTCCTCCCACCTCAAGCCGCACCCCCATTTCCTACCTACTAACCTCATCCTGCCCCCTTGACCTGTCCATCCTCCTTGGACTGACCTATCTCCTCCCTACCTCCCCACCTACACTCACCTTTACTGGCTCAATCCCCGCCTCTTTGACCTGTCTGTTTCCTCTCCACCTGTCCTCTCCTCTATCCATCTTCTATCCACCTCCCCCTCTCTCCCTATTTATTTCAGAACCCCCTTCCCCTCCCTCATTTCTGATGAAGGGTCTAGGCCCGAAACATCAGCTTTCCTGCTCCTATGATGCTGCTTGGCCTGCTGTGTTCATCCAGCTCTGCACCTTGTTGTCTCAGATTCTCCAGCATCTGCAGTTCCTACTATCTCCAGTAGCAAGGTACTGGTTGATCTGTTTATGGCAAAGGCTGTATATTGCCAAGGGTACATGGGATCATTGACTGCTACCTGACACGAACTCTCGTGAAAGTCTCAGTTGAAAGATGATCCCTCTGACAGTGTGACACTCCCTCAGTACTGACCTTTCGACAGCGCAGCACTCCCTCAGTACTGACCCTCTGACAGTGTGGTGCTCCCTCAGTACTTCATTAGGTGTGAATGGTAGATTAGAACTTCACATCTCTGATCTGGGACTTTAGTCCACAATTCTCCGTGAGATGAGCGATGTGAGTAGTCGAGCTGATAGATTGGATATTTTTAATGCTCTAAGTGTTGACTTTTTGTTACAGGTCAACCCGGTGCACCAGGAAAGGTCATTAACTACAGTGGTGAGTGGATTAGTGGTGACTCAGTTACTTAGAACTTAATAGCAAAAGGTCATTCAGTCCCTTGAATCTGTTACACTAGAACAGGATGAAGCCATTAGCCCTTTGTACCTGTTACACTGGAACAGGAGGAGGCCATTCTGTCCCTTGAGCCTGTTACAGCATAACAGAAGGGGACCATTCAGTACTCTAAACCTGTTCTCCTATTCCATGTGATCATGTTTGATCTGTGATCTCAGCCACTGTATTTGCCTTGCCCAAATGTGCCTAGGACATAGAATATTGTCCTGTTGTCTCTCTGGAGGTTAAACCTGTTTAATTTCACTCTTTCTCAGGGTCAAATGGAAATCCAGTTGTACAGGGACCACCAGGACCTCCCGGACCACCTGGGCTCCCAGGACAATCAGGTACACATTAATATGAATGGCTGACAACAAATACCCCTCTTCCACTGCCAGCTAATGTCAGAAAGCTGCAGGAGTCTACAGAGCCTCTGCTAACCTCTTGAATTAGGACACAGAGTTCAACACTCACCATTCTAAACGCCACTTGATTGTGCAATGTTTATCTGGGCTTAACATTCAGACTATTGTGTTGGGAGCACAAAGCAAGAACTTTACACAATATCCACCCCTGTGCTGCACTTGTCCTGGAACAGTGCGGAAGGAGCTTTACTGTGTATCTAACCCCATGCTGTACTGTTTTGGGAGGATTCAATGAGTTGAAAAACTTACAGTTTGTAATTCTTGTTCTCTGCCTATGTTAACACTCTTTCCCCTCTCATTGCTTTTCCCCTGTCTGCTTTTTCTTCCTTTTGCTATCTCCTCCTCCTCTTCTGTTTCTGACAGTGTTATCATACAAAGGCAGGTGGCAGCAACCAGCTTAAAGCAGAGGAAGCCATTTCTGTTCTGTCAAACAGAGAGAAATTTGAGTGAAAGTATTAATATTTATGATATCTACATGGAGTCTTGATTGTCCTTTTTGCCTAATGACTCATTGGCTCCCTTGCTGTCACTTTCCCACTGTCTGTCTGATACGTTTTTATTTTAATATGGAACCTAACTAAATCCATATTACTCCGTGCCTTATTTCACAGGCAAGAGTATTGTTGGACCCCCAGGACCACCAGGACCTGCAGGCCCTAAAGGTGAGTACGTTGCTGCTGACTGAATGACAAGGAGTGACAAATGGCTGAGCTCTTCTTGCTGGAGAATCTGGGTCTTCACTCTGGAGGAAGGTGCAGATGTGGGAAGGGGTAAATTGAGGAGCTGAGGGGTGGGGAGGATTACAGAAGGGTGTGTATGGGTGTGGGGTGTAAGGGGAAGGAAGAGGTGTAGGAATGAGGAGTGCACAGCAGGGGGTGGCTGAGTTGTCTTTATCAATTTGTAATCAATATCAGTCCGTGCCAGACGATATTTCCATTCTGCTTCTTAGGGGCCTCGGTTGAAGGACCTCGGGGACCACCTGGACTGCCCGGTGCTGCTGGTGTTCCAGGTGAGTGTTTGACACCATTGTGTTTCAGAGTCTCTGACAGGAACCATTCTGAGACAGTGTCCCAATTGGAACAGTTTGTGTTAACTCTAAGCTCAGAGACTGTAGTCACCTATTATCATGAGCCAATCATTAGGGTTGCCCAGGCGTTGATGTAGCCAATGTTTAATCAATCTGTAAATCTTATTAACAAAGAATATAAAAGACTGTTTTTCAGCCAATTTGCTCAGAGCAAGGTCCAACAAAATACAATGAGATAATGATCAGACAATGTATTTGTTGATCATGGTTGCGGGAGGAATCTTCATCAGTTTACTGGAAGAATTCTCTTTTTTTTTTAGAGCTATACAAATAACAGGCCTGTCTCTGATGAATGGCATCACTAACAGTGCAGCACTCCCTCAGTGCTGACCCTCTGACAGTGCGGCACTCCCTCAGTGCTGACCCTCTGACAGTGCAGCACTCCCTCAGTACTGACCCTCTGACAGTGCGGCACTCCCTCAGTACTGACCCTCTGACAGTGCGGCACTCCCTCAGTACTGACCCTCTGACAGTGCAGCACTCCCTCAGTACTGGCCCTTTTGACAGTGCAGCACTCCCTCAGTACTGGCCCTTTTGGCAGTGCAGCACTCCCTCAGTATCAGTAATGGTTTTGTCAGTTGGATTATGATTTGTATTGGGACTTGAAGCTCTGACCTTTTGGCTCACAGAGAGTGGGGCCCATTGATTCTGACGATACATAAACCTCACTGAATTTCTAGCTCAGATTGTTTTACCTGATGTGGTTATAAAAGTTGAGAGAAGGTTGTTCTGCCAGTGACTGCTTGACCACTAGTCCATCTCCTCTAGTCTGCCTGGTGGTTTACCTAGGGTCCAGGAAGAGGTGTGTCTCTGCTAAGGTCCAGAATCTGATTGGTACCTCAGTGAAGAGATGTTAGTTATCACATCTAAGAACAGCCAGTTCAGCTGGCAGAGATTCCCCTCAATGTGGGCTTGACATGAACAACTCAGTCAGAAACTGTCCTATAAGTCCCACGAGCAGAGCACAGTTCAGGGTTAAACAGTCACGGAGCTTTCTGCAGCAACTGAGCACTGGCAAACTGAGGTAAATGGTATCAGACTTGCTGCATTTCCCAGCTCTGTAATTGTTCAATCTCTGTAAAGTGGTTCCTCAAGACTACAGCATGAACACTCCTCACTCACCTCTCACTCTACCTATCCTCCAGCAGCAAGCACCAATGTCTCAACAGACCACAGAGGTAATTGTTCAGTACCCAGCTCAGAGGGTCTAACCCTCGATATAGAAATAGCTACTCAGCTGTAAGGTGTAACAAACCTGTGGATAACATTCGAGTAACTATTTAACACAGGAGAGTGTTAAGATAATTGAACATTTCTGGTCAAACTTACTGTTTCTCACAGGACCTCGATTAACTGGACCACCTGGACCCCCAGGACCTCCCGGACCTCGAGGTAAACACAAGATATTAATTCTAATTTTTACAGAATTTTTACTCAGCAGCTCCAGCAGCATCTGTGGAGAGTGTCCAGAATGACTCTTCTTTGGAACTTAGATGACTCGAAATATTAACTGTTTCTCTCTCCACAAAAGCTGCCAGACCTGCTGAGTTTCTCCAGCATTTTCTGTTTTTATTTAATTTCTTCAGCATCCACAGGATTTTGCTTTTAATGTACTTTTCAGTTGTCTTTGCCCCATTTCTCCATCTGTTGCCACACACACACTGCAGTCTATTTGTTTCACTGGGGTATATTGGAGTGTTACAGTGAAGGATATGGATGTATCAGAGTGTTATAATAATAAGTGCAGTCATATCAGAGTGTTTACAATGAGAAATGTGGAGTATATCAGAGTGTAACAGCAAAAGGTGCTATGTATATTAGTGTTACTGTGAGATGTGTGGGGATATCAGAGTATTACTGTGAGGTGTGTGGGATATATCAGTGTTACGGTGAGGGGTGTGGTGTATATCAGAGTATTACAGTGAACGGTGCAGTGTTTTTCAGAATGTTACAGAGATGGGTGCAGTACATATCAGTGTTACAGTGTAACATTGGAAACTGTTATGCTTATGGATTCCCTATTTCTTTGTGCAGGTGAAGCTGGTCAACCAGGATTACCTGGTGTTTCTGGTGGTGGTAAGTGTCACTGTGGCCATGTCCCCATGTAAATCACCATCATAACCAAAAGGAATAAGAGCAGGCATAGACCACATGGCACCTTCTGTCTGTTCCACCATTCAATTGAATCATGGCTAATCCTAGGCTGCGACTCCATTTTTCTATTCACTCCCCACGTCCAGTGATTCCCTGAGGCACCAAAAATCTGTCTCCTTTACCCTTAAGTATATTCAACAATGAAACATTAACAAATTCTCTGGGGTAGGGAATTCCGCAGATTCACCATTCTCTGACTGAAGCCATTTCTCATCTCGATCCTAAATGATCAGCCCTTATACTGACCCTATGTCATCATTTTCCAGACTCCCTGACCAGTCAAGAACAGCCTATCAGCATTGATCCTTCAAGCCGCTTCAGAATCCTATACAACGCAATTGCCTCTCATTCCTACCTTCAGGGAATATACATCCAACTTACTCTCCTATTGCATTCATGTGACCAGTGTCTGTTCCCTGGGCATGATTGTATCCCCAATCCCAGACCACTTTCTGAATGGTATAATTGATTGTAGAGGGATTGGTGAAGGCTCTATTGCGATGGATTTTCCCATCAGCGGCTTGGATATTCTACCCAGGTGCCTGCACCCAGCAGGATGGGATGTTCAACCCACTGTGATCCCAGCCGATTTGGTCAGAGGTCATTGTAGATATTGGGTGAGGGGCGAATGGGACTGTTCCTGTCTGATGGGAATGATATGTCAGTAGATACCACTTAGACCCGAACATCATTCCAGGGGACTGGAAGAGCTGCATAGATATTTCCATCAGCCCTTTCCGATAGTAACAGTGGGGGTTCTGTCACTCCCAACACCGATAGTTTAACCTCACTGACTTCCTCTGTTCTGACTCAACAGGTGATTCATACGTTCCTGGCCCTCCAGGACCACCAGGACCCCCTGGACCTCCTGGACAGAAAGGTGACAGAGGTCAGTCTGCAGATTGAAATTAGATTCTCCAAAATTCACTGACAGAGCTCCTAATCGCACTTGTGTGTGACAAAACCAACTTCGCCTCCTGAGTCAAAAATCTCAGCTTGATGCAAGAGAGGGAGTCAAGAGCCTGTGTGGTGATTGGTGATGGTCTCAATGAATGGAGAGGGTGGCTGCTTTTAGAATAAACTCCAGTCTGCAGTTCTTGTGTGTTACATTATACTTGCTCTGAGAAGGTGATGGTGAGCTGTCTGCTTAATCTCATTTGTAGGAGATTTGGTACAAACTGAGTGGCTTGCTAGATCCCTTCACAGGGTATTTAAGGGCAGCCAAGTTAATGTGGCACTGGAGTTATCTATAGGCCTAGGCTGAGTGAAGAAAACAGGTTCCCTTTCCTGACAGGCATTTGTAACACTATTGGCTTTTTAATGACAATCTACCAGATTTGTGGTCACTTTCACAGAGACCAGCCTATTATCAGCTTTAAAATAAGAAATAAATTGAAGGTCTCAAACAGCTATAGTGCGATTTGAACTCTTACTGTCTCATTATTAGTTTGATAACAGAAGCCCCATCTATCAACCCATATTTCTGACATACTCAATTTATGTTACAATCCTGCTGGGGATCATTAACACTTAAAGAGAAATCGAATACCTTGTTTTAACCAATAGAACTATGCTACAATATTAAACTTTTCAGACAAAACGCAAACTTTACGCAAAAGAGTTGAATAGAACAAATACAAACAACTTTACAGTACAGTTTATAACTAAAGTAGTTAGCTTTATTTCTTACTTCCCCCAAGAGTTCTTAAGACACACCAATTATAATGTTATTTATTTGCGTAGGTAGTATGCATAAGTGGGTACATTCAGCTGTAAAATTGTCCTCGGCATCAAGTATTCTCAGAGGTTAAACTTTTATTTACCCTGTCTTGACTATGGACACCCGGTCCCTTGCTCTCGTTGTTTTTCCGATACTTCTCAGATAATTTAGCTGATTACTTTCTGATTAAAAAGACTGTGAGGACCACAGTTGTTTCTTTGATGAGTTCCTAACTATGCAGTCATCTGGCTTCTGTTCTCCCACAAGATTGACACTAGGATTAAGCTTCACCTATTCTTCACACAATGAATGATGAAATAATGTTTTACTCTTGCTTGTAGCGCAGGCGTAGCAGCTATCGTTCACATCAGCTAATTCGTCTCAAAGAGCTGCAAACTGTACAAGGTTTAAACTGAAACTCTAAACCCTCAGCAAAAAGACCCTAAAAAATCTGGAGAACTCTCCCAGCATCCCCGTCCAGGCTCCACCAGTCTTAATGAGACAGAGTCTGCTTTGGGCCCAAAGTTGCCTTTAGGTTAATTGCTTTTCATTTACAATTACTTCTTTGATCTGAAGAAGTACGTAGATTTTTTTAACCTTCCAGGGTTTACTGAGTGCTTTCAACTAACCTCGCCTTAACTCGCAAAATAGAAGCATCTTTCTGGATTGTCCTTCCTGCAAGGATTGCAGATATCAGTCTCCTGTACTTCAGCTAAGTAAGCCCACTGGCAGTTTTATGAACTTACCTTTATAGATGTTAGCCTTTTAAAGTAAAATGACCCCAAACCTTGTCAAATAGGCTTCAAGCTTGCTTTAATTGTCTGTATGCCATTTCCTACATTTAATCTGCAACACCTAAAACTAAGAAATTATACGCCAAAAGACATGAACCATAAATTAGATATTCACAAATACCTCAAACAGTGACAGTCTCATATTACATACATTGACACTCTATGGACCTCCCCAGAAGTGGAACTAAGTCCCTGTTTCACAGTTTAATGTTTATTATAAGGGGTGCTTAGCACCAAGGGATGCGGTATCACCCAATTTCCACATCATTCTCCATAAACACATTGCAGAACATTCACTCCCACTCTCATTCTCTCCTTATCTCCTTGTGTTGCCAGGTGACAGAGGAGAGGTTGGAATTCCAGGAGCTCCAGGTATTCCTGGAAGATCGTCACGAGGTAGGAATATTGTTCACTCATATCCTGCTCTGTATTTACTAGATTCCTGTCCAGGATTGTGTGTTGAGTCAATAACTGGGCAGCAAGTGTTAGCTGTGGAGTGGTGCTAGTTATGACCTGTCCCTGGATTGTGCTGTGGTTGATTAGGGGGCTGTTTTAACTGGGATCAGTGTATCCAGTTTGGAATGAGGAACATCAGCCATTGATTCCTGCAAGGACAGGAAATGCACAAGGAACTTTTCCACAGTGTTCTACATCGTCTTCAGGGGTACTGTAGCAAATTGCTTCACAGCTTTTGAAATATAGTTGCTCTTGTAATGCAGGAAACGAGAGCAAATTTGAACACAGCAAGATCTCAAGAACAGTGATGTGGGCATTTCCAAGATTGTCTGAATCTTCAACGCTGGGTCTTGAGAAATCGTAGCTGAAGAGCTAATTCTCAAAGGGTGTATGTGGGGCCTGAAAAGGATACAGGGATTATCAGATGGGTTATAATTATAGTTTGTTACTCAGAGTGTTACTCATTACCTGTATCTATCAATCCCAGTTACAACGAATGGTGGAAGACTTCAAGGACCCCCTGGACCTCCTGGCCCACCAGGACCACAAGGTGAGACTTAGTCCGAAGGAATTATTTGTCGTACCTCTCAGCATGAATAGTTGTTTGATAGTCAAAGATACTGCTGTAAAAGACACTTTCTGTCAAAGATTTTTCTCTTAGACTCAACAGGATAATTTGCAACAAATGGCAAAGTGAAGGGAAAACAGCATTTATAGGGGAGTGCTCTGATTGGTTGGTAAATGGACTCTGGTTGAGGGGTGATCATGAAAAATGCATCAGATAATAAGAATTGACAGTTAACTGTTAAGCTTCAATTAAACTTTAAGCAATGTGGCCAGTGTCTCTATGGTGTCTCCATGCAGTTGAAATGTATTAAATTTAACTTCGCCTGGGAAAACCCCTGATCTCAATCAGATCCCCAGAGATCCTAGCTCCTCTGGGGGGACCCTGTTGTGGCACAGTGATAATGTCTCTACCCCTGGACCAGGATGCCCAGGTTCAAGACTCACCTGCTCCAGAGGTGTGTACAAACATCTCTGAACAGTTTGATTAGAAAAGTAGGTTAAAATGAAAGGGAACTTAGCATCTGGGATAAACCAGTATATAATACTGAAGCCTATGGGCAGTCTCAATGTAAGGTAGCTTTGATATGTATTAGTGTCATTTTGGTAAACCATACTGTGACCTATACTCAGGACATATAGCCTGCTTTTCTGCCTCTTTAACCTCTCCTGCACTCTACAGGTCCTCCAGGAGAATCCGGATCAACTTTCAGGGCTAATGTTAGACAGACGGTGATGGAATACCTCCAGAGTGAGTATTCATTGTAACACTTGCAAGATTGTACTGACACTTAGCGTGGGCAGGTATATTCTATAGGGAAAGTATGGATGGTATATGATATAGGATAGTTTTTGTTTGCCGCACAACCAGGTGAAGAGGGGTGAATCAGGTCCCTTTTTATACTCCCACTCCTCAGTAATATTTTAGTTTCTTTTTAGCACACAGCTATATTACACTTGATCAAAATTAAGGACCCAATTACAAGGTCCTCTTGAGTAAAAGAAAGAGGAATTATATTACTCATTAACCCCAAAGAAAAATAGTAAAATGCAACAGCAAACACACATCCATGAACAGAGGTAAAATATTTCAAAAGGGAAGAGTGGTTAAAAAGGTGAAGAATACACAGTTTAGGATATCCTTGGGGACCATAAGATGTTAGATCTTCACCAGGGACCAGGTTATTTAATGGATGCCTCTTGTCCTCAGCAGTGGCAAAATCTATCATTTTCCCTGAATTTTGTGAATAGTTGTTTCTCCAGTTTGTTCTAACACTGTGCTCTGTTTATCGAGAGACTGAGAGAAATGGACAGGGAAGGTGGGAGAGTCTTCCGGCACTTGCTGGAACAATTTTTTTTGTTTCTGCACTTCCCAAATGATGTTTGCCTGAAATCCAATTCTTTTCTGATTTCCCATGTATGGCATCATTGTTTTTACAAGCTGGTAATCTGCAGGTGACATGTGTCCCAGTATGTGACATTTTCAGGAAGGTGTAACTAAAGATAGGATTTAAATAAAAGTAGCCAATTTTTTTTTAATGGTTTCATGAGCTTTTCTCAAACTGGTCAGGTAACCACTGTGGCCAACTTTGAGATACCGCTTTCTCTTCATTTTAAAACCAGTTTAAACCATGAAAAAATTCAGTTTTTAAAATTTAAAAAAGGTCCATATTTTACCATTTATATATTGTTAGAGGAGTTTACTGTGTGGTGGAGCTACATTACTTGGAGAGTCTTTTCTGCAGGGAGGCGTACACTGGAAGCATATTGTGCAGGGGTTGTGTTGCACAGAGGGTGTATGTTGTTCAGAGAAGTTTACTGCGCCTACATGAGGGGTTTCAGCCGATCTGATTGGTGTCTTTCAGCTGATGGTGTCCGCCGATCAATTGTCGGACCGCCAGGACCACCCGGTCCTAAGGGCGATCGCGGAGCAATTGGACGTCGGGAATATTCAGAAATCTCCACCCAAGTCATTGACTACATGAGAAGTAAGATTGGTCTTCCCAGTGGCTGAGTGTCAAAACCCTCTTCCCATCTTGCCCCTGTGTGCAATAGTGCAGAAAGGTCCCAAGTTCCATCTTTGGACCTCAGTACCACAATAATATGGGCCTTCTGCTCATTCATAGAGTCTGCTCATTCATGGAGACAGAGCGTTCTGGGGGGCAGTGCAGGGGATGTTCAGGTGCTGTAGGGGAAGGGATGGAGTGGTGGAATGAGGACACTATCTCTGTGGGAAATAGTCAACTGTCATTCAAAATCTGCAATATCAGAAGGAGAGTAACCAGAACCAATTGTTCCCCAGCATTATTCAGTACCCATGGAACTGTGCCCAGCCCAGGAGCAACTCTGTAGCCTTGGAGCAAATGCACGCATGTCCCCAGACCAGGACTATTCCCAAGCCCAGGACTGACCAACAGCTTAGGAGTAACAACAACAGAAGTTGCTGAAAAAGCTCAGCAGGCCTGACAGCACCTGTGAAGAGAAATCAGAGTTAACGTTTCAGGTCCGATGACCCTTCCTTAGAACAGCTTGGGAATGTCACGCCCAGCCCCGGGTATGGGACTGTTCACTCTCACCCTCACCAAGCCTGGTTTCCCTGACAGCAAAGATCTGGGGAGAAGATAAAAGCTGATTATTGGATGAAGCAATGAGGTGTCAAAGAGCTAAAGTCACAAATCATAGGAAGTTCGGTTAGAGCTGGACTATGTCCATCACCCTTTGAACCCTTTCAGCCAATGACCATGGGAAAGTTATTAATAACGCCAGGATGACCATTGTCCCCTTCCCCATCTTATTCTGAAGGTTAGTTGTCATCCAATCAAAGACCTACGCTTCCTATTTTCCAAATCACTGCATCGACAATAAAGTAGATATGGTGTTTGATAAATCTTTGACATCAGTTCAATGGAATATTATAATCTCAGTGATCCTGGTGATTTTTGTGACCTTTCTTTTGTGCCTTCCTTTTCTTTTTACATGCTGGAAACTTGTTCATGCTCATGAAGACCATTTCCTACTATAATAGCAGTTAAACAAGATCTCGTATTATCCAGGAAATAGATCCGGAGGAATGGGGTCATGTTGGGATTAAGACTGGTCAACTGGGCAACTTTCAAACAAATGTATTTTTTTCAGGTTCAGGTGTGGGTTTCGGTGCGAGAGGACCTCCAGGACCCCCTGGTCCTCCAGGAACAATATCGAATGCTGACCTGTCTCTCTACCTTCAGAGTAAGTATGGTGTCAGCTGGGAATGAGTTGTGAGGGCTTACACTCTCTCTAGCTGATGATAGGATGATGCAGTGACATTGATGGTGTGAATGAGACTGGGATCTAGGGCGAGGGCCTGTACAACCCACACACATACTACAAATATCCCCCAGTAAAATGATCAGCTTAGAATTTGTGCTGTTGGTTAATGACTTTGGCTAAATTTCTCTGCAGAGAGCTGTCATTGATTTGACGAGTTGAGTAGCTTCCTTCTCTACCATAACCATGCTATGATTCCAGCATAGAAATGTAACAGCTAAAGGGAGCTTTGCTGTAACTAACCTCATAATGTACCTGCCCTAGCAGTATTTGATGGGGTCAGTTTAGAGGAATTTTATTCTGTAATTACCTCAGACTATATCTGCCCTGGGGGTATTTGATGTGGACAGTGTAGAGGGAGCTTTATTCTGGATGTAACCCAAGGCTGTACCTGTCCTGGGAGTATTTGATAGGAACAGAATCAAGGGAGATGGTGTGTGGATGGTGAAGGAGGTGCTGTTCTGGGGATAGTGCCAATATATTTGTAGTGTCATTGCTTCTCATTGGTCTTTGTGTCCCACAGATGAGGATATCCAACGATATCTTCGCGGTCCCCAGGGGCCTCCTGGAGCCCCTGGCCCACAAGGGGATGGGATGAGTCGGGCAGAGCTGGAGGCTTACATCACCGATTATACCAGAAGTAATTCTCAATCTCTGAATGCTCTTTAAATTCACAACTGTATTTATATACTGTGCGTGTTTTTACACTGAGTGTGCTTCTGTAGTGTGTGCATGCATTATGTGTGTGTCTGAATGTGCAGTGTGTGTATACACAGAATGTGAATGTATCTGTGTGTGCACTGAGTATAAGTGTGTTTGAATACTGACTATGATTGTGTGTGAGTACACACTGTAACTGGGTTGTTACTAGGGATGGCACTTCTGCAATGTTTTGATCAGTGAGTTGAAGCTGCTTATTTTTAACTGGTTTTAGTTGGTTGAGTCCTTCAGAGTGTAAGAGATGCAGTGCAAGTTCCATTGGAACTGGTGGGTAGTGTCATGAGGTCACACACTCTTTCATGCATCAGCAGAAACTGTTCCCCATCTGGACCCATCGAAAGCGCCTTGCATCCAGAATATTGATGCTCACACTCCTGACTTGCACATCCGTGGAGCCAGGGGGTATGATTACACATCAGGTTTCCCTCATGTCACTTATTCTTTGCCAATCTCTCTTGTCCCCAGGTTGGGTGGCTGGGTCAGGCCGGCCTGGTCCTCCAGGACCCCCAGGAGTTCCTGGTACCCCAGGATCTATCTCGCTATCAGGGGATCTCAATGCCATGCTCCAGGGTAAGTATCAACTCAATGATGAAGTGTGCAGGTATGGTTTGAGGTCCTGCAGGTCTCTGTGTACCCCATAGTCTTTTCCCGCTGCTTGTGTTAACGTCAAATATTTCTGTTGCCAGTATCCAGGGAGATGAGCAGGGGATAGTCTCACTCAGGTGTTTAGGAGACGAGTGAGGAAACAAGGAGTGCCAAAATGTCAGTAATTACATTTAAAGGTAAACACGAGAGATAATAAACATGCAGATGAATGGCAGATCAAGCACAGTACAAATGAATGGAAGAATGGGCTGGGAGGCTGAATGGCTCCTTCAAGCTCCTGTATTCTTTTATAAACCCAGTACCTCTTCACCAGCTGTGGATTGGAATCGAAATGATCTTTGTCTGACCCTGCTTCACAATGACTGTTCAGCAAAAAGTCAATGACCAAACTCTGAGGTCTTCCCCCTGCCACTGGATACTGTTCTACCAGGATGTCACCTGCTGTTTCTCATCCAGTTGGAATGATGTTTTGTTCACCAAATTTAACATCAATCTCTTTCTCATGAGAGCCATTTGCTCAATTACTTTTGTGGGTTCATTTCTCCTTTGCAGCTACCAAATGAGCAGATGGATTGGGGTTATCATCAGATTGTCAGTTGTCCAGCTGCGAGCACCTACACATTGCCAAGGATCAGTGAGCCCCAGACAGGGCACTTTCTCCGTATTTAACCACAGTCCAACTTTCGACACCAAATTACCCAAAATCTACAGAAACAGGCCATTCAACCCAATTAGCTTGTGAAATAACTCCACAGAGGCCAGCATGCCATCAACAAGTCACCCTTTATTTATCTGTGGAGAATCCTTGACACTGCTGCAGCTCCCTCAGAACCAGCTGTCAGAGTGCACAGGATGTCAGACACTCCTGTTTATATCTGTCAGCCAGTGCTCCCTGATTAGACCAGATTATCAGTCCCAATCAGGGAATTTATATTCTATGAAGTCCAGCCGGCTGACCTTGTTACAATCACTATGTGCTGATGTGGAGCCTCTTCCTGCTTGCCATCATCAGCATTCTCACCACTTTCTGAGTGAATACGTTTCTGCTGAATTTATTTGAGATTGTCTTATATTGATAGCCCCTAAGTTTTAGTCTTCCCTCCTCCAACTGCAAACAACTTCTCTACATCTACCCTATCAAACTAAGGGAGGTGATGGCATTGCAGTAATGTCACTGGACTGAATTAGCAATCCAGAGGCCCAGGGTAAGACATGTATTCTGTAGAAGATGCATAGTGGACTTGAAACGTTAACTCTGTTTCTCTCCACAGATTTTGCTAGATCTGCTGAGTTTCTCTTTACTTGACCTAGGATAGGTACTTGGGGGCCTGAGTCCAAATCCCAACATGGGAGCTGGTGAAATTTTAATTCAATAAAAATCTGCAATTAACTATTGTCATAAAAACCCATCTGGTTCACTAATATTCTTTTGGGAAGGAAGTCTGCTGTCCTTACGTGGTCTGGCCTTCTTGTGACTCCAATCGACAGCATGTGTTGGAGTCTTACCTGCCCTCTAAAATGGCCCAGCAAGGCATTCAGTTCAGGGGCAGTTGGGGATGGACAATAAATGATGGCCTTGCCAGAATTCCCACACAAGAATAAAAAAAAACTTTCATCATTATGAGTATATCATGTCTAGGCAAATGAGCTCCAGCCTGTTCAATCTATCCTGATAGTTATGATTTATTGACTATGCAGCTGATTTTTCCAATGCTGTCTGCAGATGAGAATGTTCGGCGATATTTGATGGGACCACCAGGACCTCCAGGACCACCTGGTCGCCCAGGTTATACAGCGTCAGAAGGAACGACCAACATTCAGCTCAATTATGAAGACATTGCCACCCGTGTCCGTGATTACATGAGGAGTAAGTGTCAGGAATACGTTGGAAAGTGGGAAGTCATTGACTTCAGATCTGGGAAATACGTAAGGGAATATTTTGTAAAAAGCAAGAGACTTAAATCTGTGGAAGGCAATGAGGATTTGGATATCCAAGTGCACAAATGACTGAAAGGTGGTCGATAGGTACAGCAAACATTCAAAAAGATTGTTGGAATGTTGGCCTGTATCTCACAAAGGGGAGGATGTGATGTTTCAGTTTTATAGAGCTCTGGTCAGACCGCTGTCTGAGTCACGGAATTCAGTGCTGGGCACTGCACACCAGAAAGAGGTTTTCGTCGTTGGAGAGGGAGCAGCATAGATTCATCAGAATGGTCCTGAAGCTGAAAGGATTTAATTATGAGGACACGTTGTATAGACTGTGTCATATAAATTGTATAATAAGGCAGACTTGGTTGGGAGCTTAAGGTGAATGAACCTGTAGCGGACAGTACCAATGCCTGACAAGGGATGTCAAGGACAACTAAAAAGCAAAAGATAAAAACGTACAATGTGGTGAAGATTAGTAGGAAGCCAGAGGAATGGGAAGCCTACAAAAACCAGCATAGGACAACTAAAAAAACAATAAAGACAGAGGTGAAGTATGAGAGAGAAATATTCTAGCCAGTAATGTAAAAGAAGATTGCAAGAGTTGTTTTTAGATATATGAAAGGTAAGAGAGAGTGAAGAGTGGACATTGACTGCTGGAAAGTGAGTCTGCAAGAGTAGTAATGGGGAACAAAGAAATGGCGGAGGAACTGCATCACTTTTCACAGTGGAAGACACCAGCAGCATATCAGAACTTCAAGACAGTCAGGGGACAGCTGAGTGCAGTGGTCATTACTAAGGACAAAGTGCTGGGAAGCTGAAAGGTCTGAAGGTGGATAAATGACCTGGACTAGATGACCAAACCTCAGGATGTAGCTGAAGAGATTGTGGAGGCATCGGTGGTGATCTTTTAGGAATCACTGGATTCAGAAGGTTCACAGAGGACTGAAAATGGCTAATATAATACCCCTGTTTAAAAAGGAAGAGAGGCAGAAGATGAGAAACTATAGGCCAATTAGCCTGACCTCAGTTGTTGATAAGATTTTAGAGTCCATTCTTAAGGATGACATTGCAGAGTACTTGGATGTGCATTGTAAAATAGGACTGAGTCGGCACAGCATCGTCAAGGAGAGGTCATGGCTGACAAATCTGTTAGAATTCTTTCAGGAAGTAATGAGCAAGTTAGACAAATTACAGCCAGTGAACACGATTTATTTGGATTTCCAGAATGCTTTTGTCGTGGCGTTGCACAGGAGGCTGCTAAATAAGACGAGAGCCCAAGGCATTAGGGACGAGGTACTGACATAAGTAGAGATTGGCTGACTGGCAGAAGGCAGAGAGTGGGATAAAGTGGTCTTTTTCAGGAAGTCTGCTGGTGACTAGAGGAATTCTGCATGAATCACTACTATACATGTTATACAAAAATGATCTGGATGAAGGAACTGAGGGTCTTTTGTTGCTAAATTTGCAGATGGCATAAAGATAGGTGGAGGGACAGGTAATGTTGAGGAAGTGGAGAGGCTGCAGAAGGACTTGGATAGGCGACGAGAGTGGGCAAAGAAGATGGAGTACAATGTGGGAAAGTGTGAGATTATGCATTTTGGTAGGAAGAATAGAGGTGTAATCTATTTTCTAAGTAGGGAAAGGCTTCAGAAATCTAAAGCACAAAGGGACTTAGCAGTACTGGTTCAGAATTCTCTTAAGGTTAACATGCAGGATCAGTTGGCAGTTAGGAAGGCAAATGCAATGTTAGCATTCATTTCAAGAGGGCTAGAATACAAGAGTACAAGTGTACTGCTGAGGCTGTATAACGCTCTGGTCAGACTGCATTAGGAATATTGAAAGGTGTTTTGAGCTCCGTATCTAAGAAAGGATGTTCTAGCCTTGTGAGGTTCACAAGAATGATCCTAAAAGTGGGTTTGTACTCGAGTGTGTGTGTGGTGTTTTATTGGGTGAGGATTGTGGGGAAATGGGACAGTTTGGTCAGCAGCAAGAGCAGGCTATTAAGGGATGATGTCAGGAAGCATCTCCTCACGCAGAGATGAATGGAAATCTAGAACTCTTTCTCCCCAAAAAGATATTGAGGCTGGAGCTCAATTGAAAATGTTGAAACTGAGAGTAGTTAGTAGTCTTTGACTGAGGGGATTATAGGATCAGCTGCAAAGGTGGGTGAATGGAGTTGGGAAAGAGCTTGGTGATCTGTCACTGATTGATTGGTCAATAGTGAGTAACGGTTGGTCACTGGTCAGCAATATTGGTTACTGGTCAGCAATGATTTGTCACTGGTCAGCAGTGGGGAGGTGGATTCACTGGCTCAGAAGAGGAAGATTCGGCTTGATTCATGTCCTGAGCCAGTTTTATTGAGAATGTGGAGATGGCCAGCACTTTATCAAACTATGGCACTGTGACTTTGTAAATCAATACTGAGTGCAGTGGAGATATAATGACTGTTTTTATATTTCTCTCTCCCACCAGGTTCAGGAATGAGTTTTGGGGTCCAAGGACCACCCGGCCCTCCTGGATCACCAGGCACTGTGTCCAGCACTGAGCTGATGGCTCTTCTACAGAGTAAGTACCACCATTCAATACTAGAATTAAACACATATTTCATACACCAACACACCTCTCACCCAGACCCCTTCCTGGAGCCCACTCGACCCCAGCCTACCAAACCCCAGTCCCTCCCAGACCCCAGTCCTCTGAATCTTAGACCCCGAGAACACCTGAATCTCTCAAATCCCAGAGCCCCAAACCCCAATCCCTTGAATCCCATTCTCCCTCTGAATTCCAACACCCCCCCTTGAATCCCAGTTACCTCTGAATCCCAGCCACCGCTGAACCCCACTCCCCGCCCTCACCAAATCCCAGACCTCCCTGAACCCCAATCCTATGACTCCCATACCCTCACGAGTTCCAGGTCGCCCCCCCCTCCACTCCCCCAAACGTTCTGACTCAGTGATACAGCTGCTGATCCCGACTCCTTGGATACTCTCTGTGTAGAAACAGTTAACAGATTTTGTAACTGTTGTTCTACGTTGAGTTTTCCACTTATTCTGAACAATCTGTGATTTTATTCCCTTTAGCCTCTTCCTTTAGGAGGATCCTTGGACAGCCTGGACCTCCTGGGCCACGAGGTTTACCAGGACCAGCTGGACCCCCTGGGCTTGGGGGCGGGAACTTCCGCATTGAAGATGTCATTTCCTACATTCAAAGTAATTTCTTTTGCTATCTTTTAAAAACTGTTTTCTCAAGTTGTGGTTGTGATGGTCTTTCAGGTTTCACCACCCCTGCCAGTTTTCAGTGCCCAGACATGCAGGTGAGGTCACATAAGGGGTCTCTTACAACTGAGGCGGGTGGGAGTACAGAGAGCAGGAGAACTGTCATGGCTGAGGTGACAGTGAGATGTTTCTGAGTCTGTGGGCAATAGATTCATCATGGGCAGTGCTGTAAAATCTTCATCCCTGAGGTTGCAACAGTGGGTCTGAGAATTCTCATTCTTCCATTATCTTCGTGTGAGTCCAGTATCCTCTACACTAACTGCCATACTTCTTGTGAATCTCCAGACTCGGGTTATAGTATTGCAGGCCCTCAAGGACCCCCAGGACCACCAGGGCCTCCAGGATCACCAGGAATTGGAGGAGGTTTATATCCTGAAGCTCAGCAGAAAATGAAGCGCGAGATTATTGAATATTTCTCAAGTAAGTGGTAATCTCAGTCCCAATGGTCAAGACTTTGGTTTAATATTGAATATTTATACCTTGAATTTGCTGATCTCAAAGAGACTGAGGACTCCCATCTGGTCAGATCTAATATTGAACTTGTGGCATCCAATGGGAATGCAATGTAACTGGGATTAAAGGTCTATCCTATGCCTATGATGAGCATGTTCTGAGGAATTGGAGTTGAATCTGTTCTGACTTTCATAACACGGTGGTTGTTCAGCTTCATTATCAGGACGACTGATCTATGATTCAGAGTGATGTTTACTGTGTGGGTCCAAATCCTAGACTGGCTGTGATCACCATGAAAACCCTGTATTCTGAACCTTGTCCCTTCTCTGAGAATGTGTTGACTCTCAGGTTAAACCCACCACCATTTGTCTCTCTCTCTGGAACTATGGTTCATAGTTTATAACAGACATTATTGACTCTCATGTTCTCTGTTACTCGTGCTGTTTGTTCTAAGGATGTCTCTGTGGCTCACTGCCTGTGTGATGAAACACATTCTGTATTACTCTTCTAATTCAATCCCCTTATGGGTGTGTAGTAAATTCACAAATGTTATTGTTATGCATCCTTACACTTTGTGATAACCCTTTTAAGGTCCATGAGGAATCACTAATTAATCTCTTTTTGGAGCTCATTGAGTATAAGCTCCCTTGGTAACAGGGGAGGGCCTGCCCAGTTGGAACGCACAACCAAGTCCTTTTATAAAGCAGGCTCAGGGTGGGTCTGTAGAAATGGCTTGTCCTGGGTTGGGACTAGCTTATGTACACCATGCACAGTGGCTTCGGTTTGGTGTTCAACAATAAATGAGGTTCCTTCCCAGTCAGACTTCCTGAGTTATTACACATTTATAAGTTCAAAAACTAGGAAACACAGATTTTTATTCATTCACAGGATGTGGGCCCTCCTGGCTGGCAGGTACTTATTGCCCATTTGTAATTGCCCTGAAGAAGGTGGTGGTGAGCTGCCTTCTTCAACCTCTGCTGTCTGTGCGGTGGAGGTAATACTCTATTAAATCATCAGTGAAAACACACCCTTTAAATGTAATTATGTGATACAGGTCATGCTGCAACCTCAATGGGATTAAATAGAAGTTCAGTGGGATCTCTCTGGGCTATGACACTGGGTTGGATGACTGTACTTCTTTCTAGATGGTTACTAACTGAGTCCCTCTGCTCTCCAGGTGATAGAATGAGACCATACATTACTGGACCAGCAGGACCCCCAGGACCCCCAGGACGCATTGTATATTCTGAAGTAGCTCCACGTCTCGCTCGGTATATGAAAGGTAAGTCATTAACTGAATCAGATTGTGATATTTATCAGCAGTTTCTGTGAGGCTAAATCACTCTAAGCATGTTCTTAAATTGTCCAAGTGTTTTATCTGTTATTTATCATTAAACGATGACCAAAAGCTTTACAATTCGGCAAAGCATAAGAAGCAAACACAGGCCAGTTAACTTGTAATCTGTCATAGGAAAAGTATGAGAATCTATTATTAAGGAGATTATAGGAGAGCATTTAGAAAAATCTTAATGCCAGATAGAATGTAAGAAAATGTAAGCTTATCTGCTTTGCCAGGAAGAATAGAAAAGCAGCATATTATTTAAATAGAGAGAGATTGAAGAACTGAGGTACAAGCAGGTCTGGATATGCTGGTACATGAATCACAGAGTGTTAGTACAGAACTACAGTAAATGATTAGGAAGGTCAATTTTTGTTGTTTATTCCAAAGGAAAATGTCATATCGACCAGGATGTTTTGCTATAGTTATACAGGGCATTGCTGAGGCAGCATCTACAACACTGAGACATCAGGACTGATGAAGGATCTAGGCCCAAAACTTCCATCTAATCCTACTCTTCTGATGCTGCCTGACCTGCTGTGTTCCTCCAGCTCCACACTGTATCTACTCTAGAACACAGTCTCCAGTTTTAGTTTCCTGGGAAGTTGAGGAAACAGTCAGATCAGCCATAATTTTATTAAATTGTGGAACAGGTTAGGGGAAGGGAAAGGCCTACTCTTGCTTCAAATTTGTATGTCGTATAATCAGTCCAGTCATATTTTTTATTCATTCATGGAAAGAGCAGATTGACTTATGAGGAAAGGCTAGACAGGCTAGGCCTATATCCTCCGGAATTTAGAAAAGTCAAAGGCCACTTAATTGACAAAAACAGAATCCTGAGGGGATTTGACTGGTGGATATTGATAGGATGTTTCCTCTTATGATAGAATCTAGATCATAGTTTAAAAATAAGGGAGCATCCATTTAAGACAGAGATGTGGCAACATTTTTTCTCTGAGGGTTGTGAGTCTTTAAAATTCCCTTCCCTCAAAAGTGGGTGCAGAATCTTTAAATATTTTTAAGAGATGGATAGATTCATAATTACAGAATTTGCAGAAGTAGAGTTGAGATTAAAATCAGATGAATCATGATCGTATTGAATGGCATAGAGGCTTGAGAAGGGATGAATGGCCTACTCTTGTTCCTTGTTCGCATGTATGTGGACGTTGCTGGGCCAGCATTTATTGCCCATCCCTAAGTGCTCTTTAAGTGACTTATTAGGGCCATTTCAGAGAGCAGTTGAGAGTCAACTGCATTGCTGCAGGTCTGGAGTCACATGTAGGCCACACCAGATAAGCATGACAGATTTCCTTCCCTAAAGGACATTAGTGAACCGGATGGGTTTTTGCGACAATTGACAATGGTTACGTGTTCATTATTCATTCCACATTTTTACTGCTTTCAAATCTTACCAGCCATTTCACCTATGCCTCCAGAATGCTAAACCATGGCTTTGGATTGCTAGTCCAGTGATTCTACCACCATCCCACCACTTCCTCCATCATCAATCAATGAAAAATCCACAAGGGGGTAATCGTTCTTTTTAAGGATATCTACAGGGGATTCAGAAATGAGATCCATGCTTCCAACAAAGTGGCAGTTCATGTCAATTTGTACATTAAAAGATTAGTATACGATAATCTCAAACTAAAAGAGAATGGGAATCCTTTTGGCTAATGGAGAATGCCAGCTTCACCTTGACTTGTTTGGGAATCAATTTTCAAATACTTTGAAGCAAGACATTTTCAAGGGAGTTTGACAATGTTATACACGCAACTATACATAATCCACAATGTTTATTTTTGAATGACCTTAAATTAACCACTTTGCAATTGAGATCAGGAGATGATGTCTAATTTTTGCAAGTGCATCACATGAATCCATTCACAGCAAGCACATCATTACTCCAAACATTGACCTAGCTCTTGCTGTTTCAGATAATGGGCTGATCGATACTCGCACCATCATCATTGGCGGTCCTGGACGTCACAGAGTACTCTGGCAAGATGGAACATATAGAAATGATACCGAACTGGAGAAGTACCTGAGAGGTAGGTCATGAATTAGCATTGGTAGAGAATATGTGTGTCCAACTGACTGAGTTTGTATCTGTAAGGGAGAGGCTGGGTGTGGAAGAAGGTAATATTGTGAGTGATGGAGATGGGAAGAGTTTGAGAATGAGAAATGTGTGCATTTGGGGAAAAGAAATTTTTAAGTGGGGTGGGATGCAAACAGGGATAGAGTGGGAGAGAGAGGTTGAGGAGGGATGCATTGGGAGTTGGGGATAAGAGACAGGATGATGGATCTGGAATTCTCTATGGTTAAGGACTCTGAACTTTATCTCATCTCTCTGAGTTCAAGTAGTCCTCATATTTACATTCCTCAGTTCCTGAATTTTGAAGGTGATTTCACTATCCTTGGAAAACATGATTTAAATCATTTATTTCCTTTGTTTAAGAACATGGAGTTGATCTGGGGTCAGTGGATGGAGGACAAGGGAATGCCCAGGCTGCAGGAGGTGAGTGTTTAAATTGTTTTACACAGCAAACCATCTGTGGAGACATGTTAGACAACTTTTCTGGGACTGACTCATCAATCTTTCAGGTCATTTCATGGAGCAGAAGAGAACCGAAATCAGTGTAAAATCTCTTTTACTGATCCACTCCTCCCTGAATCCCTCGGTCCCACATCCTCCCACAATCCCTCAGTCCCACTTCCTCCCCATATCCCTTAATCACAGCCCACGGTGTTTCCAGCTGATGAAGTTGAATTTGCCAACATTATCGGAAGATGTACAGTTCTGATTGCAATTAATCTGGATCCAAGTATTTGGAAGTGGCCACAATTCAACTTCTCAGATTTTACAAAGTATTCATAAATACTAGGATTGGAACGTTGTCAGGTCCCCCAAAACCTCTCTTGAGAAAGGGGTGACTTGAACCTTCTGTGGTGTCTTTAAACTGACTACTCAGGTCTGTTGAACAAAAACTAAGTCCAGCAAGGGTTGCTAGGTGGCAATTAGCATAAAGACACCTATAGTCTTTTCAAAATCAGGGTTTCCAGTAAATACGGTCCATAAACCTGCTCTTGTCTACTCGAAAGTTTAGCTCCAAACTCTCAATTTTTCTGTAAACAGCACACACTAAGCTGCTGACTTCATCACTTGATAAAAACCACATGGCAAACCTTTTCAGTCCAGAAAAGATCCAAACTATTCCACAGCTTCCAATTTAGTCACACTGTCCTTAAATGTAAATATGTATTCCAAAGACCTTGATTCTAAATCCCTCAATTCCATCTAATTCACCTTCTATATTGGTCCTTCTGCTATATTTTTTCCCAATCCTTTAATCTTACTGGTTCAAAAGATAAAGTGTTTGCTCTGTTTTCCTCAGGTCCTAGCTTGGGCTGAATAAATGACAAGTAACATTTGACCTACACAAGTACTAGGCAATGACCATTTCCAACAAGACAGAATCTAACCATCATCTTTTGACATTCAATGGTATTACCGTCAATAAATTGCTTACTGTCAACATTCTGGGAGTTACCATTGACATAAAACAAAATAGGCTAGGATATAAGTGCAAAAGCAGGTCAGAGACTAGGAATCCTACAGTAACACCCTTCTCATTTCTGCACAACCTGTCCATCATCTACAAGGCACAGCTCAGGAGTGTGAATGTAATACTCTCCACTTGCCTGGATGAGTGCAATTCCAACAGCTCTCAAAATGCTTGATACCATCCAGGACAAAGTAACCCACTTGATTGACATCACATCACTAATGTTCACTCCCTCCACCACCAGTCAGTAGCAGCAGTGCGTACCGTTTACAAGATGCATGACAGATATTCAAGTCTCCTTTAGACAGTATCTTCCAAACCCATGATGACTGCCATCTCGAAGGACAAGAGCAGTAGATACATAGGAGCGCTACCACCTGCAAATTCTCCTCCAAACCACTCACCATCCTGACTTCAAAATATATCTGATGAAGAATCGCTGGACTTGAAAAATTAACTCTGCTTTCTTCCCAACAATTCTGCCAGACCTGCTGATTTCCGCCAGCAATTTCTGTTTTTGTTTTAGATCTCCAGCATCCACAGTTCTTCGTTTTATATTCAAAACTTTTCCTTCAGTGTCACTGGGTCAAAATTCTGGAACTTCTTCCCTAATAGCATCGTTTGATCTGTGACACAAATTTCCTGGTGGATAATCAGACTTGTTAGTGAGTGAGAGCTAATGACAATGGCCTACATAAATAGTCTTCAGAGGTTCAAGAAGGCACTCACCACCACTTTTCTCCGCAGCAATTAGGGACAGGCAATAAATTCTGGCCCAGCCAGTGATGCCCACCTCCCATCCTGCTCCTCTGATGCTGCCTGGCCTGCTGTGTTCCTCCAGCTCCACACTGTGTTGTTTCTGACTCCAGCATCTGCAGTTTTTGCTATCTCCGAGTGACTAAAACCCCTGGTGTCCTCATTGCCCTACAGGCTCACAGTTTCAGCAACTTGTCAGGCAACATTTGTAAAAACCCAGACAAATAATTCTAAGTCTTACTAATGGGGAACATTGTGAGATGTCCGGCTTTAGAAAATTTTAAGCCATCATACTTTATTATACATTTCCATCCCTACGTCTCGGAATGCTGCCCTAACCTAGGACAAACTTTGACAGAGGCAAGCATTCACCTGTATCGTTCTTAAAAAGCAGGCTGTCATCCAACTTACTATAGCAATACGATATCATCCATTAAACAGCCTTTCATTGTTGTCCTCCTTGTAGGTAACAGGTGGAGTGTGCACACATCACATGGTTCATCCCAACCATCACAGGTACCTGGGGCATCTGGCCGTTCTGTGTTTGATTGGGAGAAAGCATTCAATGGGAACAGGACAGCCTACGAGGAATATCTCCGAGGTGAGAAGTAGGAATTTTACAGAATTTACTGACATTGTGTGGGGACCCCCATCCCCCATGCTTGTTTGAGGTAACAGGCAACGTTGATAAGGGTAATACAGTTGTTATAGTCTGTGTGTACTTCCAAAACATACTAGATAAGGTGCCACACAACAGGTTTCTCATTAAAGCCTATAGAATAAAAAAGGTCAATGGCAGCATAGGTAAGAAGGTGGCTGATAATGGGAAACAGCAGTGAGTGGTTGTTTTTTGGACTGAAGGAAGGCTGGCAGGGTTGGGAGGGTGATTGTAATCATTTAAGACATCGTTGCTAGACTGGGCCTACAGAAAGTGGTGAGGCAAACCAAGCAGAGGGAAAAACATGCCTGTCGCTGATGCATTTGTCCATAACACTATTGGTAAGAGTGTGCACCACACCTTTCTTGTGCAGATAATGTTCACATTGAGAATCACCTTCATTGAATTAAGTGGCACTATCACCAAGGTAAATGGAATAGACTTCCAACATATCCAGTAATTCAAGACTGGGCATTCATGAGGTGCTATGCCCCATCAGCAGCAGCAGAATTATACTCCACAAATCTTTAACCTTATGGCCTGGTTTATTCCCCACTACCATTAAGCCAAGAAATCAATCCTGATTCAATGATGAAGAGTTCAGGAAGGCATGCCAGGAATAGTGCCAGGCATACCTAAAAACAAGGTGTTAATCAGGTGAAGTTACAAAACTAGAATATGTATGCGCCAAATAACCTCGGCACCAAATGATGCACAGAGATAAGTGACCCACAATCAACGGATCATATCTAGGTTCTGCAGTTTGGCCATGAAAGGTGGTGGATAAATAAGCAAACTGCAGGAGGTAGATAAACATCCCCATCCTCAATAACAGGGATCCCAGCACTTTAGTGAAAAAGACAAGGTTAAAGTATTAGCATCCACTTTCAACCAGACATGCTGAGTGGATAATCCATCTTGGTCTACTCCTGAGGTCATTAGCATTACAGATACCAATCTTCAGCAAATTCAATTCACTCTGTGATATCAGGAAAAGCTGAAGGCACTGGATACTACAGGAGGCTTCATGATAGTGCAATTCTGCAATAGGACTGAATAGTTGTGTTCCGGAACTAGTCAAGTCTCCAGCCAAGCCATTCCAGTGCAGCTACAACACTGGCATCTACGCAGCAACATGGAAAGTTGCCCAGGTATGTCCTGTACACAAAAAAAAACAGGATAAATCCAATGCAGCCAATTTCTCAGTCTGCTCTTGACCATCAGCAAATTACGGAAGGTATCATCAACAGTGCTATCAAGCGCACTTGTTCAGAAATTTCCTGCTCATTGACACTCAGTTTGGATTCCACAAGGGCCAGTCAGCTCCTGCATCATTGCAGCCTTTGCTGGGAGCATAGACAAAGAGCTGAACTCCAGGGGTGAGGTGACGCCCTTGACATCAAGGCTGCATTTGACCGATTGTGGCATCAAAGAGCCCTAACAAAATTGGATTAAATGGGAATCAGGTGGCAAACTCTTCACTGATTGGAGTCATACCAGACACAAAGGTAGATGGTTGTGATTGTTGAAAGTCAGTCATTTCAACTCCAGGTCATCTCTGCAGGAGTTCCTCAGGGTAACAACTAGGGCCAACCATCCTCAGCTGCTTCATCAGTGACACTCCCTTCATCGTAAGGTCAGAGGTGGGGTGTTCCCTGATGATTGCACAATGACCCTCGTATACTGAAACAGTATATATTAATATGCAGCAAAACCGGTGCTATATTCATGCTTGGGCTGATGAGTGACAAGTAACATTTGCAACACACAAGTGCCAAATAATAACCATCTCCAATAACAGAGAATCTAACCATTGTTCCCTGACATTCAATTGGGGATTCAGCGATGTTAATGCCGTTGAATGTCAAGGGACAATGGTTGCAAGAGCAGGTCAGAGATTGAGAATTATGTGGCTTTTAGAAGGTATTGGATCATTATCTGAAGATAAAAGAAATTGCAAGGTTATGAGGAAATGGTAGGGGGCCTGGGACAAGGTCAGTTACTCTTACAGACCATGGATACGTTAGATTGAATGACCTCTTTCAGTGCTGAAACTAATCTTTGTTTGATTTTTGGTGACTCTAACTTCTACTTTCCATCTGGAACACCCCAATTACATCATTTTCTGATGAAGTAGTTAAAATCCAAATGGCCTGAACTTGTGTTCACTCAACAACAGTTAAAAGAACCGATAAACTCTCTGCCACAATGTATCATCCAATGAACAGTTTTATAAGTCAACCTTGTAACCAATTCCATTATTGTCCTTCTGCAGAAAATGGCTGGACTGTGTACAGGTCACCTAGCTCAGGAGGATCTGGGACATCTGGCATTCTCGAAGACAATTGGGAGAAATTCTTCAATGGGAATAGGACAGCGTATGATGAATACCTGAGAGGTGAGAATGTAGGGATTTGTGAAGGAATCACAACAGTGGTGGGTCTGTGCAGCATTCAGGGGATTCCCTGGTGATGGGAGCAGCGCTGCACGGTCGTGGGGTCAGCACCAAGGGACTGCCGCATGGTCATGGGGCCACTAACAAAATAAGTTTGCTTTGGCTTTTGGAAAATAGTGTAGATGGGACAAAGTGAATTGCTGTTACAGAGCTAGTGGGACATGATTGCATGAATGGCCTGTTTCAGTGCTGTAACCAAACTTTTGTTGATGAGTATCTCTAATCTATAATTTTAGTCGAAACATCCGAGTTGCACAGTTCCCCAGTTGAACAATTATAATGCAAATGTCTTAAACTTCATGTAACAACATTTACAGACAATAAGAACGAGGAGCAAGGCTCAGCCCCTTAGCCCCTTGAGCCTGCTCTGTCATTGAATAAGATTGTGACTGATCTGAATGTAATGCTAAATCTGCATTCCCATGCACCCTTGATAACCTTTCACTTCCTTGCTTAATCTCTATGCCTCTGCCTTCAAACTATTCAACAACTCTGCTTCCATCACCTTTTCATGCAGAGAGTTCCAAATATGAGAGGAAAGAATTCAACTCATCTCTACTTTAAATAATTTTAAAATAATGACCCTTGGTTCTAGATTCGCCCATAAGAGGAAGCATCCTCTCCACATTCACCCTAACCAGATCCCGCAGGATCTTTATATGTTGCAATCAAGTCACCACTTATTTTTCGAAACTTGAGCGGACACAAACCTAGCCTTTCTGACTGTTCTCATAAGACAACTCCCCCATTCCCATCCTCTCCGCAGGCATTCTATCAAGACCCCTCAGATCTTGTATGTTCAATCAAGTCACTCTTACTCTTCTAAACTGCCTAAAGCCAGGTCTGTCCAATCTTTCCTTGTTAAGGGGGAGGGGGTTGCAAGATTAGTCTCCTGACTCTTTCTAGGCCTCCTGCTGAAAACTGTGTGGGATGTGTTCATTCACTGAGGGTCACCCTCACTCCATGCCTAGGGTCACCCTGACTCCCAGCCGAGGGTCACCTCTTGGGATGTGAAAGGTTCTATCCGAATTCAAGTGTTTTCCATTTTTAAAATCCAATTTTTCTCTCTGTCTCTAGGTTTCGGTGTACATTCAGCAGCATCAGGAGGTGGTGCAACACTTACAAGAGGAGGTCAGTCACATTAAGGATTCACTGTTTGAAATGGTAGATGTTGTGAATAAAGTTAATTTGATCTGCACTCGCAGACACCTGTGTTCTATCTCTGCTTCTCCCTTCTTTTATCTGACTGTCTCCAAGGAACAATTTTAATTTTCAGTGATCAGTATTGGTGGGGTAATGTAAGATTGGTTGTTCATATTTATGCCTTTGTTAAACCAAGATTTGAATTTTCAGAAACACTCATGACCAATCTCCCACATTCTTCAATCTTTAAACTTGGGATCATCCAAAACTCTTCTGCCTATGTATTATCTTGCAGAAATTCTCATTCCCTTATCAGCCTGTGCTCACTGACCTACATTAGTTCCCAGACAAACAATGCCTTGATTTCAAAATTCCCATCCTGTTTTCAAACCCCTCCTCACTTTCTCTGTAATCCCCCTCTGGCTCTGTAACTGTTGAGATAGCTGTGGTCCTCGAATTCAGGCTCCTTATACATTCCCAATTTTTGCTCCACCATTCACTGTGTCTTCAACTTCCTGGGTCATAAGCTCTGGGATACCCTCCCCTCGCCTCTTGGCCTCATTTCCCTCCTTCAAGATGTTCCTTCAAACATAGCTCATCAATCAAGCTTTTGGTCACCTCACCAAATGTCATTGATGCGACTCTATCATATCCGATAAAAACCAAAAGAACTGCAGATGCTGTAAATCAGCAACAAAAACAGAAGTTGCTGGAAAAGCTCAGCAGATCTGGTAGCATCTCTGAAGAAAAATCAGAGTTAATGTTTCAGGTCTGGGTTCTGAGTAAGGGTCACTAGACCCGAAACATTAACTCTGATTTTTCTTCATGATGCTGCCAGACCTGATGAGCTTATCCAGCAACTTCTGTTTTTGTTCTATCATACCTGGTTTGATATATTGCTCCAGTGAAAAACCCTGGGGTGCTTCAAAGGTGCTATATAGATATATAGGTTGTTGTTGTTCATTATACTTACTCATTGTCCTTTTGTGATCTCTCTCTCTCACTCACACACACACACACACACACACACACACACACACACACACACACACACACACACAGTCTCTGTACTTCAATTTCACTTTCCCTATTTTTAGGTCGGTGGAGCCAATTTTACATTCAATGGCTGAGTGACAATTATAAAAATTGTGCAGTTTCTATCAGTTGATTTGAAATAAGGTGAACAGGGGAGGGGCATGTTCATCAACAGGGATGTAATGCATACCCCCATCCTAATTCCCACCCCTCACCTAATTCCCCAGTCCAATTCCCATACCTATCACCACTCAAAGACCACAGTTCCTTCCACCCCTAATTTTCTGCTATCTCCAATCTCCCCTGCAACCATTATCTCTGAGACTGTAATAATTCTCCCTGTAACCCAGCGAGACTTTAATAATTTTCACTGTAACCCAAAGAGACTGTATTCATTCTCACCATAACTGTAACCTGGCAACTGCAATCATTCTCACTGCAACTGTAATCCAGAGACTGAAATCACTCTCACTGTAACCCGCAGGTTGTAGCTACTCTCACCGTAAATCAGGGACTATAATCACTTGCATTGTAACCCAGAGAAATGCAAATTACTGTCTGTAATCCAGAGAGACTGTCGTAACTCAGTTCCAAATCACAATTTATCTGTTTTCTGACTCCAGCCCCCTACACCAGACTCGCAGATCCTGCCCCAAATTTACTTTATTGTGGGATGTATACCGAGTCACTACTTACATTGCTGATCAGGATTAGTAAGTATCTCTTATTTAATTGCAGCCAGTCGATCACACCATACATTATCCAGCTTCTCCAGCCAGTCAGATGGATCTGGAGCTCGTCGTGTCTCTGAAACATCACACAGTTCCTCCAGTCAATCAACTTCCTCTAGTTCTTCCCATTCTTCAGGAGGAGTTTGGCATGATGGGACCTACAGGAGCGATGCTGAGTTAGACTTGCAAAAAGGTGGGAGCCTCTTTCTACTTCACTGTCATGGCTCATTCTCCTACAGAGCATGCTGTATCTCTACCCTGTGAGCTATCTGTGATATGTTACTCACATATACAGCCCACCACTAGTACCAGGTTATTCTGCAAAGTTATCCATGAGAACTGCCAGCCTGTTGTACTCATTGTTGTCTATCCTGAGCAAAAGGAATTAGAGGGTCTGTTCAACTCTAGTCGGTCAATGGGGCCATCAGACGTCCACATGATTGTCCGAGGACACTAACCTCCTTCAGAAATGAAACAGCCTTTTCTGGGAGACTGCTGTGAGCAGAACAAAATCATCAAGACTTTAGAAATTTGGTGTGGTTTATACATTCTTTTTGCATGCAATTGTGTATTAGTTATAAAAATGTAGTAGATGGTGGGGTAGTGGGAAGGAATTATTTAATTTAGGATGGTGGCATTTGATGGCAGGATTATGTGATAAAACCTCCAGGAATATGGCTGACCAAAGTTGGTAAACCAGAATAGCTTGAGAGAGGTGAACTTTGATCAGTTGGATGGATGAAAATGTGTACCTGTACAGGTAGGAAGCTTTGGTCAAGTCTGTATAGATGAGTACCTGACACATACCCATTGACCAACATGCACTGCTCCTATCCAGAGATCAAGCCAATCCTTCCTGCAATCCTTTTGGCAAGGCAATGGCTCATCAGCCTCACTAACAGATGGTTACCCATTTACATTGGGCAATTCAGTAACAATGGCCCACACAGAGAACATAATTGCCTCCATCAGAATCCCAGCAAGTAAGCTTAGTCTTTCTCCTTTTGTCATCTGTTTGGTGGGAAGAATGGGAAAGACCCAGCAAGATCCCTGCAGCAGGAGGAGATTTGCTGATTTCTGTTGATTTTTGTTGCAGGGAAACTTGGGGAATCTTATGCTACTTTGCTGTCAGACACCAATCTCGGGACACAGTCTGATCAGAAGGAAAGGAGAAGAAAATCTACAGGTAATGTAGTGAAGCTATATAGGAAAGACCTACATTCTCGTCTGAGCTGTTTTGCAGGGATCTATAGGTTTTTAAAATGTATATAATAACCATACCCTACCCTTCTGTGATTCAACCCCATCTTTTCTTGATCCCTAATTTGACCACTGACCTGATACTATCCAGAGAAGGAATTGTGTTTTATAATAATCATTTTTTTCTGTAGGTCAGTCTTCGCACAGGAGGACCCAACGACGAGCTCACGGCCTAAAGTGATGCAGCGACTTGGGTAGAGCAGGCTCAAGGGGCTGACTCCTGCTTCTATTCTTCTGGCTACAGGCAGTGACTTTGCCTGCATCTCACCCTCTTTATTCAGCAGCTTAACATCAGAAGAAAAACTCATGCAAATTTCTTTTCTGTGCCTCTATAATACAGCGTGTTAATCCTGGATTCTAATTGCACAGTAATTGTAACCATGGAAACAGATGGACAGCGACGGATCTGTGGGGAGACTGCTGTATGAGCTTCCCCTTCCCCATTCTCTATTTGTTCCTGGAGCATTGCCATTCAATGCCAGAAATCTCTGAAACATTCCATTTCAGTGGTCACATGGGTCATAGATGATACTCCAAAGTTTTCCATTAATCACCAAACATTGTTCAAATTTAAATAGGAGCAGAAGAATACCTTCCTCTCCCTGGCGCCTTCTCTGACATTGATCACAATCTTGGCTGACCTTCCACCTCATCTCCACCTTCCCAACTGCTGGCCATGCCCACAGGTTCCTTGAAGAGACCAATAATCCCATTATGGATTTGTGTCACGTTTAATCTTTCAAGAGTTCTGCTCAGGATCCAGCTTGCATCTGGGCACCACATTTCTGGAAGGATGTGAGGATCCTTGGGAGGATGCAGAATGGGGCACGAGGGGTTGGTTTAGTTATGAGATTAGGTTGAAGTGGTTCTACTTGGAGGACAGGAGATGAGGGGAGATTTGATAAAGATGCATGAGATTATGACAGGCATCAGGCACAATATAAAGCTGTGCCCATTAGCTGATGGTACAAGAACCAGGGCGCACATTTAAGATTTTGTGAGCAGCTGCAGGGGACTGTGGCAATCACCTGGAACTTGCTGCCCACGAGGGTGTTGGAAGTGGAAATGATTAATGATTTCAAAGCAAAGTTGAAAGGTGATTCAAAGGAAATGAACACACTGGGCTATAGGGATCGAGCTTGGGAATGGGACTCATTGAATTGAGAGCTGGCACAGACTCAGTAAGGCACAGGAGGAGGCCATTTGCCCTAAACAACTCATTTTTGTATATTCAATGATGGAACATTCACAGCCTTCTGCGGTAGAGAAATCCAAAGATTAATAAGCATTTGAGTGAAGAAATTTTCTCATCTCAGTCCTAAATAACCATCCCTTTAGGCTTGTCAGGGTCAGCCCTGCCAAGCCCTTTCAGAATCTGGGTCCTTTGATCAATGATAAGGGAGCAGGCTCATGTCCATTCTTCCATTGTCTACATATAGCTGGTGCCCAATATCAACAATTGAACAGAATTATTAAAAGTCCCAGCAGAAGGGCTGTGACCTCCAGTTCAGGATAATCAACGTACAGGTGACACACCCCTCCCAGTGGTGGAACCCCATCCAGAACAGGCAGACAGCTGACATCTTCCTGCCACTCCTGCTTCCAAACCCCTCAGCAATTGCAGGCAACATCAAAGGAGAAAGCCAGAGTCAATGGGAACAGCATCACCTTTTACAATCCCAAATCCTCTTCACTGGATCCTCAGATTCACGAGGAAGGAGCCAATAACAGCCAAGCACAGCTCCTTGATATGAATCTACCATGTTGCCAACCTCACAAAGTTGTGAAGAGTTTGAGAAGCAGTTTTGGGAGATAGTGATAGCAGAACCTGCTGTTTTCTCAGGAAGGAGATAGTTGCCTTGGGGTTGGAGGTAGAGAGTCCATGGTTTAAGAGCCAGCATGAGTTCTGAACAAACAGAATGGCCACTGCCCAGTGTCTGGGTAGCCCAGAGGATAAGAAGAATGATTCAGTTGTTTTGTTTCTGTTCATTTGTACAGTTTAATTCTTGCTCTGATGGTTCTCTTGTTCATCAGGTTCCTGTCGGTTACATAGGTGCCACTAACCAGCTGACTATTTTACAGCCTGTCTTATTTAAAATTGTAAAACTTTTCTTTTTGGAATAAAATAATTTTTAAAAAGAAACAAAACAAAGTGGATTCCTCACCAGATTTATTCAACACCTGCCAAAGGATTGTTCTTAACAAACTCCAAGCCAGCAGGAGCCCCTGATTGCTCTGTCAGCCTGAGATCAGTCTTGGAACTGACTGCCAGCTTCACCTCACTTAGGGGCTGCAATCCATGCTGTCCACAGGTCAACACTGCTTTGGCAAAGTTGTAAAGGCTGGCCACACTCTGCCAGGGCAGAGTGGGGAGGTTTTAGGAAGGGCGGGGGAAGAGCGTGAACGAGTGATGGAAGCATATTCTCAGTACATTCCCTGTCCGTTCTCACCTAGTTTTGACTTCACGTGGCAACACTGCTTTCCTTAGAGGATCCTATTTCAGATCTGTGATCAACCTGCTGTTTCTCTACTTCATGGGGATGGAGACATCTCCCTTGAACCCTAGCCATTGGGATGGGTGTTTTTGAAATCCTCTCATGTTACTGCTAGTCACATTCGATGCTCCAAAAGCTTCTCTTGGCTCATAGTCACTGTGACACAGTCCAGTGGCTGAGCTGAAAGAGGCAAACTCAATGCCCTTTACCCCTATGTCATGAGGTTGTTCACTCATTAATCTGGTTAAAGAGGAACCTCAACCATTTATCACTAACTGATTAGAATGTGCCCCTAAGCAGCCTTCAGCTGCCTGATTGTGTTTAATGAGTGCAAGGTTTTAAAATCAGTCGCTGGTTCTAGGTTGGGTGATGGTAAATAGGGACCGAGAAACCGGACCTGGTTAACAACACAAGGCCTCATCACCAGCCGAGCACTGGCTGCCTGGGTAGTGATGGCCAACAACACCTGGCACCCATTACAGGGCCTTTAATCCCTTCAGGTGGGTTTCCACTCCAGGAATGGTTCCTCGGTCCCACTATGGATTTGCTCTTCCCTAAATTACTGCTATTCCTTCTCCGAGTGAATCTGTCAAACATTTCAATAAATACTTTTAGCATAAATGTGCTCAGGGTCTGATTGTATGAATCAAAATCTGCAGCAGATCCATTATTTGTGGTTTTGAATGTGACCATACTTCATGCTTCAGATCTTATCTCCCAATTCACAAACATTCCAAAAATACAAGCAGTTCTCACTCTTGACTCGTGGCCATTTACAAGACTCTGAAAGCAGGAGATTCTGGTAGCTGCAGAAATACTTGAACCACGGAATTCATCCCCCTTAATTACTCCTACCCAACCATTCCCTGCTCCTTCATACTTACAGTTTCAAATATTGTACAGAAATATTAAATAATTCTCCATATCCCAAAGATTATTCATGGGAAGGACAGGACAGACTGCTATTCCAGGTCTTCAGTCAATATTATACCTCTCTGAGAGGCCCACTGGAGTGAATCAGATGGTAGTGTGTTCGAGCCTCACTGCAGAGACTGGAGAAATGAATCCAGATCAACTGTTCATGAGGGAGATAATGGATCTCATAAAGCAAATGGTCAGAGGTCATCGTAGGCTCAGTAAGCCTCTGACGACCAGTGTGACACTGTTGCTTTGGATTGTTTAAACATCAGTTGTGAATAATTCAAATCAACCAGCAATGCTTGAGAAATTAGAGTTTAGGGGAGACAGTGAGCATAATGGTAATGTCACTGGATTAGATGCCCAGGATAATGCTATGGGGATGTGAGTTCCCATCACACAGCTAGTGGAATTTAAGTGTACAATCACAGCTGAGGATAATACAGATCAATTAGATCTCTGATTGAAACCTGGATTGATAGGTTATATGGGTTTTTTTTTCCCAGTTTGGTTACTGTTATGGCCAGTCACCAAATACACTCACACAGAACTGGCATTCTTTTTAAACAAAAGACCACAAGTTTATTACACAAAAGTAAATGAAGTTGTATAAGCCAATTTAGAACAACTGCAACATAGATAGCATAAACAATGCCAACCCTTTTTCCCAGGAATCATCCTTTACAGTCACTCAATCTTGGAGAATTATCACTTCTATTCTACATATTTCATTTCTTACTCAAAATGACTCTTTCCAGCCCTCCTCCTTGGACTGCTAAAGCAGCTTAAGACTTTTTTTTCCCAATTCCGACAGTCTGGGGACTTCTACCAACTAAACTTTCACAGTTTGAATGCTTCTACAAAAGAAAATCTCACAATTTGGATACTTCTAGAAACTAAACACAACCTGGAGACTTCTACAAACCAAACCCTCACAAATTGGAGATTTCTACAAACAAACAAAGTGCCCTTCTGCCAAGATGACACTTTTTCTGAACTTAACATACTAATGGCTCTTGACCATCTGTTTCTGTATTATAATGCTCAATTTTCTAAACATTCAGCAGTTAATTTTCCAAGTAGCTGACCGAGTGATTTAACTTAAGTCATATGCATTCCTGGAAAATTCCTGGACAGCATTTTGTCTTTAATTCACTGCTTTAAATAACTTTCTGACCTTTGTTGAAAAAGCAAGTTGCCTTCAGAGATTTGAAAACTGAAATCTATTTGCCTCCACTTTCAAATCTAAGTTCTGAAGTAATAATATACTATAGACCTAATAAAAAGTTAAATTAATAAATCAGGATATAAAGGATATCTCAGTAATGATGCCATGAAACTACTAGCAATTGTCATAAAAACCAGTCTGGTTCACTAATGTCCTTTATCTGGTCTTGCTGACATGTGACTCCAGACCCGCAACAATGTGGTTGACTCTTAAGTGCCCTCTGAAATAATGTAGCATGCCACTGAAATCAAGGGCAATTAGGGATGAGTACACTCGCTTAACTTTCCAGTAATGACCACAACACGTACAAGAGTAAAGAGAAAAAAATCCTGTGTATTTTTCTTACTCACTCACTGTGCCGCAGTTCTCACTCAGTAACCATACCCGTGGTTCTCGTCCAATGTGCCCAGAGGTCTCACTCACTGAATATGCCCAAAATTCTCACTTGTTGACTGTGTCATAACATCTCACTCACTGACCTTGTCCACAATAATACTGGCTTTCTGTGCCCACAGTACTCAAGTAATGTCTGCTTTTAAAGCTGAGGCAAAGCCAATACTGTTACCTGGCCACATGGCTCTGACCTGCACCAACCAAGAACAGATATTCTGATGGTTAGTCTCATTATTAGTTGTGGAATCCTGCTTTAAAACATAAAACATATGTTACTCTAAAACAATAATGACTGGGGTTCAGTCAAATTCAGTCACTTTGAAAGACTTTGCAATGCTATGTGGAAGTAAAATGTACCATGTACAAATAAATGCAAGTTTTTTAATTAGTTCACAATCATGGACAAATTTTTGTCAAATTACTTATATCTTTTATCTGAAATTTACTGAAAAAAGGGATTAAAACTCCTCATTGATTTGTGATACATTCCCTGCTACTCTTGTAGATAACAGGGCGGATTTTCACACATCCTGGTTATGGTCGCACCCTGGGTGATCACAGACACAGGTTATGAATCAAGCTCACAACTCCTGGCTCAGTTCAACAAAGTACATATTGTTATTGCTGTCATAATTGAGGTCCCACTCCTCAGGGGGTTTTTGGGCTGTATCCCAGTCAGGCAGCTGTGTAGTGTCGGTCCATGGTGCTGATTATTTCACTGTTGCACTCCAATCTGTCCAGCACTCTCTGCACTGCAGCCTCACTAACGCCCGCACTGTAACTGTGCCGCACACAGCTCACGATGTGAAGGAAAGGACAGCCCTTATCAACATCTACAGCAAACAGAAAAGGAATTTATTACCGGGTGCTGGCAGGAGCACATTCTGATAGATTGAAGGTAATGAGAACCTACTAAGACTGGTATGGCACTCAGAATCCTACCTTCTGTGATCTCCAGTCTCTCTCATCTCACCCTCTCCCCTGTTAATCTGATATTTGTAAATCTCTGACGAAGAGCCTCTGTACCTGTTCCCTATACCCCTTCAGTTAACAATCACCTTTTCCCTTTCACAGGAGCAGCTGTCCATCATATTCTGCAGTGAACAAATATCATGTTCCCTGGACAGTTCATTCCCACCACGTTCAATAAAATTCTGTGGATGAAGTTTAAAGATGTTCTTCCCAAAGTGTCTGAGCAAAAAGCATTGTAATAAAAAATGTCACTGTAACCAATGCTACAGTAGTCAGTGATGACAGGATTAGACCGGCCACTAGTTGGTCACATACTCAAAACCATCAGAAAGTGACATATCACTGCGGGATTGCAGAAAAAGCCTGCTGGGTTCAGAAGATGCCCAGCTCAATCAGTGAGTATATATTTACTACATAGTGGGATGCTGAGCATGGGCAATGTAACCTCATAAACCAGGGAACATCACTTTTATCTGATTCCATCTCTGAAACTTGCTGGCATGCTGTTTGTACCTTAAAGGAGCTTTACAAAAGCAACAATTATCATTTATTATCACCCATCCCACATAGGTATTGGTCACCTCACTCTGTCGCTGACCCAGTGATTTACACACAGAAGAGACTCTAACAAGTGCAACAAGATTCTGAGGAAACAGCATCACTCACGTTTTGGTCGTGTGGAGTCATCTTGAATGATTCTGAGTGTCACATTGTGTAATTCCTTCGCCTCATCAGTCACCTGTAGGGCAATCACAATCAAAGACCATTAGTACGTCAGTCAGTGTTACTGACACCCTCCACTGTACCCCAGCTCCTGCTGCTCAGCTTGACGCAGTGATGCAGTTTTAACCCTGGTGTATTCTAGGCACTGACACTAGTAAAACCAGGAATTCCAGGGCCAGCAATTAGTGTTTCATTATAGTGAATTCAGAAGTCAAGGGTTAGCAATCAACAATTCCTTTGCCTAAAAAGGGTGTGACATCAAAAATCTAAATTTGGATAAGTTATTGAGTTGGCATTTATCAATAGTTATAAGTTCGGTGAGCGGTCAGCTTTACAGCAACATTATAAACTATAATTTTCAAGGAGCCATTTAAATAGCAGCTGAATGATATTCACTAGGATTGGAGGGTGGGACAGAGACTGACCAGGAAATGGCAATGATTTGTGGAGACTGGTCACCAGCGGAGACGTATAGATACTTGAGTTGGGCCCATGATCTTCGCCAGTGGTCTGAATGGCAAATTCAACATTATGGGTATTGCTAAGATATTCATAGGTCTAAAGACTCAAGATTAGATGAATGTGAGCACTGTTTAATAAAGTAGCACCTGAATTTTGTGAAGAGCTTTATCGAGTGGGGGAATGTGAACATGGGGGAGGAGAGGATAGGATAAATGAGAGTGAAAGAGAGAGAGAGATAGAGGGAGAAGGGTGGGGCTGAAGTATAGGATTAAGCGATTGAACATATTGGTGAGAGAGAGAGATCAGAATTCAGCCTCTGCTGGTAATTTAGCCTAACGCTTACCAGGTACAGCTTGCTGGGTCCAGCCACTTTCTGGAAGATAATTCCTTCTTCCTGTAGAGCACAGACAGCTTCCTGAAAAACTTCATGAATCTGCCTCGATACACAGGGGGTTTTCTTTAAAATAAACCAGTGGATACATTATTTACGAAAAGAGAAAGGGAACATGTTTGTAACATCTCAAAAATATGTTAGGTAATCCTTCTATTCCTGTCCACCCACCTGTAAGGTTTGGGCTGAGTGCTCTTGTAAATATGTGCTCACTTGGTCTTGTTGAGCAATGCAGACCAGTGAATCAATGGCTTCTAGTTCCTGCTGGTAGAAATTCTTCACTCTGGTTTGATTCAGAAACTGTTTGATCTTCCTTTGCAGTGATAGGGTCTTCATTCCCTGTTGACTAACAGGAGACAGTATCAGCAAAAACAGATGGATAATGAAAGGTGAACAAACTGGTCGGAATCAAATAGCAAACAAACAGAACTGGGTACAGCAAAATATTGACTTGTTCACTCAAGTTGAGCCTTTGTTTACTCCCTCTCAGTTTCCATACACTTCCATCACTCTTCCCATTCTCTTTCACATGTGCTCCCTCATTTCCCTCCTGTCACTCTGCACTTTCTCTGTTGCGCAGACTCCAGACTTGCATCTATTTTAACCAATCCCTCCACACCTCCTCTTGCTATCTTTCACTTACTTCACTCTTTCTACCCTCTGCTGTGATGGTTCTTACTTTGGTTCAGGTGAATCCGTTGGAATTTCAAAAGTTTTATCATAAAAGTTTCGGTATAAATATGGGAGCTCCAGCATCCGAGCAATCTGTGCAGTGAATACGGGATCAGCAATCTTAGCTGGAAGAAACAGAACACATTAAAGAAATCAGGGATCCCAGTCGGAGCCAGCCTGTACTGACTAGAACCAAAGCCCAACATCTCAACCTCCAGTCAAACCTGTGCCCAGCCTCTCAATACCAGGCCCTGAGTCCAGCAACATAAACCCATTTGACACTGGGCTCAGCAACACAAACCCAACTTGACCCTTGGCCCATGAAAACACAAACTTATGGGTGAAGACACAAAGGCTCCCACTGTACTGAGATTCTGCAAGAGCTCTCACACACTCACCACATGCACAATCGTTTCACCCTCACAACTTCCAAACCATTTTCCTATGGGCACAAACTGTTGTCACTCACATTCACAAGCCCCTCTTTCCCCCTTGTCCATAGACTCACATACACTGGTGGAATTGATTTCTCTTTGCTCTCTATAATCTTTTAGCCAGCCTCTGACATGGACGATATCACCTAGATCCAGCTGGGAGTTACGTTGTTCCAGCTGAGTGATCTTGTTCAGTTGCTCCAGGAGGTTCAGACCAAAGGAGGATGAGGCTGTGGGAGGAAGGCAGAATGTAGGAGAATCTGGCAGGTAGATTAGCACTGGCATTTTATTCTATAGCACTGGCATTTTATTCTACAAAACCAATGGATCAGATCAAAGCTTTCAGAACAGCCAAATTCAGTTATGCATAGTGGTGGATAATTAAAGGACTACTTGGATGACAATACTTCTAAAACAACTGCATCCTTAGTAATGGGTCAGCTCAGCACATCAGTGCAAAAGCCAAGCCTGAAGCGGTTGCAATCAATTTCAGCCAGAATTTCTTCCATCTCAGCATCCTCTGGAGGTCTCCAGAATCATGGATGCTAATCTTCAGCCAATTCAATCTATTCTACATGATGTCAAGAAATAGCTGAAGGCACTGGATATGTAAAGGCTATAGCCATGACAACATTTTGACAATAGACCACGAGATAAAGGAGCAGAATTAGGCCATTTGGTTCATGACGTCTACTCTACCATTTAATCATGGTTGACATGTTTCTCAATCACATTCTCCTGCCTTCTTCTTGTAACCCTTTATTCCCTTACTAATCAGGAACCTATCCATCTCTGTCTTAAATATGCTCAATGACTTGGTTTCCACAGACTTCTGTGGCAATGAATTCCATAGTACTCAAAACTTGTGCTCTAGAACTGGCTGCACCCTAGACAAGCTGTTCTAGCAAAGCTAACACTGGTGGCTACCAGATGAAGTGAAAAATTGTCCAGGTATGATCTGTCCACAAAAGCAGGACAAATCTAACTTGGCCAATTACCAACAAATCAGGCTACTCTCGATCATCAGCAAAGTTATAGATGCAGTTGTTAATAGTGCTATCAATTGCACCGTCAGAGGGACAGTATTCATTGTTTATTCATTGTCATAGGTTCAGAATTCTGGAATTCCCTCGCTAACAGCAAGCGTTCTCTGACGGGAAAGATTAGCACAGGCAATTTATTCTACGAAACCAGTGGATCAGATCAAAGCTTTCAGAACAGCCATTGTTCTCCAAATGTTTTACAGCAGTTCAAGACACTTAGCACCACCTCAAGGGAAATCAGGGATGGAACTAAATGTAAGAATGAAAATTAAACCACACACCTGGTTTTATATTCTCCGATGTTCTTTGTTTCTTCCAGCACAAGCAGCTGATCACTCCAGTTCCATCATCCACTGCAAAGCAGATCAGCTAGTGAGCGAGCAGGACAGGCAATAACAGAGTCATTTTGAACAACAATCCCAACCCTGAAACTAGTTGTTTAATTTACAGTTATTCCTTGAACCTCATGTGGCCCTAGTGGCCCATGTATATTTAAGGCTGAGATAGGTAGATTCTTGATCAGTCAGGCAATCGAGTTTAGGGTAAAATCTAGCAAACTGGATATTAGGAGTGTTCGATCAGCCATGATCCCACTGAATGTCACAGCAGGCTTCAAGGCCAAATGGCCTACTCCTGTTCTTATTTCATATGGTCTGATGGGGGGGGACATTAATCCTTCAACTCTCAGGGAGTTAAGAACTAAACTACTGGGTTTCAGGTTCCAACATGGGGCTGTGCCCATGGAGCAGGCAATTCTGATGAAAAATCATCAATCTGAATAATTAATTTTGTTTTCTGCCATAGATGCTGCCTGATCTGCTGAGTATATCCAGCACTTTGATTTTATTTCAGACTTCCAGCATTTGTGATGTTTGACTCTCCTGCAGAACATTTGTGCCCTCATGTTGATGAGGACATAGTGGGGAAATAAATACACAAACTCTATTCAGAAATACCAACCTCCGAAACTGACAAACTTCTCTCTCTCCCGCTTCTGGACAACTGTACCCAATATATCCACCTTGGTGATGGGATGGGTTTTATAGAAGAACACTCCTATGCAAATAGAGGGAAGTAAGAATTAATCACAAATTAATCAGCAAACACAGAGTTTCAAATATTGGCAAGGACTGTAGCTAAACCAAGGTACGTAGAGACTAATAAATGACAACCAATATTAGTCAAATTGTATTGAGTTCTTTAGGTACAGTAATAGAGATGGGGGGAATCTCAATAAAAATAATGTAGTTGGGGTTGTGAATTAGGGCTTTCAAAAGGCATTTGTCAAAGGACCACATGATAGACATGTTAGTAAAACTAAAGCCTATGGCTACATAGATGTAAAATTGGCTGAGGAACGGAAAGTAGAAAGTAGCAGTGACTAGTTGTTTTTTAAGAGTGGAAGCAAGCATACTGTGGTGTTAATCAGGGGTCAGTTCAGGGCCACTGGTCTTTTTAACACATATAATGAGCTGGGCTTGGGCATACAGGTCAAAATTTCAAATTTTGCAGATGATGAGGGAAAGAACAACAGATTTTGGGAGATATAGGCATTTTTATTATTCATTCATGGAATGTGGGCATCACTGGCTGGCCAGCATTTATTGCCCATTTCTAGTCGCCCTTAAGAAGGTACTGTTGAGCTGCCTTCTTGAACCACTGCAGTTGACACGCTGCACGTTGGCCCACAATGCCATTAGTGAGGAAATTCCAGGATTTTGACCCAGCAACAGTGAAGGAACAGCGACACAATTCACAAGTTAGGATGATGAGTAGCCTGGGGGGGAACTTGCAAGTGGTGCTGTCGCATGTATTTATAAGAATATAAAACCAGGTATGTGGTTTAATTTTCATTCTTACATTTAGTTCCATCCCTGATTTCTCTTGAGATGGTGCTAAGTGTCTTGAACTGCTGTAACACATCTGGAGAACAATGGCTGTTCTGAAAGCTTTGATCTGATCCATTGGTTTCGTAGAATAAAACGCCTGTGCTAATCGTTCCTGTCAGAGAACACTTATTTCTCACGTCAGCGGAGGAAAAATTATTGGAAAGGGCTCTGAGAGATAGGATTTATGATCCCTTAGAAAGGCACAGTTTGCTTTGTGATAGTCAGCATGGATTTGTGAGAGGTAGATCATGCCTCACAAACCTTATTGAATTCTTTGAAGAGGTGACCAAACACGTGGATGAAGGTAGAGCAGTGGATGTGGTATATATGTGTTTAAGTAAGGTGTTTGATAAGGTTCCCCATGGTAGGTTCATGCAGAAGGTAAAGAGGCATGGGAACTGTGGCAGATTGGATTCAGAATTGGCTGATCCTTAGAAGACAAAGGATGGTAGTGGACAGAAAATATTCAACATGGTGCTCAGTTACGAGTGAAATACCACAAGGATCTGTTCTGGGTCCTCTTCTGTTTGTGATTTTTGTAAATGATTTGGATGAAGGAGTGGAAGGATGGATTAGTAAGCTCGCGTACGATACGAAGGTAGGTCGAGTTGTGGATAGTGCAGAGGGCTGTTCTAGGTTACAAAGGGACATTGATAGGATGCAGAGCTGGGCTGAGAAGTGGCAGATGGAGTTTAACCCTGAAAAGTGTGAGGTGATTCATTTTGGAAGGAAAAACTTGAAAGCAGAATACAGGGTTAACGGAAAGATTCTTGGCAGTGTGGAAGAGCAGAGGGATCTTGGGGTTCATGTCCACAGTTCCCTGAAAGCTGCCACCCAGGTGGATCGAGATGATAAGAAGGCGTATGGTGTGTTAGCTTTCATTACCAGACGGTTTGAGTTCAAGAGCCGTGAAGTTATGCTCCAGCGAAACAAAAGCCTGGTTCGACCACATCTGGAGTATTGTGTCCAGTTCTAGTTGCCTCATTACAGGAAAGTTGTGGAAGCGTCGGAAAAGGTGCAGAGGAGATTTACCAGGATGTTGCCTGGAATGGAGGGAAGGTCGAGAGAGCTAGGGCTTTTCTCTTTAGAACAAAGAAGGATGAGAGGTGACTTGATAGAGGTGTACAAAATGATCAGAGGTAGATAAAAAATAGATAGAGTGGACAGCCAGAGACCTTTTCCTAGGGTGGAGGTAGCTATTACAAGGGGGCATAGTTTTAAAGTGAGTGGAGGCAAATATAGGGGAGACGTCAGAGGTAGGTTCTTTACTCAGAGAGTGTTAGGGGCATTGAATGCATTGCCGGAGAGGGTAGTGGAGTCAGTCTCATTAGGGGCATTTAAGCGGCTATTAGATAGGCATATGGATGACAGTATAAGGAAGGGGTGGAGGTTAGATTGACCTTAGGATTAGGGTAAAAGTTTGGCACAACATCGTGGGCCGAAGTGTCTGTACTGCGCTGTACTATTCTATGTTCTATGCATCTGCTGTCTTTGTTCTTCTGGATGGAAGTAGTCATGGAAGGTGCTGACTAAGGATCTTTGTAAATTTCTACAGTACATCTTGTAGACAGTACACAATTTTGCTACTGAACATTGGTAGCGGAGGGAGTAGATGCTTGTGGATGTGTTGTCAATCAAGTGGCTGCTTTGATGTGGATGGTGTCAAACCTCGAGTGTTATTGGAGCTGCACCTGTCGAGGCAAGTGGGGAGTATCCAATCACACTTCTGATTTGTGACTTGTAGATAGTAGACAGGCTTTGGGGAGTCAAGAGATGATTTACTTGCTGCAGTATTCCTAACCTTTGACCTGCTCTTGTAACTACTATGTTTGTGTGGTGAGTCCAGTTGAGTTTCAGGTCAATGAGAACACCAATGATGTTGGTAGTGGGGGATTCAGTGATGGTAACACCACTGAATATTAAAGGTTAAATTGTCTCTTATTGGAGATTGTCACAGCTTGGCATTTGAGTGGCATGAATGTTACTTGCCACTTTCAGCCCAAGACTGGATATTCACACGGTCTTGTTGCATTTGAACGTGGATTGCTTCAGTATCTGAGGTGTCGCGAATGGTGGTTTACATTGTGTAATCATCAGTAAACATCTCCACTTCTGACCATATGATAGAGGGGAGGTCATTGATGAAGCAGCTGAAGATGGTTGGGTCTATGATACTACCCTGAGGAACTCAGGGATGTCCTGGAGCCGAGCTGACTGACCTCCAACAACCAGAACCATCTTCCCATGTGTCGGGTATGACTTAACTTGTGCAGAGTTTGCTCCTTGATACCCATTGATTCCACTTTTGCTAGGACTCCTTGATACCACACTCGGTCGAATGTGGTGTCGGTGTCAAGGGCTATTACACTCACCCCAACTCTAGAATTCAGCTCTTTTGTCCATGTTTGAAACAAGGCTGGAATGAGGGAGGAGCTGAATGGCCTTGGTGGAAACCAAACTGGGCATCACCGAGCACATTATTGCTGAGTAGGAGCTGCTTAATAGCAGGCTTGATGACACCTTCCAACACCTTACTGATGAATGAGAGTAGACTGATGGGATGGTAATTGACCGGGTTAGATTTGTTCCACTTTTTGTGTACAGGACAAATCTGGGCTATTTTCCATGTCACTGGGGAGATGCCAGTGTTGTAACTACTGGAAAAGCTCAGCTAGGGGACTGACATTTTCTGGAGCACGAGTCTTCAGTACAATAGCTGGAATGTTGTCAGACCCATAGCTTTTCACTATTCAATGCCTCCAACCATTTCTTGATATTACGTGGAGCAAATTAAATTGGTTAAAGACTGGTATCTGTGATGCTGGAGACCACTGGAGGAAGCCAGGATGGATAATCCACTTGGATCATCTGGCTGATGATTGCTGCAAATGCTTCAGCCTTATCTTTTGCATTGATGTACTGTACTCTTCAATCATAAGGATAGGGATATTTGTGCAGCCTCCTCCTTCTATCGAATTATTTAATTGTTCACCATCATTCACAACTCTTAAGTTTTTTTATATTCATTCATCTTCAGGTATGCCTGGTGCTGTTCCTGGCATGCCTTCCTGTACTCTCCATTGAACCAGGATTGATCCCCTGGTTTGATGGTTATGGTTGAGTGGGGATATGTCCGGCCATGAGGTTGCAGATTGGCTGTAGTACAATTCTGCTGCTGTTCATGGCTCACAGCATCTCATGTCTTGGGGTGCTAGATCTATTCAAAGTCTTTTTGCACAGTGATAGTGCCACACAACACTATGTGTGAAGTTGGGATTTTGTCTTCACAAGGATTGTGAAGTGGTCACTCTTACCGATACTGCCATGGATGGACGCATCTGCAGCTGGCAGATTGGTAGGGATGAGGTGAAGTATGTTTTTCCTTCTTGTTGCTTCCCTCACCACCTGCCGCAGATGCAGTCTAGGAGCTATGTCCTTTAGGACCCAACCAGCTTGATTAGCAGTGCCGCTGTCGAGCAACTCTTGGTGGTGGACATTGAAATCCCTCACTCAGAGTACATTTTGCACCTCTGCCATCCTAGTGCTTCCTCCAAGTGTTGTTCAACATGGAGGAGAACTGATTCATCAGAGAAGGAAGGTTTCCTTGCCATGTTTAACCTAAAGCCATGAGACTTCATGGGGTCCGGAGTCAATGTTGAGGACTTCCAGGGCAACTCCCTCCCGACTTTACACCACTAGTGAAATAAATAGGCACACGGTGGATGAAATTTATCAGTGATGTAAGTGTTGAGGGGAAAAGTAAAAGAGTTTGATTTAATTGCCAATATGGAGACATAGCTGCCAGGTGACCAAGACTGGGAAAAAGAATATTTAACTGTTAGGAAGGATAAGAAAAAGAAATTGGATATTACAGATAATAAGGAATGGGATCAGTACATTAGTAAGAGATGGTCTGCAATCTAAAGAACAGGATGTAGAATCTATTTGGGTGGAGCTGAGAAGCAGCATGGGGCAGTAAATATTGGTAGATGTAGTTTATAGGCCACCAAAAAGTAATAACAATATTGGACACAGTATAAATCAGGAAATTAGAGGTGTACGTAGCAAGAAAATGCAGTCATCATGGCATGGGTCACTTCAATCCTTTTGCAAACTGGGTAAATCCAATGAGCTCCAAATTTGTGAAGGAAAAGTTCCTGGAATGTGACCAAGATAATTTTCTGGAGCAATATGTTGATGACCCAAATGAGGTACAGGCTATTTTGCATCCAGTATTGTGCAATAGTTTGGAAAATATGTCGTTCAATCTGAAACTACGGTGTCAAATCTAAACAAGGGCAATTATGAAGCTGTGAAGAAAAAGTTGGCAGCAGTGGAAATAAATAGCAAGAAATAAAAATTGATCGTAAAAACTTCTAGATATGTAAAACGAAATGATTAGCAATGACAAATGTGGGTCTATTACATGTAGAGACATGAAAGTTCTAATAGAATATAGAAAAGTGGCAGAAAAACTCAATAATTACTATGTGTATGTCTTTACAGAAGAAGATACAAGAAGTTTCTTTAAGTAATTAAGATGCAAAGGTCTCGTGAGTAAGTGGAACTTTAAGAAGGTAGTGTTTGCAAGGAAAGTAGTATTGAAGAAATTACTGTAACTGATATGATGGAAATCAAACTTATGTCCCCAAAGCATCAGCCTGGATCTCTGGATTACCAGTTTAATGATATTAGCACCACACCATCAATTCGCCTCACAAGGGAAGATTGTTTTATGAATGATTCGATGCGATTTGGCATGTGGTGTCTTACAGTAGAAGGAGATTGAAAAGGGGACTGAATTTAAAAAGGAACCAGCTAATTGAAGAGGAGAAGTGTGCAGGACAACAGAGAAAGACTTCGGGATTGTGATTTCTGGGTAGCTCATTCAACAGCTGTGATAGCTACAATGGCCTCCTTTGGTGCTGAATGATCACAGGATTCAGTCGAAAAGAATCACAACAAAATTATCAATTAAGGATAAAATTAAATTTTATGCATTCTACAGATTTTCAGATCAGGATGATGTTGCCGCAATATACGATTTACACACCAGAGGGCCATCTTCAGTCATTAATCTCGGCAAGAGTCTGGAAATTTAGACTTCAAAGCTTCCTCTGAATTTAACCCGTACTGTATCTGTCCTTGGAATGTAGAGGTCTGTATATAACCCCGTGCTGTACCTGCCCTGGCATGGTTTGGTGGGAACAGCATTGAGGCAGCTTTCCTCTGCATCTAAACCAATACTGTATCTGTCCTGGGAGTGCTTGATGATATAGTATTGAGGCAGCTTTATTCTGTATCTACCCTAATGCTGGGAGTGTTTGATGGGGATAGTGGAGAAAGAACGTTATTTTGTGTTTAAAAGAGTAGACAGAGCTTTACTCCATATCTAAGCCTGTGCTGCCCCTGACCTGGAGTGTTTGATGGGGACAGTGTAGACAGGGCTTTACTTTTAGTTTAAATTAGTACCAGGAGCTTTACTCTGTATGTAACCCTGTGCTGTACCTGTCCTGGGAGTTATTAATGGGGACAGTGTAGAGGCAGCTTTACTCTGTATCTAACTGTATGCTGTCCTGTCCTAGGAGTGTTTGTTGTGGACAGTGCAGAAGGAGCTTTACTTTCCGTTTAAAAGAGTTGAAGGAACTTTACTCTGTGTTCACCCCGTGTGGCCCTGTCCTGGGAATGTTTGATGGGGATAGTGTAGAGAGAGATTTACTTTTAGTTTAACAGAGTAGATGGAATTTTATTCTGTATGTAACTCAGTACTAGACCCGAGCTGTGAATGCCATGTTCCTTATTTAACTAAACTGTTAATCCAGTGACTCACCTGGAACAGTACAGGAATTTTTAAGTTCCAGGATGTCCTTGATGTAGAGTTTTGCAAATACTCCATGTACTGGGTCCAGCCCCCACAACATGCTCGGTAGTGGGTCTTCTGCACTCTCACTCTTCTGTGCTTCTGCATGGTCACCCTGCATAATCGCTGATGCAACAAACTGAATACTTCAGCTTCTACTGCATCCACCTGCATTTCAACCAGAGGAAATCAAAAAAATGCAGTTCACTGTCAAATCTGCTCCTAGTTAAGTTGCTTTGAAGTCCAGTGGAGTGCTGCAAACTAACACAATCTTCAATCAACACAAGATTAAATGGGTTGGTTTGAGCACAACTCTCCCTAAAATGAGACTGTAGCCTTCCATCTTCCGTCCACACCTCTCTCCCTTGAAATCCCCCCTCTCCCGGGATCTGTGCTCCCGTCCTCTATTTATCTTCCAGGCTTTAATTCTTTGACACTCCACTCCTGGGTTCTGTTCCCCACATTCCCTGCATCCGGGGTCTTTCTTGATTTGGTGGAGGGCAGGACTGGTAAATGCCAGAAAATTAGGTCATAGTGGGATAAGAAACAATCAGAGAATCTCCAAGGATATTATGAAGTGCCTACTGAAAAGGGAGGTACTCCTACTCAAACTCCCATTGAACATCAATGGAAAACTGTGGCAGGCCACGGTCAGAGATTTTAGCATGGGGACAGAGAATGTCCAGCAACTCTCCATAATTTCTGGTTTTGTTCCTCAGATCATTAGCCTGGGTTCTGGATCACTAGCCTGGTGACATTACCACTACGCCACCACCTACCATGTACAATCCTCAGTCCAACGAGAAGTGAGAGAATGCGGTCAGAGTTTCTGCTATCTCCACCCTATGATTATCCTAGCTAGTATCCTTAACCCTTAACCATTCTACTGTAAGATTCATTTCTGACTCTTCTGTGAAGACAGATGCAAAATATCTATTCAAGACATCAGTTATGCCTCTTTCTCCACAAGACAATTTCCCCTTTTTACCTTTAATTGACATTACCATTCCTATAGCCACTCTTTTAATACTTATGTGCTGATAAGTGGAAGGAAGGCAGCATTAGCCCACGAATTCTACACCTCACATTCACAAAGAAACAGTAAGAATTCTCTTGGCTAGTATTCACCAGAGAATCACATCACATGGCACCTTCTAAACTTCACTTGGGGCTGGAGTTCAACTATTTTATCCACATAGTGCCCATTGCTACCCTGTCATTGTCTGATTGCAATAAAACGGTTCTCATTTTATTTGTAGTTATCAGCAATTCTTTATGAACTGTCATAAAAGAGTGATCAGAAGGACAAGGAAATCTTGAAATGCGGGATAGAAGCTGAAGTCAGATGAAATAATAAAAAATTCATTTTAGTCCCACAGAACAGAGGGCTGTCAGATCAACTGTTGTGTTAGGAAGATAGAAGTCGGATCAGGTAGCGTTTGGTTTTCACCTTCACATGCTTCCAGTTTGAAGCACACCAAGTGGTTGCTAGATAAGAGGGCAGTGTGGGACTGGAATTCTACATAGAGCCAGAATGGGGGAGGACAGAAAGTTTCATTTCCTAAAACACACGTTTTGTAGCATTAATAAAGATAAATGCTTCAGCTGGGAAGGAAAACTCAAGAGATACATTATCTACTACAGATAGTAGATCTATCTACAGCAGTGCGCTACTGAAAAGTGATGAACAAGATAGGATTGATGTTGAATAAGGCTCAGGAAAGTCAATAAATGTAAAGCTAAACAGGTCCAACCAGTGCAGAGCAGGTATGTTGTAAGTGCAGTTGAACAAAAGCTTGATGAGGTCCTGATTGAACCGTGCCCAGCTCTGGTATTTATCACTACACCTTGAATATTGCACCCGCTTCTAGCTGCTCAGTAAAAGTAGAGGTACCAAATGTTACACCCTTGTTCAAAACAATGTGTACAGAAAAACTCACGAACAAAATGTCAGAGAGTTTAATTTCAGAGGAGGGAAAGCTTTTAGAAATGATAATCTGGGACAAAATTGATAGTTACTTTTACATAAATATAGATTAATTAAGGAACGTCAGCCAAGATTAGTTGAAGGCAAAAATAAAACAAAGAACTGCAGATGCTGGAAATCTGAAACAAAAGCAGAAATTGCTGGAGAAACTCAGCAGGTCTGGCAGCACCTGTGGACAGAAAGCAGACTTAATATTTCGGGTTCAGTGACTTTTCTTCTGTTCTGAAGAAGGGTCACTGGATCCAAAATGCTAACTCTGCTTTCCCTCCACAATGCTGTCAGACCTGCTGAGTTTTTCCAGCAATTACTGTTATTGTTTGAGTTGAAGGCAAATCCTGTTTTAATAATTGATGGAGTTTTTTGATGACATCGCTGAGAGATTAGGTTAATGTAATTGATTCGATGTACATGGACTTCCGATGGCATTTAATAGGCATAATATTCAAGTGATACAAAATTTGGAAATATTGGTACTGTGATAAGGACAGTGATGGACTTTAGACGGAATTTGACGGTTGGTGGAATGCCCAACACAGAGCAGATGAAATTTAATAAAGAGTGAGAAGTGATTCTGTACATTATTGTAGGAACAATGTGGAGAGGCAGTTTAAATTAAAGAGTACAATACTAAAGGGAGGTGTAAGAACTGTGAGTTGTATGGAGATATTTGTGCTCAAATCATTGAAGGTGGCAGGTCAGATTGAGAGTGGTTAATAAGGCATTCTGGAAACTAAACTTCAGAAAAAGAGGCTTGGAGTACAAATGCAAGAAAGTTATGGTGAAATAAAAATGTAAATAAATGCTGGTCCAGCCAGTTATGTCCACATCCCATCAATGAATAAAAACAAAATACTCAACAGATCAGGGTGTATCTGGGGCGAGAGAAACAGAACATTGAGTAGTCATCGACTTGAAATGTTCATTCTTTTTGTTTTTCTTTCCCAAGATTGCACCATGACAGAGTTGTGATTGACAAAGAATAAAAGGTTAAGGGGGCCAGGCAGGAAATTGGAGTTAAGCCCACAATCATATCAGCCATGATCTTGTGTACTGGTGAAGCAGACTTCACAGGCCAAATTGCCTACTCCTGTTTTCCCAGATCGTTTCAGTACTTCCAACATTTTCTGTTTTTATTTCAGATTTCTAGTTTCAACAGTATTTTACTTCTGTATTAACAACTATGCTCAACTTTTGTAAAAGATTAGTTTGGCCTCACCTGGAAAATTGTGTTCGACTCTAAGCACCACACTTACAGAAGGATCTGAAGGATTTTGGAGACAGTACAAAAATATTCACAAGAATGATTCCTGTAATGAGGGATGTGGGTAAAGATAGAATACAAAACATTGTGCAATGAGCTTCACCATAACACAACCAACTGATTGAGAGGCTATACTCTATCCAAATAAAAATCATGTCAGGGTTGAAACAAAATGAAAATGAAATATCTACCTTGGCATTTATCCCTCTTAATTAATCCTTAAAATCTATTCACTTTTTCATCTAATCAATATTGTTATTGACTAAAATTTGTCTCATTATATTCTTTACATTGCATATAGATTGTCCATCTAATGGATGAGTTAAATCTGGAGGAAACTCATTGTGTGCAGGTGAACTGCAGCACATGCAACTAACACTCAAAGGACTGTATAATTCTAAAAACAACTGAAGTATGTCAGATAAAAGCAAAGTACAGGAGATGCTGGAGAAACTCAGCAGTGTCTATGGAGAGAGAAACTGTTAAGATTTCAAGTCCAACATGAATCTTCTGAAGTCTTGATGAGTTTCTCCAGGGCTTTCTGTCTTTTTTATTCTCAAGCATGTCAACTGTACCGTTAATGCAGCAGATAGATTGAAGAACTTGGGACTGTTTGGAGAAAATTGACAGAGTTGTTTAAAATCAAAAGGAAACGTCTGGACTGAGGAGATGGAGAGAACTGTGGCCAGTGATGAAAAGATAGGCTATCAGAGTGCATCAATTTAAAGTAATTTGCAATAGAATCAATGATAAAAACGAGGATTTATTTTATCCTGCAAGTGGTTAGGTTATGGGATGCGCTGCCTGAGAATGGGAGCGGCGCAGGCGTGATTGAATAGTTCAAAAGGGAATTGAATCCTTAGCTGAAGGGGAAGGATTTGCAAGGCAACGAGGAACAGACAGGAAAGTGGTTCTGCAGCACTTGCTATTACAAAGAGCCAGTACAGTCCCAATGGGCTGAAGCGCCTTCTTGTAGGCTTGTATTGTCTGATTGTTGCCAGGATCTGGAGGCGGAAGCAGTCCTGGTTCAAACCCCAGGGCCAGGGCCTAAATTGACAAAAGCTGAGAACCTCCAGGCCCTGTTAGGGAGATTATTTCAAAAAGATGAAGGAATAGCAAGTGTTATCCAAAAAATTGGGGAGGCCTAAGGAGTTACTTTCTACCTTAAGGAACGGTCAGCTATGGAATCAACTTCCCTCTGAAGCCTGCAATGAATTCACGAACAGTCCGAATCCCATTGAGGAGTCATCAGGATTTCCTTGGACCGACCGATCAATCGATCGATCCACGCGATCGCCGCTTGATTGGCGACGCTGGAAGATGACGCATTCCTACCGCTGGACCCGCCTCCTCCGCGGTCGCCTGTCGCCGATTGGTCAGTCTCGCTGTCACTCGGGAGACGGTAACGGTCGGAGCGCGAGGCGGTGGTGGTGAGCTTGGGTCACGGGGACGGGCAGTGGCAGTGCGTGTACCGAGCGGGGCGGCGGCAGTGGGAGACCAAGATTCCGGGCCCGTGAACGGTGGCTCTTGCCGGCGGCCACCGAGAAGCGTTCCTTCTGTTAAGAGACTGGCGGCCATCTAGAGCCCGGGGCCCGGGCCGGGAGAAACCGTTGGCCCAGGAGAAGCGGCGAACATTCGGAATTGACCTCTACTGTATTTGGGTAGATCTCTGGAGGACCTGGAGTGAAGCCCAGAGGTGAGAGCGATTAAAGAAGTGATGAGCAGAAGAAGTGAACCGGACTGAGCAAGGTTATTAGGAGTGAATTGGATCGCAGTCCGGCTTGGGGAGTGTCTTGGACGATAGCCTGCGACTGAAGGGGTCCACGATAGAACAGGGGCAATCAGCTGTAAAACTAGTGTCATTTCGGGTGAAGTGGAAAAATTGAAGTGATCCAGGTTAAAAAAAAAGCTCCTTGGAGTACCACATGGTATCAGGAAGGTTCTGGAGTTAAAACTCAGTGTCTTGATCATTCTGGAGTTGCATGTTATTGAAAATGTTCTGGAGTGATGCCGAGGACTAGGAGTGATCCACTTAAATTTTAGGATTGGAAATATAGAAGACCTATTTGGAGCTGAAAATGTCCTTCTTTAACTTTCGGAAGATCTTTAAGATTGGTGGAGAGAAGAAGAAAAAACAATTTGAGCATGTGAAAAAAGACGTAAACCCTGAAGAGGTCTGGCAGATCATCGGTGAGCTGGGAGATGGAGCTTTTGGCAAGGTCTATAAGGTGAGGACAAAACCACGAAGTTTGTTGGAAAGGAGAACGTGATACTTTCTGATAAACAGTCATAGATCTTAATTGTGTCCAGAGAAACTTAGATAAGGAAAATGACTTGTAAAGCAGGAAGCTGTTAGGTTTGAAAAGATCAGAGAGCAACTGAGATAAATCAAAGTGTTGGCATGAAGGTTGCTTTTCAGGAGCGGCACTTTATGTAGTTGCCCTGTAGGTGTTATTGGACAGGAGAGTTTGCTGCATGGTCCTGCCTGTTAATGACCTCTATTGTCTAGACTTTAAAAATCTGTTCCTTTTGGCGTGAACTTGGTGCAGGAAAGATTTTACTAGATTGTCACTATGAATCCAAGTGGCAGCAGTGTGTGTTGGTGTCTGGGTGCTAACTTGGGAATTTGGTGCATCTGAGAGTTCTGTGTTGGAGTGGTTGAGGTGTAGCTTTTTTGATTAGCCCCAGCAAGCTGGTGAGTGTTTTAACGCTTTATTTAAGTGAGCAGATAGGTGATTGTTTAATATGTTTTAAAAATTCTAAATGCAGACAGTAACTTAAACCAGGAGGGTTACAGGTATTGTATTAAACTTATAGCTCAATTGAGTAAACTGCTTGATATAGCTGCAGACAACAGTATGAGTAATATTTCTAAACTTGAAACCATATTAGTGAAACATAATAAAGATTGTAGGACAGATGATCCGTGTACCTGTAGTCATTGGATGCCAATGTGATTCATAGCAACCACTATGCAGTAAGTATCTGCAGCTTCAAGAACCTTGGCTCCAGGTTGCTGAGCTGGAGTGGAGTGTCAGATGCCTATGTATTTAACACCTGAGGAATAAGTGAGCCTCTACATCATACGTATCTGGAAAGGGGGCAAGTTACTTGGACACTTTGTTTCAGGGATAACCACTCCTTAGGCTAGGTACTTCAAATTTGGTCTGTAGCCAGAGAAAGGAGGATGTGACTGTAGGAGTGGCAGATATCGGGATCTAGAAGGTAGTGCTGGAGGAACTTTAACCCTTGCAATTGTCTAAAAAGTTCAAGGTTCTTGCAGCTTGTGTAACCAATACCAGGTTCTTCAGGGAGAAAGAGTAAACTGACCATGGCACTGTGCTACTGGAGCAATTCAGGCAGGGAAAGCAAAAATGAATAGAAGGAATGTGTAGATAGATTGAAGATGAGATCTGTCGAGGGAGTACAAGCAACTAGGGATTAAATTTAAAACGATACAGAACAACACAGGCGATAATGTCTGGATTGACTTGGGCCACAAGCAAATTGGCATAGAATAGCAGCAAATAACAATAGAGTAAAGGTAAATGGTAAAAGATCGGAAACACAGATCCTTTATCTGAGTGCGCACAAAATATTTAGAGCAAGACAAATTAATTGATTGTGCAAATAGAAATAAGTAAGTCTGATATGATGACCGTTGCAGAGATATGGTTGTAAAGTGACCACAACTGGGATAAGCATTTTGGAAGGCAAGAATTTAGAGCAGTAAGACTTCTATTTTCTGGGTCTGTAGTTAAAGTGCAAAGATGGTCTTTAGGAGAGTGATGTGCTCTTCCTGTTGGATATGGGAGATTGGGGAGAGTTCCTGTATTACTGATGATTACATCTGCAGGAAATATACTTGGTTGACAATCCTATTGGATTGGTTGAAGTGGCAGTAAGAGGCAATGAAGAATTTATAGGAGCTGGGGGTGTGATGGATGGCAGTTGCAGGAAGGGAGGTAAACTGAAAATACAGTCGGGTAGATGGGTGATCTCCGGGAAATGTAGGAGAGGGAGACAGGTAGTGCAGGAGTTTCCTGTGGCTATCCCCATCTTGAACAAGTATGCTCTCTTGAAAGATGTAGGAGGTGATGGACTCTCGGAAATGTAACACTGACAGCCAGGTTTCTGGTACCAAAACTGGCTCTAATGTAACGAGAGGTACTCCAGGGACCAAGCAGTCAATTGTGATAGGAGACTGTCTGTAGTCAGAGGCACAGACAGATGTATCCATGGCCGACAGCGAGATATCAGAATGGTGTGTTGCCTCCCAGGCACCAGGATCAAGGATATCTCGGTGAGGGTGCAGAATGTTCTCAAAGGTGAGAGGGCCCAGCAGGAGGTTGTTGTACACATTGGAAATAACGGCATAGGAAGAGATTCTGAGGAGAGAGAATAGGAAGTCAGGCAGAAATTTGAAAAGGAGGTCCTTGAGGGTAGTAATATCTGGATTACTCCGTGTGTCACAAGCTAGTGAGGGTAGGAATAGGAAGGTAGAGCAGATGAATGCATGGCTGAGGAGCTGGTGCAGGGAAGAAGGATTCACATTTTTGAATCATTGGATTCTCTTCTGGAGTAGACGTGACCTATATGAGAAGGACGGATTGCACCTGAATTGGAAGGGGACTATTATACTGGTGGGGAAATTTGCTAGAACTGCTCGGGAGGATTTAAACTAGTAGGAGTGGGGCGGTAGTGAGGTAAGAGAGCAGTCTGAAATTGATACAGTTGGGAAAAGGTGTAAGTCAAACAGTCAGGAACAAGGCAGAGAACAAGATAGGATTGATAAATTAAACTGCATTTATTTTAACGCAAGAGGCCTAACGGGTAAGGCTGATGAACTCAGGGCATGGTTGGGAACATGCAGCTGGGATATCACAGCGATTACAGTGATGTAGCTCCGGGATGGACAGGACTGGCAGCTTAATGTTCTGAAATATAGATGCTATAGGAACGATAGAAGGGGGAGTAAGAGAGATGGGGAAGCAGCATTTTTGAATAAGGATAACATTACTGCTGTACTTAAGGAGGATATTCCTGGGAATACGTCCAGTGAAGATATTTGGATGGAACTGAGAAATAAAGGGATGATCACCATATTGGGACTGTAATATAGACCCCCGCAATAGTCAGCAGGAAATTGACAAACAAATTTGTAAGGAAGTCTCAGTTATCTGTGAGAATAATAGGGTGGTTATGATATGGGATTATGATCTTTCAAACATTGACTAGGACTGCCATAGTGTTAAGCTTGGATGGAGAGGAATTAGTTTATGTATAAGAAAATTTTCTGATTCAGTATGTGGATGTACCTACTAGGAAAGGTGCAAAACTTGTCCTACTCTTGGGAAGTAAGGCAGGGCAGGTAACTGAGATGTCTGTGGGGGCGCACTTTGGGGCTAGTGACCAAAATTCTATTAATTTTAAAATAGTGATGGAAAAGGATACAGCGGATCTAAATATTAAAGTTCTAAATTGGAGGAAGGCCAGTTTTGATGGTATTAGGCAAGAACTTTCAAAAGTTGATAGGGACTGGATGCTCGCAGGTAAAGGAACGGCTCAAAAATGGGAAGCCTTCAAATATGAGATAATGAGAGTCAAAGAGACAGTATGTTCCTTTTAGGGTGAAAGGCAAGGCTGGTAGGTGTAGGGAATTCTGGACGACTGGAGAAATTGAGGTTTTAGTCAAGAAAAAGAAGGAAGCATATGTCAGGTATAGATAGCAGGGATACAGTGAATCCCTAGAAGAATATAAAGGCAGTAGGAGTATACCTAAGAGGGAAATCAGGAAGGCAAAAAGGGCACGTGAGATAACGTTAGCAAATAGGGTTATGGAGAATCCAAAGGGATTCTACAAATATATTAAGGACAAAAGGGTGACTAGGGAGAGAATAGGCCCCCTTAAGGATTAACCACCCACGTGTGGAACTGCAAGAGGTGGAGGAGATACTAAATGAGTATTTTGCAACAGTGTTTACTGTGGAGAAGGGTATAGAAAATAGAGAATGTGGGGAAAAAAATGGCGATCGCTTGAAAAATGTCCATATTACAGAGGAGGAGGTGCTGAATGTCTTAAAGGTGGTGAGGAAAAGCCAGGGAACTATAGACCGGTAAACCTAACAATGGTGGTAGGCAAGTTGTTGGAGGGAATCCTGAAGGACAGGATTTCCATGTATTTGGAAAAGCAAGGACTGATTGGGGATAGTCAACATGGCTTTGTGCATGGGAAGTCTTGTCTCACTAACATGATTGAGTTTTTTTTCAAGATGTCATGAAGAGGATTGATGAGAGCAGCGCAGTGGATGAGATCTGCATGGCCTTCAGTGAGGCGTTCGGCAAAGTTCCTATGGTAGACTGGTTAGCAAGGTCAGATCACATGGAATGCAGGGAGAACCAGCCATTTAGAGACAGAACTGGCTCATAGGTAGAAGACAGAGGGTGGTGGTGGAGGGTTGCTTTTCAGACTGGAAGCTTGTAACCAGCGGTATGCTACAAGGATCGGTGATGGGTCTACTGATTTTTGTCATTTTTATAGATGATGTGAACATAAGAGGAAGTATGGTTAGTACGTTTGCAGATGATACCAAAATTGGAGGTGTTGTGGACAGCAAAGAAAGTTACCTCCGAGTACAACGGGATCCCGATCAGATGGGCCAGTGGGCTGAGGAGTGGCAAGTGGAGTTTAATTTAGATAAATATGAGGTGCTGCACTTTGGAAAGACAAATCAGGGCAGGGCTTATACACTTAATGGTAAGGTCCTAGGCAGTGTTGCTGAACAAAGAGACCTTGGAGTGCAGCTTCATAGTTCCTTGAAGGTGGAATCACAGGTAGAAAGGATAATGAAGGTGGCGTTTGGTATACTTACCTTTATTGATCAGAGCATTGAGTTTAGGAGTTGGGAGGTCATGTTGCAGCTGCAGCATTGGTTAGGCCACTTTTGGAGTATTGTGTGCAGTTCTGGTCTCTCTGCTATAGGAAGAACATTGTGAAACTAGAAAGGAATCAGAAGAGATTTACAAGGATGTTGCCAGGAATGGAGGGTTTGAGCTATAGGAAGAGGCAGAATAGGCTGGGGCTATGTTCCCTGGAGCCTTGGAGGCTGAAGGGTGACTGTATAGAGGTGTATAAAATCATGAGGGGCATGGATAGGGTAAATAGACAAGAACGTTACCCCAGGGTGGGGGCGTCCAAATATAGAGGGCATAGGTTTAAGGTGAGAGG